GCGCAAAAGGTTTTGGGGAAGGTGAAACAAAAGGGTTGCATGAGCCGCCGGGCGAAGCAAAAAGTGATTCATCAAGGTACAAGCAGTACATTCACCCGCCACACGATCACTTGTCCCCACAATAGGACCCTTGGGACAAGTTTGCATTTCATTTTGCCGCCTGACAAGATTTTAGGCTGGTTGCAGACGGGTAGGTGAGAGAATTGGCATTGAAATCCGAATCGGAATCCGAATGGAAAGCAAGCAAAGCTAATCAGGGGCAATAAAACGAAATGGTTCTTGAGGCTATGTGTTGTCGAATGCCGAATAACTCTGAGGGGGGAACTGGGCGTTTCTCGTTAGGTACGAGGAGGAAAAATATCTAATTACTGACCTGATCATGAACAAATAGCGAGAAAGACGAGGCCAAGAATGAGGCTGTTTGAGTGGCCAACGACACTGATAAAGGTCAACTGCACATTAAAGTGAACGCACAAAAAGTTGGGCTGAGAAGGAAAAATGGAAGGTGAGTCAGGAACGGCAAGGCTACGTTTGAAAAGGGCGTATTCGAATAAAAACTTTTTACCTTCGACACTGTATTTACATTGTCATATTTGAAAAAATGGTGATGCTGAAATCGGAATTGAATTTTTGGGAGAAGCGGCTAGAAGAAGTACGAAAAAGAAAACAACAGAGAACGTTTTCCTCGTTTGATCCTTTTGCTGATTTGCTTCGTAGCCAAGGTCATTGCTAGTAGAAAAGAGAAAAAGATATCGTGATACACTTTAATACGGATCTCCGTCTCGTTTTCTGTTTTTTTTTTTTGGGAGATTGTCATTCAGTAGTGACCTCACGCAGTGGTTTGTTCGGCGGACCAAACCAATTTGACCAAATGCCTCACTATTATATGATCCTGCTGCAACCAATAATTGCAGAGTATCAAATGAAAAGGAGACGAGAATTATGGTGGTCAATTTGAAAAGAAAAGAAAGAGCCCAAACAGAAGGGAAGGGATGGGTGGCCAGTGGCGATTCTAACCGACCACATGAGGCCCCTTCATCCGATGACCAGAAATGGGATAATTCAGAAAAATAAATGGCGCTGACGAATAAAGGATGAGGAGCACTGCCTTTGTTACGTTTTTCTTTGCGCAATACAACACACAGACAAGGTGAGAAGTGGATACGCATGCGAGCGGTGTCCAGTTTCGATCGAAACCGATCGAATTATACTAATGGATTGACGGAGAAACAAGAAGGAACATGTACAGAGCGGCTGGAGCAAAAGTCGGGGAGAGCAAGTTGCTTGGAGAAGAAGATGGAACGTTGACATGGTCAGTGCACGCTAAGCCGCATGGCAAATAGCACTGCCATAGCTACCAAGGCGGGCAGTGAAAGGTTACGACCGGCTATCGGGGTTTAGGTCACAGTTGACAAGCTTCTCAACAAGCGTTTCGTGATAGATTTCAATAAAATTGTTCGTCGCCTCTCTTGGTTCTGGGGTCCTGCTTTCAGGAAACAAATATACACACCGACAGGCATATCACAGAATTTATGAGATGCGAAGCGGAGAGAAAGTTGGAACGACGAGTAAACATCCGCCGCGGATTTTCCTTGCTTACAGTAGTAGCCCTGTTTTTACGAGCGTAGTATGGTAGTGTCGGTTTCCCAAATCGCTACAAACTGCCATAATGTCTACCGGCAGATATTGGTAACCGCACAGAAGAACAGGATATTGTGAGAAAAGGGGAGGAAAACGGCATATCAAATGTCAAAGGAAGCTAGCAGAAAGTCAACTGTAGAAGAAGGGAGATGACCCGGGCGAATGCACTCATGAAGGTAAATCATAATATTATGAAGGAAACGACCCAGTATGGCATTGCGCAACACTCACGCACACAAAAAAGGACAGAGACTCAGAGATATCTCCATCAGCTGTGCCACCTCGATGGTTTATGATTTGCGCAGATATCAAGATGCGCAAAAATAGATAAAATTGGATAGAAAAGAAGGAAGGAGCAACGTTTTTTGTTTACAGCTTGGGCAAGGAAGGCATGCGCGTACACATCTCATTAAAAAATATGATAATTACATTAGGGTGCATAAACCAGCCTTTTGTCACTCTAAAAGAAGCGAAAATAGAGAAAATGGTTGCGCGGCTAACTATATAGGATATTATATGTAAACACGCGCCAGTAGCGGTCTATCCGATAGTATGTTATCAACATGCGCGTGTGATCGGGATCGGAAGTGGCAGTTTCGGAAGTTGCAGCCGGTAAATAGGTAATTGGAAGTGCGAATTATAACACGCTCGAATTAGGATCAAATCTGAATATTGCAATTCTCGTTTGAATTTGAAAGAAAAGGATTTCGTGAAGTTGACAACAAAAGAGAACGGGCTTTGACATCCACATCTAGGACCAGAAGTGTGAAATTGAATCTTGTGTTAGGGAGGAAGAGGACCCCCCCCCCCAGTTAGATGAGCATGCGCCGCTTCCCGTGAATACCAATCATCCGAAATGCTCACCCAACTAGTATATTAGATCATCCGGAGCGAGAGAGGAAAATGTCCAGCTCTTGGACAGAGAGCTCATAACAATGAATGTTCGCAGCAAAGGTCCCAAAATAAATGAAAGCCGAGGATAGAAACCCATGAAAAATGGATGAGGCTTTCCAAATTGTACAGAATCCGGAATTGGAAACCCAAAATCTAGAATCTCGATGGGTGTGGTGCTGGTTCTTGATGAGAAATGAAGATTTTGTTTTTCTCGAGGAGAACTCGCCATATTTCACTTTTCCCGTGAAAGATTTTCTCATTGGAAGAATTTTAGAGCTCACATTCATTCGGACTATACATGTGCTTCCGAAAGCAAAGTCCTCTTTTGTTTCCTACTTTTCATGGCTTTTCACATTTTTTTCTCACCAAACTGACGTTTTATTGGTTTTGTGCTATGGAACACAGAGAAGCAGTTTGTTTGAAAGGGTTGGAATTGGGAACTGGCTATAAACGGACGATATACATAAATGAAACCCACCCATTGTTTCTCACTCTTACATAAATCGGCGGGGGAGAATGGTGTGCAGCTGCGAGCTCTAATGAAAACCAGAATTTACAGCCTTTCCGAGCGAAACGGGAAGAAAAGAAAAGAAAAGAAACGAGGACCAGTGATTTATACGAATCCTCCTTTTGCTGCCGGTGACCACCAATTTTGCAGGTGTTATGGATCCAGGTGTATGAGACGTCAGTTGGTCTGTTCGAAATTGCGACCTTGGCGCGGACAAGGGCGGCGGTGTGTGTTGCGCGAAACATTCCAATTTTGAGGAAAAAAGCGTGAAAGCGTCCGCGGTCTGTCCTCGGGGGCCACGCCGCCGTCAGTTCAAAAGTTAATCTGTGGCAGCGGAGCGCATAAAAACAGAAGAGTCAGCGGTGGCCGCGAAAGAGATGAAACGAACGAACGAACGCTTTAATTAAATCTCTCACAACGCAGGTATGAGCGCGTCCATCGGCTGTGTGTTCACATGGATGAACCGCAAAAAGACGGGTCGAACAAATAAAAGATGTGGATTAGCCCGATGTTTGGGATGGATGAATTGTCGGAAGAGGACCTTATTGGGCAGACAGACGGCATAATGCTGTTTAGGTTGCGGAAGAGCCGCCGCCCGACAACAAGCGTGTGCAGTTCAGTGGCCGGAAGCAAAAACGAGGATGAGCCAGCCTGTCGGCACGTCGAAATTACGGGACAAATTAGCGGTACAATAATGGGTTTGTCGAATGGGACGGATGCGCTTCACAAAACAAAGAGCCGCGCGCTCGTAAACGTCTGAAATGTGCGCGAATTTCACGGTGTTCAGGCCGTCCAAATTGCGAAACCCGGGGGTGTTTGTAATTACGAAAAGGGGCATGGCTTGAATCATAAAACAGGGTTCGAGTTCCGATGTGGAGGGACCAAATCGGGTAATAAATGCAAAGTGTGGTCAACAAGGACAAAATTGAACGGTGAATGTGTGTTGTGCAAAGAGAATGGGAAACGGAATTGAAAGAGAAATGAGAAATGACCACCCACGGAGAGAAGGTGCATGTCCATGTCCCCATGTCCGAATTTGAATGAGACAGGCAAGGGTGTTGCGCAAGAAACATACAAGTGATTCATAACAATTTGTCATGGATCTAAATTCAAACAAAAATGGTTCGATCGAAATCTTATGGGCCAAAAACCAGTAAAGCCGGGGTTTTACTGGGTTTTCACCTGTTTTTTGTCCGACTGAATGAGCCCATTAAGTTTAGAAGCCTCAAACAGACCAAGTTTGTTGAACGAGAACAATTCTGAATTGAACATGCTTTGGCAGACGGGAGCAACATGTAAGTGCGTTCAAGTGGTTCCGGGGGTGGTTGACCAATTAGCGGATAAGCGTTCGCCGTTCATGAATATAAAAAGAAGTGAACGAGGCGAAGAGAACGGATTTGTCATAAAGTGGCTTCCACTTGATTAGTGCCAAACGGGTGGTATTGTGCATAGTTTAGTTACATTGCGAGTAGGGTGTCGAAATGTGTGTGAACGCAGAGAAAACAAGGATTCCTGAGGAGAGTGTGCTTGCGGACGAAACGTTTGTTGTAAGACATCAGCCGGGAGATAGCTCCCGGGCACAAAATATATCCGGTGAGAGAGGATGAGGATGCTCACCGCCGATTTTTGCCATCATTCACTCCTCATTTCAATTCTTCTTCTTTTTCTTCTGCAGGCGACGCTTTGAATGCGTAATTTTTTCGACAGTGTAAAGTGTACGCCCGCTCGCTCGCAACTTTGAAATCAATCCGATTAGTGGACAGGAATTAGATATTCAATAGAGCGCGAAAGTGGAAAATGGAAGCGTCAATTACATAATGGTTACATGTTGCAGAACGTTTTATAGCTTGAGAGAGAGTTGGGACATGGAGGGATAGCGAGAAAGGGCTACTTTTATGTAAACTGAACTAAAACCAATCTTCTGAGCAATTGGAATGTATGTATGTACAGCAATAAATCACAGAATCAGAAGCATGACAATGACGGCAAAAATCAAGGTTGATGGACGGGAGAAGGCTGATTGGCAGATCTGAAAAACGATGAAATTAGGCACCCTGGGGACTGATTTTTCCCTCTCACATCTTCCAAATGCTCGAGGCTCTTGACTCGGACGCCTGTCAAGGAAGCAATGAATTTAGATAGATGACAATCGGTGGAACATCCGTTGACAAATAGCTCATGCACGTCATCTGGATCCTCGGATGTAGAGTTTCGGAAGAATATCTGAACACTTTATAGTCGATTTCATAAAGAAAAGATCAAAGGTACCTTCACGTGGTTTCCAGTGTGCAATTCGATCATAATGCAAGCAGTGTAAGGTATCAGTTGGTGATTGCTGATTCCGAGACCATAAAGCAAAGCCGTCAAAGTTCCATCGTGCTATAAAAATGAAAATTTTAAAGAAATGGAGGGAAATGAGAGCACCGAAGAGTAAAGCAATGCCTTTTTAGGGTTGATGTGTTGGGAAGCGAGAACTAAGCTTTCTGCCCAACTGTTAATCATGTAGCCAGCCCTAAAACAGTGAAAGGAAGCTGGTAAAGGATTTATGTACAAGTATTGCATACTCACATGTATTTGGCTTTCTCTCTTGTGTCAAACAGTTGCAGTCTGGCAATTCTTCGGATTTCCGTTATAGTATCCAAAAGTGATCGGTTGTTCACTTTTTCTTCCACCCAACTAGGAAAAGGTAGACCGTTGTAATGCTAAACAGGAAATAAGTTTAGTTGGAGAAAAAAGAGACCTCCAAGATAATGTTGTAGACGTCTTTGATATTGGAGTAACGTGTCTGGTGTCCTGTATGATTCGAAATAATATCCAGCTCGGTTTTGTATCTGAAACTCCTTCTGCATGACAGCTCATCTCAATTTTTAACTTTTCATTGATATCCACTTCTATTTTCTTTCTCTCATCGCTCACAATCTTCTGGTACACAGGACACTGTATTTTGCTAGGACGAAGCATCTGAAATCTTGAAAATGAAGGGACCCGTTCAAATTGAGTTACCGGATCGGGTTTTCCGTTAGTACGGATGGGAATCGGCTGCCAGAATCGGTACTTTCCCTCATTCCACAACTGAACTCCGTCCGGCGGGAAGAGGGCGGTGGCCACGCACTGGGCCGTCTCGATAGCGCGATCGGCATCAGAAGCGCGGATGGTTATCTAAAAATAGCAGGGCGAGATTCGAGATTCGTCATTTTTTGCGCAAGGTTGATCTTTTTCCTTGACACCTACCTTCTTCCTATCGAATACCGGTAGAACTGAACTTTGGTACCTTCTTCGTAGAAACTTTCCCAGTTTCGTAGCTTGGTCAATTCCAACCTGCAGTTGAAAGTGAAAGTGAGCTCTGCTTTTCTCACAAATCAAAAACCAACGTTTGTCAGCTGGTTCCATCCGCGGGGCCAGAACGTCTCGTTGTACGGATCGTTTGGATACGGTAGGTTTTCTGGTGCTCGGTCTCCGTGTCTCCAAACGGCTAACAGGAACTCGACCTCGGCCACGCACGGCAACAAAAGTGAGCAGCAGTACAAGTAGAGAAACTTCATTCTGGAATAAAAACGAGAATTCCAAACAAGGAAAAGCGGGTCTATATTAGAAATTAAGTTTCGGCGTACGTTTTCAGAAGTCCATAGTGAAAATTGTCAGATCCTACCCCAAAATCCCATAGACCGCACCGAAAGCAGAGCTGAGAGCGAAAAAAAAGTCAACGAAACAAGCAATCTGTTGCGGGGATCGGTGAAACTAATGGAAGTGTGTTTCTTGTGTAGTAACATCTCATCATCCATCGTGATGTCGTTAAACTTCATTGTTGTGACTCGGTGACAGCTATGAGAAAAAGTTTTGGAGGGAGAGAAATTGATAAGCTTTTTCGATTCTCTTTTTCTCTCTCAATGATTCCCGACTCCAATTGCGCTTTATTTTGAGAGTTATGATATGAAAAAGAAGATATGACAGACAAAAAGCGAGGATCGAGATTCCCCCCGAGTGTTTGATTTGACGCCAAGCATCAGTGCCAATTGCTAAGTGATTGGAAGACAAAAAACAGACACAACGCACAGAGGGGAAGGAGTTGAGGAACAACACATGTTGCCGATGACACCAATAATTCATCTTTTCATTTAACCCCCTGCAAATTAGAACTCTCAACAGAAAATCCTGGATCAGACTCTAAGACACAGAACAAAATGTTAGACAGAAGGAGTAAGAAACGTCATCAAACTTTTTCTAACATAAAAAGACACACAGAACATGTGCTCAGAGGCTCACAAGGTTTGTTAAAATATGCGACAGGATGAATACAAGCACACAATTCAATTTCGTCTTTCGGGAGACGTAACGAAAAGTTCGAAAACCAGAAAAAAGAGCGAGGTGAGGAAAAGAAAGGATTGGAAGGAAGGCCACAGCAGAGACATGCTTAGATGACAAAAAACGATAGGCGATCGGTCAGTTTCCGATAAACTGAATGACGGTTTCATTCATGATGATAGCGTGCGAAAAAAGATGATGTGCGCAACGATATTTGAGTTCAAATTGAGTGTGTCTGCTGCAGAAGGGAAGGCGTCGGAGATGTCTAAACTATCCTTCGGCAGAGTGCAAACGCAAAGACCAAACTATGGGTCGGATCAAAGATAAATCCGAGGCAACTGGGAGCGGAAGGAACGAAAGCTTCTGAAATGTTGGGACATCTGCAAAACGAACATATCTGTGTAGAATTGTGACGAAGGGAAGAAAACGAAGAAAACATAATGAATGTTTTATGGGTTCCAGATTTTTTGCGATTTGTAGCACAAAGTTCATGTTTTCGTCGTCGATTGCTTTCACTCTTTCTTTTTCCGGATGAAAAACTTCTGATTCATCTTTTCATAATCGGATAAACTTTATTCGGTTAAACTGCAATATTTGATCGAAATGTAGGACAGAAGAAAGGCAAACATTTGAACTATAAATGAAAGGCAGGCTTCAAGAAAAAAAGACAATATATTTAGTTGACTAGATAGGGAGATTCATCTATTTGAGGCGTTGTGATTGACTTGGTGATTAGATGTACAAAGGGTCATAAATATAAAACTGTTTGTCGTGGGTGGCAGTATGAAAACCCTGTTGTGTGTGTGTTTTTTTTCACTCGAAAAAAGAGGAGGAGAGGGGAATTTAGCATGGCGCCTTTGGCGGGCATGGAGTGAGTCCACGGCATTGCTGCGATTCCTCGGCAAGTCCGATGCAGTGACATCCGGATTCTCCGACGCATTGACGGCTTCTGAAAAGAGTTTTTTTTTTCAGTTTTATTTGAAAACTTAGTATGACCTTGTCTGAACTCCGACTTCGCAGGCAAGTTGCGTAGAGCATGGACTCCATTCGCACCTAAAACATTTGTCAATTTTCAGTTAGATTGATTCTGATTTCGAGTACCATTGGTTCCAAGCGCATTGTGGAGCACAGCTCTGGGTGTTGCATTCTTTTTCCTCACGGTCTGGTCCATCGCAATGGCAAGCGGAATCTGGGCTTCCGGCGCTGTTCAGGCAGGTACGGGTACGGATGGACTGAAAAGTGATCGTGGATCAGTTCGTAAACCCGTTTGCAATACCTGTCCTCCACCGCATTCCTTGTCGCACATCGACCAATGGCACCACTCTGACCAGTTGCAGCAGGATTGTCCCTCGCAAAGGGTGGTCTCAATGCTGGCTCCCTGGCAGGTAGTAGCTTCCTTTCCATCGGATCCCAAGCATCCGCGAGTTCTGGTTCTCTGTCCTGGTCCGCATTTGGAAGAGCATCCCGACCACTCGCACCACTCAGTCCACTCGGCGCATGCAGGTCCGTAGCAGAACTGGCTCTCCTCATTTGGTCCTTGGCAATCAGTTCCATACTGGCAGACACGCTGTCTTCTCTTCATTCCACTTCCGCACGAGGCAGAGCATGTAGACCAATCTTGCCATGGGGACCAGAGGGAGCAGGGTCCAGCTTCGCAAACCTTTTGTTCGGTCTTTGGTCCTTGGCAGAGATGATCTCCAAAGACTCCTCCAAGGCAGGTACGTTGACGGACAGCAACTCCGGTTCCGCAGGTTACTGAGCATTGTCCCCAATCCTCCCACTGGGACCACTCTGGGCACGGTCCGCCGTTGCACTGCTCCGATTCGTAGTCCTTTCCTTCGCATCTGTTGGTTCCGAGGTGGCAGAAACGAGTTCTCTCACGCTGTCCGGTTCCACAGCTAGCCGAGCAAGAAGACCACTCGCACCACTCCGACCACGTCTGGCATGGTCCCAAATTGCATGGCTCAGTCTCATAATCAGCTCCCTGGCAGTTGTTGGTCGAGCATTCACGGCGTCTGGACTTGGCTCCATCTCCGCAGGTGCACGAGCACAAAGACCAGTCAGACCAATCGTGCCAGGCTCCGGAAACAACTGGCGGAGCAACGCATCCTTGCCCGTCACAAGCTGGTGGTGGTGGCGGGGCTGGACGGTATCTGGTTGGGTAGGGCTGTGGGAGTGGTGGCTGGGTGGCGGTGTTGATGACCGGGGCGAGAACTGGTGGTGGAGTCGGACGCTCTGGCTGTGGTGGTGGTGGCTGTTGTGGCTGTGGTGCACAGTAACCTCCTGGGCATGGATCGGCCTTCGGGCGAGCTGGATGTCTCTGGTTGTAGTTTTCACGGTACTGCGACATTCTCTCCTGATAGAGCTGAGCATGCTGGTCCAATGGGGAGCGCTCAAGCTGTGGCTGCTGCTGGCTTTGCTGTGGGACTGGTGGCTGCTGTGGTGGCACTGGGCCGCTTTGAAGGTGGATCTGGGATTGTCCGGACTGCTGCTGCTGCTGCTGCTGCTGCCGTTGCTGCTGCTGTTGTTGCTGCAGCTGTTGTTGTTGTTGTTGTTGTTGTTGTTGTTGTTGTTGTTGTTGTTGCTGCTGCTGTCTCTGTTGAAGCTGAAGCTCATGAGATCCGGAGAAAGACTGTGGTGAGACTGGTGGTCTCTGTGGTGGCTGAGGCTGCTGCTGCTGCTGTTGCTGCTGCTGTTGCTGGAGGCGGGCCTGATGCTCGCGAAGCTGCTGCTCTCTTAGTTGATGATCTCTTTGCAGTTGCTGCAGCTGCTGCTGTTGCTGAGCATTTGGATATTGTGGAGCACGTGGTGGGAACTGCGGTGCTGGTGGAGCTGGGATTCTTTGTGGGGCCGATCGCGCTGGGCAACCACGACGCTGAATCTTTCTACCGTACTCGCAAGCCTGAGAGCGCACTTCGTGACCTGAAAAGTGAGATCACAGTTATACAATGCCAGCTTTTGAGAAAATCACCGTTGTTGGAGCAGTGCGACCAATCGGTCCAGTCTCCAACTCCCTGCACAGCCTCATCCCCTTGTTCTGAAATTTTGGCTATCATCTACAGTAACCGGTTGCCAGACTCACGTCTCTTTTTCCTGTCAACCTTGTCGGTGGACGAAGCCAATCCATCCTCCTCCAATGGCGGGTGAGCATCGAATTGGTGGCAGTCAATGACCAACTCCAGCATTCTGACGATATCCTTCTTGTTCTCTGGCTTCTGCTCGACAAGGTCGATCTTTTCTTGAACAGAGTTCTCGGAGAACAGGTAACAGTAGTGCTTCTTTGTCTCATTGTGCAGGTAGTAGTAGACCACTGAAACAAAATCAGCTCACTTTTGTTTCTTTGTCTTAGTCGCCCTCAGGGGCAGAGATCAAATTTCGGAGAGAAAGAGAGTCGACTTAGGTTATCATATCTCAAGTTGCGAAATGCAACAGTGTAAATGTGCAAAAGCAATCAGTCAAAGAAGCAGAAAAAGAGATATTTGCGGACGAGTGTCATTTGTTATAGATATTGCTTGACACATCAATCTTCTTTGTAGGAGACCCCTGCATCCGGTGCAAACTGAATTTACCTGCCGAGCACTCCGGGAAGATGTCCACGCATTTCTTCTGGCACTCGTAGGCGGTTGCTTGCATCATCAGCAGCGGAGAGGATCCTTCTATAAAAACGAATATGTAGAATCAACAGCATACAATAAATAGATAGGGACAAAATATGACCAGGATAGGAAAAACAAAGTAAAGCATTAGGAACAAGACAGATATGACCTAGATACTGTAGGATACTCACCAAGAGCCGTGTTGTTGTGCATTCTAGCGCACAAATCATCAATTTTGGTGACATTTTTTCCTCTCGACACCGAGATTCTTCCTGAAACGTAAATGTTTGTTTTTAAATCTTGTTCCCTTTATCATCAGAAGAAGTGATAACGTTCAGCCCCCATTGTCTGCAACCTATTACACAAAACTTGGCCCTCGCCTAACCTTAAACCAGTTCCACCTATGATACTCAAATGATTACCCTCTCACTCACCTGCGTCGGCTAAACAGAATAAAGCTGCCAAGGCAAGTAAGCCTACAGTAGCCTGCATTCTTCGGCTGGCAATGGACGGGACCGCGGACACGAGAGTGCACGACACGCGACTGACGATGGATGGGCGGAGTCGAGAACAAGGCGAGAGGGATGAAGAGGAAGAAGCTGAAACATTAGAGAAGAAGAGTGCGGAAGATAGTGGGAGGGGTTGAACACTCAACTGTAGTATAGTGAGAAAGAAAGGAAAAAAGTGAGGAGAAGAGTGAACTTTTTTTTTCTTTTTCCGAGAAGAGAAGAAAAATCCCGCCTGGCTCGGGGCTAAAGATTGAAAAGATTCAAGGAGAAGGCGAAGAAGGGACAGGAAGTGGTAATAGATGCTCAAAACGTTTTTGAATGCCAGTTCGCCGCCGCTATGTTTTGTTCTCGTTTCTTCAGCACCTTCAGCAAGTACGGCATGCAATGGAAACCAGGGCCGATCCGGAATAAATTCGGAACTAAAGACGAAGCACGGCTCCTCCCATTTCTTCCGGTCCCAGACGTTTTACACATATGCGAAATCGTCTCGTGATTTTTAAAATGCGGGAATATTGAATATCCATCAATATTGTCTGATCGGAAACCGGATGTGCTCGGTGGGAAGGAATGTGCTGAAGGCATGCGTGGAAAAGTTGAGAAACTTCCGACAAACCTGAAATCTTTCTATGACGTACCTGCCACATGATAAAGTAAACAGTTCTACCACAATTCACCCCGCCAAACATGGAAATTATGGTTCTTCCTAAACTGCAACAATCTCAAGTTCCAGTATTCAAATGATCTCTGTTTCCACGCATCGTCTGCAGGTCCTTTCGTCACATTGGCGCATTTTCGTTTTCTCAAAATCGCAACACTTCGTTTTCCCTGTGTGTGTCGTCACACGGCCATACACTCATCAATTCATCTTCGAGTGATATTTCATCCTCGGCACTTTCTTTGCCTCACACACACTCGGATACACATTTTTCATCGTCGTTATTTATTGCACAGTTGTTCGAATCAGCGGTGGTCCATCACGGCACTATACTAGAATGTTTCGAGATCGCCCTTGATGGTGCAATTCAAAGACATCGCTTTCAGAACTACACTTGTTTTGCAACTTTCTTTCCCATTCCGTTTCTCACTCATGGATCCGTACGTCAAAAAGTGAGACGAGGGCTGACAAGGAGTGATGAACATATCATATCTCTCGAGGTTTAATAAAAGCTCGGTGGCGCAACGAGGCGAAAGAGATGTGACTCAAAAATGATATGGACAGGGCATGAGTGCGTCTTTTTCCACGAATCACTCGTCGGTGAAGAAGAGGAAGAAGAAGAAGAAGAAGAAGAAGAAGAAGGGGAAGAAGAAGTTCAGGTGAAACATGAGACTTGTCTTCGACAAGAGCAAAGCAGAGAGTTTGACGATGGGGCACGTATGAAGGATATGATCGATGTGGATGACTCACTGAAAGAGTCACATAACACATAATTGAAACTTCTGTCCTGAAAAAAAAGTTTGAGCCACACATTTCAAGTGGGGAGTTTGAGTGAAATTCGAGGTTCTTAAGGTACTATGACTGTCATCCGTACGATTCTCATTGAATATTATTGGTTTTGTTTAAGGCCTTAAAACAGGGGTTTTGTAGAAATTTCGATCGTGTCGTCCTCAAACGAGTATAGCTTCAGATCAGATTATCAGATGGGTCTGAAACTTGAACCCAAGAAACTTCAATTCAAGCCTGGATTGGCTTTTTGCCTAGCCTTATGTTTTGTAGAATTTTTCCATTTTGTGGGCAACATGTGACATCAAATTCCGTTAATTTTGACCGGAAGTATATAATATACACACGTTCTTTCCCGTCTGCATTTCAAATTTGCATTACACTCATTCACATTTCGAATACGCAAATGAGCCCCGAGGCACACGTGATTTCGCCACGCAAAAATGATTGATCTCTCAGCCGCCGAAGTGAAAATATCATGTTTCAAGGCGAGCACAAAAAGCTTAGTTTATTTCATTATACGTATTTACAGACAAAGTCGAGGAAGAAGATCAGTCGGGTTCAAAAGTTATTTGATGACAAGGCATCTGCAGTCGTACAGCGTGTTGTAGGTGTAACGGAAGTTCATGCACCTGCCAGGGCAATATCCTTCGGGGTCCATACATTTTCTGCAAACGGCTTCGTCATATGACAATTTGACTGAACGTCAGCTTTACCTGGTGAATGTGTTGAATCCGCAGACGTGGGGAGCGAGTGTGCCGCTTTGAACATTCGGAACTGGATTGTAATCAGGAACAACTCCAGATCTTATATTTCCCTAAAAATACGAAATAAATTGGAAAAAGAGCGTTGTTCTTCTTACTTGATTAGCTCCATACCAGTGATTCGGATAATAATAGTTTTGTGATAGCACTGCAGTTGCCAACAAACAAAGGAGGTAAATTTTGACAGTCATGAGGGGAGAGGAGAAACGACAGAATGCAATGCAGTTTGCGGTGTTGTCGGGTTAGTTGTGACAAGGTGAACATGAATGTACGTCAAGATTGATGACACCACACACTCAACACGATTTTTGTAATCTACGGTTCAAAAACGACTTTGGCCTCGCATTGGAAACAATGGCGCTGAACTTTCAACGACCAAAGGGGTTTTCGATGAAAAATTCCACGCACTGACTTACTGATAAAATTGAGTGTTTTTTGCTGTCAGATCAATAAGCGATGACGACTAAACGTGGAACATTCCAGAAGTTGACAAAGTTGACATACATTTTTCCTCATCCTCGTTATCAGATACTGTTCGGAACAAAGTACACGGAACTTTCTGGCGGGTCGCGCGTGTGGCTCTTGTGACCGTTCCGTACGTCGTCACATAAAAACGATCTATAAAATGTTATCAGCACGTTCCACTCGTGTCTCTTTCTTCCGCACTTGAATGCTATCATGAAATCTGGACATACGAAATATGTCGTAGATGGTCTTGAAAAACCATTTCTTAAAAAGGTGTGACATCACATCACATAGCTGTCTAGAACGTTGAATGGCGTCTCTGACGTGTTCAGCAAGCATACTTTTAGACGAGACTTGGCGTATTTTAAGAGGGAAACAAAATACGAACAACAGGAAGGAATATTTTTAGATTAATTCTAGAGAAATAATCATTCAGGTTGCAAGAAACAGGCTAGCGATGAGCCGAACCGGGCCGGCCTGGAAATTGTAAAGTTTCCCAGCAATCGGACAACGATTTCGAAAAAACACGTTGATTCCACGATCTACCTACATGTACATTTCCATTTCCGTTTGAATCTAACTGGCTAAATGCCATTTTCGAAAGTGCAAAACCGTAAGTTCAGCCGTGCACTGTCACGCCACACTCCCTTAACAACCTTGCACTGCGCTCGCGTTATATTCCGTCCTTCCTACGTTTCATTTGAACACTCCCGGTTATTTTCCCTGTTCGCTGCCTTTCAGACTATCAGCTTTAGCTTAAATTCTCATGATCCTACTAATATTTTTTGATCTTTTGGGTTGTCGAGCTAAAGTAATAATAAAATGTTTTCTTTCTGAGTCACTGTTTGGTTCCTTAAAACCGAAACCTTCTCGATTTAGTGAATTTTGTGCAAATAGAACAGAGTGAATAATTATAGACGGTGGAGCAATCAAATCGGTTTTAATGTCTTTTTTCCTCCACGCAGTGATTTCTTGCCCCAAACACGCAACATTAGAAACCTCCGGCTGTGCCCTACAATATCAGCCACTTTGCGTTTTCTTTCGCTTTCACCTTAAAAATACGTTACGTTAAGGTAAAAGAGAAAGCACCGCCTCGAAGAGTCGTGCAGATATTTTAATAGTCTTTTTATCATTGTATGCACACCTCGCCCAGTAGATCCCTTTCTGTCGACTGTCGGGGCCTCGTTTCATTTTTAGTGATCATCAGTGCCCAGACAACCATCCCATTTACATAAATATGCACCGGTCATCCCGCAACATATATAATCGATATATCTACATATTTCGAGCAGATTTTCTCTTGTTTAACGAGTCCGCATACGTTCTCCCTCTTCTTTTTGCAGAAGAAGACACTTTTTTCCAATGTTTTTTTTCGACAGATGCGGCCCACACTGCCGTTACTTGGTCTACTTTTGCTAACCGGATGTGTCTGGAGCACTGACAATGTGCCTTCACTTCTTGGCTCCGCAGAGTCTCCAAAAACTTCCGACATATCTCTCGGAGACGACAGCACGATTCGTGAGAAAAATCCTTCAGAGTTTGTCACAGAACCTATAATAGTTTTGAATTATGATTTAGCGCTTTCAGTCTTCAACTTCCCGCTGAATCCAAAGACAACCGGACCGAAGATCACGAGGAGGATGATCATGGATCGCACGGATCGAGATGGGATTACGTCAAGAAAGAGACCCTTCTCACGCTATTTTTTATAGTTATCGGTCTCTTTAAACTTGGTAGGTTGTGACTGTTTCATGAGGGTGAGCACTCAGCTGGCGCCTTTCTCCTTCTTTTCATCTTACCGCCAAGTCGTGACTCAATGAGGGAGTACCAGATACTTGAACCGTTTTTTGAGGGATCAAATAATCATTGATAAGAGTCAAGTAAGAAATCAATGAGCAGATCAACTTAAACATTGTGCGCTTAATGAGCCATTGATTTCATTTTTCAGCCTACCATCACACTCATTACACTAAAAAAATCCTTCCCGAGTCATGCTGCCTCATCATCGTTGGTATAATCCTCGGATTCTTCTTTATGTAAGTTGAGCGCATCATAAAAATCTGCAATTACATAATTTTATTTTCCAGTGGAGATTCTACTCATCAATCCATCAAGTTTCTCGAATTCAGTTCAAAAGTGTTTTTTTTCTACCTACTTCCGCCAATCATTCTGGAATCCGCCTATTCTCTGAAGGATCGCGCTTTCATTGACAATATCGGAACTATTATGCTTTATGCAGTTGTGGTAGGGTGTGTCACTTTCAGACAATACTCCAACCTTTCCTGTCCAGGGCACTGTTTTAAACATTGTTCTGCTCGCTGCCGCTATTGTTCTGCTCATTTGGGTGGGAGCGATGGGAGCCATTAGTCTGAGTTTCATGGATATTTTGACATTTGCCTCTCTGGTCGCAGCTGTGGATCCGGTCGCCGTACTCGCAGTTTTCCAGGAAGTTGGAGTGAACAAGATGCTTTACTTCATGGTGTTTGGAGAGTCGCTCTTTAATGACGCCGTCACAATTGTTTGCTATAACATGGCCGTCGAATTCGAAGCGTTGCCAGAGTTTAGCTGGTTGGAAGTAAGGGGATCCATTATCAATTAAAAGCTAAACATGTGTTTTGTTCTTTTTTCAGGCGGCAAAAGGTGTACTCTCATTTTTCTATGTTTCATTGGGAGGTCTTGGTATCGGCCTTCTGTGTGGCATCCTATCGTCATTTGTCACGAAATTCACACAAGATGTTAGAGGTAACTTCGAGGAGTGGGGACTTGACAGCAATCAGATAATATTTCAGTTGTGGAACCAGTCATTCTGTTTGGAATGGCCTATTTGGCATATTTGCTGACTGAAATGCTCCATCTCTCTGGAATCATCTCGCTCATCGCGTGCGGATTGTTCCAAACCCACTACGCTTGCTGCAACATTTCCTACAAATCCTTCTCCAGTGTCATGTACATTACAAAAGTGTGCAGGTTAGAGAAAAAATGTCCAATTTAAACTATTAAGCTCAATTTTTCCAGCACACTGTGCGAGTCGCTGATTTTCATCATTCTCGGTGTGATGCTCGTCAACGAACGTGAATGGATGTGGACTGACTGGCATCCTTACTTTTCTCTGTGGTCCGTCATTCTTTGTGTGCTTGTGCGCTTTGGAGTCACATTTTTCCTTACTTACTTTGTGAATCAGTTCACTGGAGGTGTTCGTCACATTTCCTTTCAAGAACAGGTCATCATGGTAAGAGACTTTTTTAGAGGTATTTAGAAAAGGAAAACATCTGTTTCCAGTCGTACGGAGGATTGCGCGGAGCCGTCTCTTTCTCACTTGCTTTCATGATTAAGTCTAATGTGGAAGTGAAGAACACCATGCTTGGAGCAACGTACGCTGTCATTCTCTTCACCAATATCGTTCAAGTATGAGTGTTTTGCAAATAACGCTAGTATCAATTTCACATTTTGAAGGGTTCATCAATCAAGTTCCTTGTGAAATTGCTGAATATTCGCTTAGCAAAGAAAGACGAACATTTCCGGTTGTTTTTGGAGTTCAACAACGGAATGGTTCAACATCTTTCCCAAGGAATTGAAGGTGTCTGCGGAAACAAGAGTCTGAGCATCATTGTAAAATCTTTTAATGAGTTCTTAAGATACAAGGTACCTTTCAGAACCGTATGAGTGACTTCTCGAAAAAGTACATTCGCCCGTTGCTGGAGAAGAACTACAACGCCAAAGCGAAGAGAGAAGGGAAACTGGTGGAAATGGACAGAGCGTTTACAATGAGGTAATTCCCGCATTCAGATTGTGTTGACATGCCTCTTTCGACTTTCAGAGAAGCATTAATCAACAGTCCGTCCCAAAGTTCATTCAAGCGTCAGCAGACATTCGATGAAATGGCCGAAAGCGGAGTGATCCCTCATGATTTCTTGGACGAGGACCACCACAGCCACCACGCAGGACACATTCACCCGAGTCGCGAAGAAGTGGAAGAGCGTACTGACGAGCTTATCAAAGACGTTTCTTCAATTCGCCACCTCATGAGTAGTCCATTCGAAGAGGTAAGTGATAGAGAGGATATGAAGATTCTATTACAGTTACAGTGTTACTTGGACCGCAACCTGACACACGAGGAAGAGAAAGAGCAAGCGAGAGAGAAGATAAAGACGCTGAAGACGAGGCCTTCCCGATTCTCGTCTGTGTATGTTTGACCCCCTGTGATACAGTAAAAAAAGTTTTGTTCAGGAGAAAGCGGCTTGGAATTGGAAAGAAGAAGGCGGTCCGGAGACATGCCACACAACAGGGACTCATCCATTCTGCGATCGCAACCCTCGGAGTCCATTCTGTAACCGAGCAACCATCAACATCAAGTGAGTGTCACTCCAAGTAGCCGTGGTCTATCCCTATTCGCAATTCTCGCGTCTTATCTCGTCGACGTTAAACAAATTGTTATTTTAAGATAACGAAAGAATTTCAGACCTCTTTTGTGCGTGTGTGTTGTGCAGAAAATGTGCATTTCATGTTAGTTAGACTGTAGTTTCTCACAGAATGGAAATTCTTGGATTTGAATTTTGAAAAAAGTATCTCTGTTTGTTTTGCAAACAGTCCAGACTTTTGGGGGAAATGGAAAATTAACCATTTTGATTTTTGACTTTTTAGCTCGTGTCAGCGTCGAAGATGAGGAAGGAGGATTGAACATGAAAGAGATGGAAGAGGAACACCCTCTCGTCACCATTAAGGAAGGAGACGAGACCGCCTTCTGATCATCTCACCATCCAACTGCACAACCGTCTCTAACTTATTACATTCTTGGATTAAGTAACCCAACCCAATTCCTAGTTGTTTTGGCCGCTTTATTTCCCCTTAACCAAAAAAAATGACAACTTTTCAACTGGGCTCTATGATTCATTCACTTTCCTTGTATACTTGGATTGTTTCCTTTTCCTGCTAGCATTCTGGTTTTGTAATTTCTGCTCATATGTCTCATAATTGGAATAAACTTGGAAAATTTCCCTTATAAGAACATTTTAAAAGTGAACAAAAAGAGAATAGTTTCATGGCAAACGCCCACATAAACGGATCACTTCCTGCCTCCGCCGCTTGTGGCATCTTTCGCCGTGCCTTACTCGGTCATCAGAATTCGGGGTATATTGTGTTGTGAAGAACATTGTGCGGCACCAATTAGACGAGCATCGTCCGGAATGCTAATCATTTTCCAATTCGTCCGTCGATTTGACATTTCATTTTGGAAAAGCTCATTTGTTATCTTATGCAACCTCTCAGTTCATGACCTATTCCGACTTCTCCTTTTTTCTCCTCTTCTACCCGTTTTGCAAGTGTGCCTTACTTTGAAAGAAATAAAAGTCTTTCCGAGCTAAAAGTGTTTGAACAGGAACTCCAACCGATTATCCTAGCTTTATAATATAAACCCGAGCACTCGCGGAAAACGGTTAAAAGCTTTCAGATTCCGAGCTCTGTGTTGCCTTCATCATGCTTCTGCGCAGTTTCTGTCTGGCTCTTCTCATTCTTGCTACCGTCGTTTTGTGCCAGAATGAACTAAAAGAGGAGAAGCGGCGAATAGGTATGACGATTCTCATCTTGTTGTTGCCCATGAATGACCACTTAGCATTCAGGACTTCGCCTGCCAAACTTCCTCCGTTACAAAGACCCGGAGGCTCCGATAGTTCAGAAACGAAGAATCGGACTGCGATTGCCGAACATGCTGAAATTTAAGGACGCGAGCAGCATGTATCATTTGGAGAAGCGACGTATGGGCATGCGACTCCCCAACATCATTTTCTTGCGCAACGAAAAGAAGAACGTTCTTGAGTACTAATTGTACTGTACTTTATTTATTGATGCCGTTTTCCCTCCTGTTCCGTTCTCTCTTTATTCTCCACCCTAATCACAATGAAGTCGTCATCAAATGTTAGTCATCCACAGTTTTGTTTTTTCCACTCCGCACTCTCTTTGGTGGTTTGGTTCCTGTTCGAGCTCTACCGGAGAAAAAAGACGATTGCGTTGTGCCGCCCGCCCGGGAATATGGTCATAAAATCGGAAAACAGAACGGGCGAGCGGCCTCGTCACCATCCCGGCCAACACAGCAGCAGCAGCAGCCGCAGCAGCAGCACAGCGCGGCACTGTAATCAAAAATCGATTCGATATATGCAAATCGTTTATTGTCTTCCTCTTCCCATTCGCTCCTCGCTGCCCTCCGCTCATTCCTTCGCTCCCACAAACCGGAAAACACCGCGTCCGGAATGTCTCCGTCGCGCAAGGACCCTGGTATCAACCTGTCGAAGATGATAATCGAGAAGGACTCGCTCGTCTGCAGCTTCACTAGCTTACCTAGTGGAATGTGGGGCATCCAAAAGGTGAGCGATCCGAGTCTAATAGGCACTCATCTGATCATCAGTATTCAGTTCCTTCTGAACTTGAGTTTGATGGTCGACATTGTCTTTGTCATTGCATGCCTTCTCAACTACGTCAGCTTCCACGTTGGCTACGATTTTTACGGTAACACCGCCGTCCGATGACTGATATCACGTGAGACACAGATCCTTCAGCTGTTTCCGTCTCATTCGTTCATGTCGGAGCCGTCATCGTCTGCATTGTAATCCTGTTCGCCTCCCTCTACGCTACCTACGGACTCATCGTCATGAACCTCCGCAAACTCTGCATCGCTCTCTTCATTTGGGTGAGTTTAGACGTTTAAGTGATAAAAGAAGTCCCCAAAACTTTCAGCTGGGACACTTGGCTTGTGCTGGATTCTTCTTGGTGTCCGTAGCCGTTGCCTGGGTCAGAAACTTCAAGTTCGACCCGCTCAACATCCAACAGTCAACGTGCCAATTCATCCGCGTGCCAAATGCCTGTGACGTCACTCTTGAAGAATACCTGGTAACTGATAGGCTATCAATTATAATCACACTTCACTATTCAGGCTGGAGTCTCTGTGTTTGTTGTTCTCATTGCTTTCTTCAAATTCGCCCAGATCATGTGCCTCCGAGCCCTCTGTCTGTTCAGTCAAGAAGTCTTCCAATACGTTGACTGTGAGAGTTTCTACAACCGCTGGTACGATGAACGACTGGAGTATCTGTGAACTAAACGTTTTCAGCCTCACCGAGCCGGATCGTCGTCGTCGACACGCCCAGCGCCGTGCTCAAAAGGACGCCAAAGGAAAGAACGGAGCGGATGATAGCGATACCGACGAAGAAGATGTAGGAGTGATCAGAAATCGTTATGAATATGAAAGATCACATTTCATTCAGGTGGTTGTTTTTGAGCGCGTGACCGGCCGTTTCCCGGGAGGCAGCACGATCAGAGACAACAGCATTGCTTGATTGATCAATTCCGATGTGATTCTGTCATAAATTGTTATGAACATTCAGCCCTAGTCTTCAATAACAAAAAAGCAGCCAGGGAAGCGGAGAAGTTCATTTCAGTCATCAAATGTAAACAAATCAGCAGAAATTGCAACTTTTCCTGCAGTTACTTTTCATCCAAACATTGTGGTTCGGGTTGTTACAGAGATCTTGTAGTGCCCACGCTCCGCAGTAAACATTTTTATCGTCGCATCCTACAAGATGATACGGATTTGGAAAAAGGAAATCGGCTCACCTGGTTTGCAGTACATCTTATTCAGAATTTCCACATCCGCAGTGCTCATCTTTGCTCGTTGTCCGAGCAATCCAATGTTCGCCTGCTGATTAACCAGTGGAATCATTGTGGGTTTTGCAATATTCACTGCAGCTGTGTAGGCGTTATAGTGCATAATACTGTCGTAGGCGTATTTGACGCCGTAGGTAGTGTACAATTTTGAGTCTGCCACCACGAACGCGTCGTATTGCTGCGGGTTGATGTTGCTCCAGTCGACCTGAAAGTTGCGTGGGCGTTGTTTTATGGAAAATTTGGGAACACACTTTGATGTGTTTATCTCGGTCCATTCTCAAATGTTGATGGTTGACTCCCAGTGCGTGCATCGTTTCGTGCACTGCAATTCCTCGGCCGTTTCCGCATTGAAAACTCAAATAGACGGGATTCGCTGGTTCAACTCTTCCAATATACGACAAACCACAGCTAAATGACATGAAAGTACAGTAATTGAGAGAATTTATACTTAACTTACAAGGATGGCGAATTCACTTTCTGGTAGTTGATGTGATTCCCTTTGGGAGCAGTTGCCATGTATTTGAACCGAATACAAGTGCTTTGCTCAATTTCCGATATGGCACCCCGAACATCATTCTGATCCAGATTATCCAGTGAAGAATCGAAAGTATAGGGAATGGGAGTGCTTGTAGGCCACTTTTGAACCAAGTTCTGCTCGAAAAAGATGGATGCGCGTTTCGCTTTAGCCGATCCTGGCTGTGGAATTGCTCCTTCACCACCTTTTCCCAATTCGTTGAGCATATAATTTGCCTGTGCCTCAGTAAGAAGAAGGTCTTTGTCAAAAACGCCATTATCAGCTGGCGCAACCTGAAAACCATGGTAAACTGTGGGGGAGACACAGTAGAACCACTTACAACTCCCTTCAAATTGGCCTTTTCCAGCAGAGCCTGTTTGAGCTGCAATGTTCTGTCGAACCTCATGTTCATTTTGTCAGCCACATCATTTCCGAATATCTTTTTCTCAAAAGCCACTGTTTTTTGAAGAATGTCCTGTTTCATTTGAACGTTCTGCTCTGATTGCTGCTTGCAATTCATTCTTTGGCAAATATTCTGTAAGGTTGCAGTACATTCAGTTACAAAAATTGTTCTACCTTAATGCTGTCCGTGAATTGTTGACTGATCTGTCCAAACTGCACTGCAATTCCACTCAGCGCATTTTTTAAGTCATTGTTAATTCCAGCCAATGGATCTTGTATGTTAATGCTAAAATTGCGTTTTTTTTTCTTCAAAATCTTCTTGCGGCCATTACTCAGGAACTTACAAAGGAACTTTTGGCAGCCATTTCCCGCTGTCAACGAGTATTCCACTAAGCATAGATCCGATATCATTGAATTGCGGGAGTTGTCCGCTGTAAACCCATACCTGTTCTGCTTTGTTATATCTAAAATTGGTGATGAATTAACTAAAGCATCTATGTCAGCCAAGAAAGAGGTGTTTCTAGCAGAATTTAATCTTCAACACGTGTTCAGTCAGTACTTTCCACAAAAAGGTGACGTACCGACACTTGGGATGCCCCGGGAACCTTCTACAAAACCGACGAGCGTGTTCCATCCACTGATCTTGGGGTGGTGCCGGTCCTTGCGCCATTTTACCGAGATCATTGTTCACATCCAGTCCGTGAGTAATTTTTCCAATTTGATCAGAAATTCCTTGCATCATTCCATTGAGATTCCCTAAGATTTCACCAAATGGGCTACCAGGACGGCTCCCCTATAAGTTTTCGAAAATATGTTTGTTAACGTTTAAAAATAGCCTTACTGGTGGTGAGTTTGCAGGCGGAGGTCCATTATTCATACCACCTGAAGAAGTTTTTTCAAGATGATCACTGTATGCTTTGATAGATACCTCCTAAACCCATTTGATTGAAAAAATCGAACTGTGGCCAAGCATTGGTGAGTCCGAATAAAAGAACAATAGTAGGCAATAACATTGAAAACAGTAGAATGAACAGATGTTGGATCAAGGCAGGTAGACCTTATTTTTCACTTCAAATTGAAAAACCCGTTGCAAGGAATGAAATTTTGGTAGAAAGTCATTACACTGTCTTATTTTGTATTACACAGCGTTCGATGCATGTTGAAAATTGGCCAGAAAGGTCGCCGGAATTGGTGTTTGACAAAGAAATGAATCACGGTCATTGTTGATCAGCTTCACAGAAGATTGAGTCATCCCAACTGTTTGGATGCGGAACAAAGTTTCGAAAGGTTGTAACGTCTCCAAACACGGATACAGATAAGAATACGCGAATGGTCTATCCGCCGAACAGCAAGTGGATATGTGAAGACAACCCGAGGGCGAGAGATAAATAGAAGAGGTTGTTGTGTGTCTCATTCATCACCGACCTTTTAATTGTGTCGTAAATGTGCGTTCGTGGTGTAATGGTCAGCATGGATGCCTTCCAAGCATTCGACGGGGGTTCGATTCCCCCCGAACGCAGACTTCTTTTTAACTTTTCGAAGAGACACATATTGTCCTATTTCAAAACGGAGGTTATTGGGAACAATGTCCAGTCATTTTTACAAAGACAATGCGTAAATAGAGTTGAATTCTTAAGATGAAAGTCACCAAAACTACTCAACTACTTGTTCTTCTTCGTCTTCTCCTCCTTTTTCTATTCTCATTTTCCAGACGCGCTTCATTCTCCCAAAAATGTACATACATAAATGATGACGAGCAATAAAATGCATCTTCTCAAGTTTTACTGGCAGAAGCCGCCTTGGGCATTCCATTCCTACTGTCAGTCACTCATCTGTGACAAATATATCATGACGCGACGTCGTCTTTTCATCTTTTCTAATTTCCTATTTCATTTTAGCTCTTGCTTGCTTGATACTTTATTCTGAACCCATTTATCCTTTTCCTTTCGGACCAAATCTCACGCAATTCATCAACAGACACAACGTATTGGCATATATTTGTTTTTCTTTTCTTTTCCCCCGTATCTAATAAATTTTTAATCGAATCATTTCCATCCAGTTAGTACTGGCCATGTTAGTAAACAATGCCGAAACATGGCCGGAAGGTGTAGTAGTTTCCTGGTATTCATCCTTCGGCTCACAAATTGTCGGGGCAAAAGCAGGAGACGGCACCATAAAACGTGCCTCGGTCCCATAAAGATAGTTTTTATCCCATTGCCCGAATTCCCAGATTGCCCCCCCCCCCTATCTCCAAGCTTGGAATTGCTGTTTCCGGGCGGCTGGGCTCTTTTCCGGATAATCTCTTCCCTCTGTCGCACCGCTTTCTCGGTTTACACTCGACAGAAATAATGGGGAAAGAAAAAGAAGAAGAAGAAAAGAACACACAAAAAATCAGAACCGCTCGAAAACATAATAAATATCAAACGTCTAGTCTCTGAAACAGTGGACAGAAATGAGAGATTCGGAGAAACCAGTTTCCGTTAACCATTGAAACGTCAGAAGGTTGTGTGATAATGAGCGGAGCCAGATGGTTCGAGTTCATACGCATTCTTGGATCATTCGTTCCCATTCCCATCTCACTTTCCGTGTCACTAACCATGTTTTCCCCATGAATAATTCTTGTCTGCAAGAGTGCTCTGGGAAAGAACAAAACGATTTGACACTCCTTTTTTGGCACCGCTCAGCTTGTTCTGCACTTTTAGGCCTGGAAACTCTCTCCATCCTTTTTCTTCTGTTCGTGGTCCCGACCATAATTGGATTTGTGTCGAGACAAGGCACGAATAGGAAGTTCCCTAATCTTAAAAACTTGGGCAAAGACGGAAATTAGGTCTGATGCGTTGCGTTTGTTGCTCGTCGGACCTTTGTTTTTGTTTCCTAATGCACATCTCGTTCTTTTCTAACCTATTCTCATCCGATCTCTTTTCTTTGCATCTTTATTCTGTTTCAATTCGTAGACGGACACATGTAGATGACAACGGACTGGCGGATGTCATCGGAAGCAGCGAGGCGGTGAATAACATCCAATCAAAGATTCCCATCCCATTGTTTGAGTTCCTTTTGAAACTGACGCATTCTGCTCACAATTCGATTAAATTTGCGCACTTTCTTTACATCTTTTGAAAACCAAAACCATAGTATTACAGGATGCTGATAAAGAATCTGATTCCGTGGTCACTATCTTTCTGCTCCCTCTTTGCCCTGTCCAGTAAGTTTTGCTTTTCTGTGCACTGACATGTAATGCTTTCGAATTGTCCCCCTCGAGTGGTTATGGGGTTCGTAGTTATCTTTAGATGGTCAAACTTTAACCACTTGAATCAGAGAGTGACAGTTTGAAAGCATTACACGTGAATTCCAAGTTTTTAGAATCCTACTACCTTTCGATCAACCATGTCGTAAACCACAAGTACTTCGGTGCATTCCCTGAAGAAGTGAGAAAGAAACAAATGAATGTTTTTATTTTTTCCCATTTTTTCTCTTGTCAGGACTATATCACTATGGCCTACGTCATTGGAGGGGACTTCATGAATCGGTTGCTTTTCATGCAACATTTCAAGTCCATCCTCCAAAATTCGGACCGTTACTTCCGATTGCATTTCATCACGGATCAAACAAACAAAGACGATCTCAGCACTCTCATGAGAACCTGGAACATCACCAATTGTACGTTTCTGACTGAAGCAAGCAACAAAGTTTTAATTTGCATAATTTTCAGGCGACTGGTTCGTTCACGATCTGGATAAGTTTGTTGACCGCGTGAGATGGATTCCAAATGTTCACTACTCGAGTCACTACGGAATGAGCAAGTTGCTGATCCCCGAAATTCTTCCAGAAACCGTCGGAAAGGTAGTTTTCACTATTATTTCTTACTTTGTTTTTGTCTTTTCAGGTCATGTACGTCGATGTTGATCTTGTGTTCCAAGCCGATATTTTTTATCTCTGGCAGCAATTTCGTCATTTCAATCATACACAATCGATTGGAATGATTGAAAACATGTCTGACTACTATTTGAACAAAGATGGGATGAGATCTGTTTGGCCTGCAGTGGTGAGTCTTGTTTTATTCCAAATAATTTATTTTTACACATAAATACCGAGTAACAAGAATGAGTGTATTAAATGAATTATCCCCATCCGCATCCGCAACATCCGCATCCGCATGGCATGACAGTGGCGGCTGGGGCAACAGTTCCACAGCATCCGCAACCGCAGCATCCGCAACCGCATCCATAGTACCGTTTAGCACGGATAACCACTCCGGACTGGCCTTCGGAAGTTAGATCGTCCATGTTAGAAATGGGTTGATCATCGGTAAGAAGTGCAAGACCAGTTTCCTCAACTGGGTTTCGAGCATTATCCGGTTCGGGTTGATTCTGAAGAATGTCATGCGGTTTGAGACTTTTGGGAAATTATAAACCTGATCGTTCGATGTGATCTCAATCATTTTTTTGTCGTTTTCGTTTCCTAGAAGGGAATCCAAGATTCCAGCGTTGACGAAGCAGACAAGGAGAGCAAGGGAAATGAAAGACAAACGATGCATGTTTGTTGTTGTGTCTCCTCTGAAACCGAGTCCTTTTATACCGCAAGATCAATATCACCCACTGTTTGAACATGTGTTGCATAACAAGATGCGCATATTGAGTGAGCAACGGATTTTTTTGTTGCAGGGACGCGGATTCAATTCAGGAATAATTCTGTTCGATTTGGACAAGCTACGTGGGCGCGATTGGAAAAACAAATGGAGAGCAGTGGCGAATAAGTATTTGAAAATCCACGGAAAGACGACAATGTCAGACCAGGTGGGTTTGGCTCGAAACGGTAAAAGTTCAGTGTTTTTTTATAGGACGTTTTCAATGCTTATATCCACGATTATCCGGATGAGATTAAAACTCTTCCGTGTGAATACAATTACCAACTCGGAAGTCTTACGAAATCGAAGGAACTCTGTGATGAAACGCCTCTTGGTCTTCACTTCAATTCCCAAAACAAGACTGTCCGAAGAGGATACAAGCAGTACAATGACAAAAGAAAAGAAATTGAGGGGATTGATGGGACAGAACTGCGAAAACGGAGATCACCGAAAGTGAACTACGTTCGTCGCGAAAGTACAATCTGTGACGTGTTCTTGCCTTCTGCTGACTTCCGGACCTCTCCGAACGCATTGGGCCGACTCAACAAAACCGCAGATCTTTGTCTGATCACCCAATTCTCAATAGAACGTCTGAAACTCTTTTTGGACAACGCCATTGAATGGGATGAAGCCATTTCCGTCGCTGCATATGGAACTGACAAAGATCTGGTAAGAAGTGAAACGTTATTTTATAATTGATTGAATCACCTTAAAGATGACCATCATGAAAGCTGTAAAGGAACTGAATCGGACGAACATCGCACTTCATTTGGTCTACGCGGATTTAGAGGTATAAAAAATGTTCATGATGGCTATCAGTTGCCGTATTTGTGCTTCAGTCTGTTTATCCCATCAACTTCTTACGGAACGTCGCTATGAATCACTCAAATTGCGTTAATTATCTTCTGTCCGATGTTGACTTTACAATTTTCGGAGGTCCGTCAAAGAGGTAGAACTTTTTGAAAACTACTGTAAAGTTTCAGACCGTAAAAAGCTTCACGAGCAAGTAGCAAACCTGCAGCCAAAGGAAGTTCTTGTGATTCCAGCTTTTGAAGCCGTCAAAAACGTTTCTGTTGAGATTCCGCAGAATATAACAAAACTGCTGATTACGGAGCTGATTCGCAATGGCACGGTTAGATGTACGACTATACTTTTCGAATAGTTTTTGTGTTTCAGCTTCATTCGTTTCGCGAGAAGGAATATCAAAATGGTCACAATGCGACCAATGTGTCTCGATGGATCGAATCTGACGCCGTCTATGAGGTAATCATAAGAACTTTGTGGAAATTTTTCAGTGTTACAGGTCGCCTACGAGAAAGACTACGAGCCGTACTTTGTGATTCGAAATGAAAACTGTCCACGCTACGACCAAAAATTTGGCGGGTTTGGGTGGAACAAGGTCACTCATGTTATCCAACTGCACATGATGGAGTAAGTCGTAAATCCAAACTATTTTTGGTCACCGCATATATTCCAGTTTCAAGTTCAAAGTCTCTCCAACCAGCTTCATGATCCACAAAGAGCACAGCGTTTCGGATTCGCTCCTCCTTTGGCGTGAGGATATGAAGTACCGTCAATGTCAATATTTCAATAAGAAATGGTTCATAATGGAAATTGCCGGAACGATGAATTATACTCATCATTTGCGCGAGCAATGAAGTGCAATCAAGTAGTAGTCATAATTCTTTTTAACGAGTTTGTCACTGCGCTGTTTCGAAACAAATTGTATCCAAAAGTGCTTAGTACATAAATACTCTGCTTGTGTATGTATATCCGAATAAAAATAAATTTCAAATCTTCGTCTTGCACAAAATCTTTCTCACTACATTTATGTTTGATTGTGTCGCTCTTTGGCGCCAAATTGGTCTTTTCATCAAGATTCTCAATTTGTTTGTTTTAGTTTCCGCAGCCGTTTTTTTTTTGAAAGCACACGGCTACATATCGACACGGAAATCGGAGAGCCCGCTCTCATAACAAGTTTCTTTCCCTCCAGCACATAGACACATCAATTCCGGTTTGATGAAGCAGTCGAACACACCATATCATAACTAGATTAGAGCCCAACACAGGGAACTTTTGAACCAATCTCCTCCATTTTTCAGTCAAATTGATTGCACAGTTTTTTTTGCTGTTAATGCTTTCGTTTCATTCTTTTCATGTGTTTGGTCTTTTTCATGACACAACACGAGTGAGTTAAGTCACCGCAGATTTGCATTTTAAACAAAGGGAGTAGTCCCTTCGGAGAAACTGGAACGGGACGTTCTTTCCCATTTTCAGACGTGAAAAGTGTAACTATCGAGGATGTCCTCGACTACTGATACTCCTGAGAGCGATCTGGACCCACCGACTACAGAGGTTAGTGATACATTTAAAGAGTTTCATTGATTTTTATTTTTAGGCTGAATCGAGTGATCAACGGGAAAACGAACAAAGGACTCGACTCTTCTGGAGTGATGGGCATGTAGTGGATGAAACTTATGAAGAGGTAGGTGAAAGAAGACACAACGTTGTTTCACCTTTTCCAGTTGGAAGCTCCTGATTTCAATTATGTGGAAGCTGGGTATCTAGCCGATGACGAGGTCTGTCTGCTTTTGAAGTTTAGTAATCATGATGCATGTTTTCAGAGTGATTGCGAAGACGACGATGTCAGGAGATTCCCGATGAAAGTGCTGAAGCGATCGCACGAATCTTCCATTGCAAGCAGCCTCTTTCAAAGCGATTCTGATAGTTTCGAAGAAAAAGCAGAGCTCTGACGTGTGAGTTCACCCAAAAAATGTTCTATTGTTCTTTAAGTGTACATTCTTCAATGCGTTGTCGTCATGTCTGGTATAAACGATTTATTTGTGGTACTTTACATTAAATTAACAAAAAAAAAATGAGATTTTAGCTGTCCAAGATCATATTTTGCAAAAGTCTTTCGTCTTGCACCAAACCTCTCCATCCTGAAAGTGTTCATTGTATCCACTCATTTTGCGGGCCAATTCTTACCTCACACATGCACTCGACACACATATCATTCGCATGATTCCATCTCTCGCCGCTCTTCCTTCTCTTCCCCTCGTCATGACAGCTTTTCTTCGGGTGGTGTCTTCTCTTCCGTTTCTTCACTTTTTCCTCACCTCCAATCGCGTTTCGGGCCAGCGTCGAGGTCGAGGAGCACATGGCATCACAGCACGTTGTCCACATGTTTAGGTTGACTTCCGGCAGCGACTCGCACGTCTCGTAGAACTGTGTGCTATTCCCGTGGTAGACAAAAATGTCTCTCTGAAAATGATGATATGAAACGCGCGCCGCAGAAAAGAAGGGATTTCCCGACAAACCTGAATTCGGTCGATGTCGTCACCGTTTGTGCAAACGATCTTTGACAGTGTTACTTTCTTGATTTGACGCAATTGGGATTTGGAAAACACTTCTTCATTCTCGTACCAGAACCGATCTCCATCTCTCAGTCGTCGGAACTGATCGGCTATAATGCACGCGAGCGTCGGGCCCATTAATGCTTCGGCTGTTCTCTTCTCAGCGACCCCACCAACCCAGAGATCAATGTTCTCTGCAAGATCGATGATCGCATTCTGACTATTGGTGCATATCATTACCAGGAACACCGTAAAGAGATTGCAGTTTGGAAATGACCGTGTCGTTCTGAATTATGCTTTTCATATCCGCCCACGTTTTTGGGACAGTCAGATTGCAGAACGTTCGGTATTCGGTCCACGTTGGCAGTCCGTGGTCTCTTCCTCTCTGAATGTTGAGTGCTGCCAAGTCTAGAGCCACTTCATGGTAACGATTGAATAGTTTTTCGGTCAGTTCTTTGTTCAAAATTTGATCAGGTCTCGGAAGTTTGATGGGTGCGGCGAACAATCCTCGCAGCAATGGGTCTACACCACCTTCAGACACCAATCTCTCCGGAGCGAAGAATGCCTGAATGAAAAAATTTGTGAATTGAGCGTTTCAAACAAATTGGCAACTCACGTTATGCAATGGCAAATGTCCTTCTTTAATTTCCTTAAAATCTTTATCAAATCTGAACAGATGTGGATTGATGAGAGTATGAGCAAATCGGAGTGCAGCCGTCGCGAATTCATTTGCAATTGTCGGATTGGTTTCGGGATTGTAACCTTTGTACTCTCCAATAATCGTGTTGTACGTGGCTTTTCCAAGAATTTTCGGAAGCCAGTCAGTATAAGTAACGTGTTGAAGCATGGCGCCAATGATCTTTCTTGTTTCTGAAACACTTTTTCCATGGGTCATTGTCTTCTTTTTCCACAAAACCTTGGAAAATAGTCTCTCCATCCCAATTCTCGTTGACCTCCAACAATTTTGAAGCAATCCGATTGTGTTCTCTCATAAATATGGTGTGCATGCTCATAAGACCCAGCTGCAATAGAACGAAAATGGATATAATTGGAGGGATTGCGTCAAATCCGAACCGACCTGCTCATTTGCTCTGATATCTCCGGCCAGGAAGCATTTGATCGGGTTCTCGCGGGAGTAATTACGGCGGCAATCCATGTCGGAATCTCTTTCGAATGGCATGTACGGTTTGTTAGCTCTGCAAACAGATGTTATGTTGGATGATCTAACGAGGTACCTACGCAGAAACAATATCGAATCGAAGAAGTCCGTGATCACTGTACAAGTCGCGGAGCTCCAATGCTTGTTCTTCACTGTTCCCGTAGATTCCAGAAGCATCGAGATAGGAAGTGAGGACGTTGAGCTGATCGCGATAGGTGACTCTTTGGAAGATCGGAGAAGTCTCTCCGCTTCCACAAGCTGCTCCATTCCTCTCAAACTCCATGCATGGATGTTTTTGATAGAGACCAATGTGCAATTTCGGATCGTCAGCTTCCAATTGGATATTGAAGCACGGATCGGCATTTTCACAAGTTCTGTTGCAAAAAGCGCCTTCTTTGTAGCTGTGACGAGTGAGAGCAGGCGCCGTGAGAGTCAGATCGTGATCTGAAATTAATAATTTAACAAAGTAAAAACCCTGGATATTTGAGTCCTCACCAATAAATTGGCCCCACTGCATGGTCATTGCACTCAAGTGACTATGAGGCGTGATCTCATCGCTCCCAATAAGAACCCTTGACACCTTTCTGGCATTTGGCAATTCATATCCATTGTAGAGCTTTCCCTTTTCCCATCCAACTGGCGTGTTGAATCCGTTTTCATAACGGGGTGGCAGCAGTCTCATGAAAGCCATTTCGGATACTCCCCACCAGGGATGTTCATAATTATTGCATTGTCCGTCGTACGATCTGCAAATGCCATTTTGTTCAAGGTTATTTGATATTTGAAGACAGAAAGAAATGTTGCACTTCTAGACTATTTCATCATCATTCGTAATCTTTTCTATTTTTAGCATTCTTACCTATATTTGGAGAAGAAACAATGGTCTTCGCAACTTTCTGCAAACTGACCAGTTTGACAACCAGACTTTTCCATGAGAGTTTGAACGTATGAAACTGGAAGCACAGCTTCATAAGACACGTTTGGAGAGATATTAGTTGCTTCGAATGCGAGACCTGAACAAACTCATCGGAATTTTACAACTTTGATTCGTTGTCGGTACCGTTGTCAATATGCATCTGAACGAGACGAATGCTCTCCTCGTAGATTTCCCTAGCCTTGCCCAGGTCCACTTTCTTCAGGGGCAATGCAAACTTGAACAGCTTTTTCAAATCGTGTGGACTTTCAATTTTATCCATTTTCCGCTGATCGTTTGTAGATGCCAATGCACTAAAACTGTGATTTTCAACTTGATATCTGGACCGCTCATACCTTTCAACTTTCTGCTTTGCCTCTTTCGCAATCTTTTCGATTGTAGAGTCATTCAAAAGTTTATCAACTTTCTCGGTCAGTTCAGCGCCGACCAATAAGTTGGCGGTCGCCACAGCGGAACCGACACTGTTTACGGCCTGACACGTAAACACTCCAGAATCGTGCCTTGTCACTTTTTCAATGGTCAGCTCCACGTTATTGTCAGAAATCTGGAATCATAACATTAACATTTCTGTTGATACAAAAATTGTTGTGCATCGTACCGTGTATCTAGTGTTTCTACGTGGAACACGAGTTCCTTCGAACAACCAAAAGACGTCAGGGGCCGGGAGTCCTTTGGCATAGCATCTAAGGGTCACTTGCTGGCCAATCGTTGCATTCGTGTTCATCGGCGGGTCAACTATCATTGGTGGCTCACTGAAATCATTTTATGAGCACATACATCTCAAGTAATGGGCACCTTTCAACCAATGTGACAGTGAACATGTGCGTCTCTGAGCCTTTGTCATTACTCGCTGTGCACTTGTATTGTCCAGCGTCTGTATTCAAGAACGGAAAAACTTTCAAGACCGTTCCATTTTTAGTCAATTTGTGCTTGCGAGACTCCATAATAATCTGAAAGATAATAAAAAAAATGAAAAATTCTAACAAAAATGAAAATAATAATTGCTCACTTCTTCTCCAAACATCCACGCGATAGAAGGGGTTGGTGTTCCAGTTGCTTCACAATTCAGTTCCAATGTTTCTCCGTCACGAGAGGAAGTGTCTGGTTGTTTGTGCACAAACATTAGAGCTGACTCGACTTCTGGAATTTCAGTCGTAGTTAACATTGTTGTAGTTGTGGTGGTCGTCGTTGTGGTTGGTGGCGTGGTTGACACTACAGCAGGAGATTTTTTTGGCTGAGTGTGCACGGACTGTTTCTGGCGGTAAAATGCGCATTGATAGTTTCTAGTGAATTGGCCATTGGAGAGGAGGGAACCATCTTTGTCCCGAGAGAAATGAGCAGTATGACGAGCATCTTTGTTGCTGAAAATTGAAACCAAATAGGCAAACAACTTTTACTCGTTTCCTCACTTTTCCAAGAAAATCGGGTCGTAGTGATAAGACTCCATCTCATTGTTTGGACAGCTCATCTTATACATTCCATCGTCACTCTTACTGTATATTGGCTTTTCGCATTTCAAACTTTCCAATGATAACTAAAAGAAAATGCACCTGAACATGAATTGCAACAAACAACACATACGTTTCTGAATATTTGGTTGCGTAAATCTTTCGGGAAATAGCATTTTCCAACGACGAACATATTTTGACTGGAATGCGCAAACAGAGACTCGGCAAACTGCTTCAGATGAGTCAGTCTGTGAAAAAAACGGGTATGATTCAGTTTCCACTGGAATTCTCACCTGCAATCGCAACTCCATGGGTTTCCAGCCATTTTCACATTCTTGATCGTCGGAATCATTCGTGAGTTGAAAAAGTCATGCGGTAAAGACTGAACTCGATTGCGTTGAAGATAGAATGTTTGAAGGTACGGACTGTTAGAAATCAACTGAAATTAGAACTTGAGGAACATTCAAAAACTGATTTTCTTCTCACATCACTATCCAACTTGGAGATTTCGTTCGCTCCCAAATTCAAGCTAACAAGGGCGTTCGGGGCAGTAGAGAGTTTTGATAGCGATCTGATCTTGTTTTTGGAAATATCCAGATACTTCAACCCGGGAATTGAGTCAATGAGAGTCTAAGAATAGCAGAACTTTTTCAGGTTTTAATACATAGAAATTTAGAAATACATACCTCCTCGATATTCCGAATAGAGTTATTTTGGACATCCAAATACTGCAGATTGGGCAAGTCATGAAAGTCAGCCTTGCTCAGAGATGTAAGTTGATTGTTTGCAAGGTATAGGTTAGTGGTGGAAATGGGAATGTCCTTTGGAATGGTTGTCAAGTCTGAACGAAACACATGAAAAGTTAAAAACCTAAAAAAGCTCACCTTTGCCTTCGCAATGCGCATCCAATCCAGAGCACATGCATTCTTTCGGACATGCTCTGACCACTGATGAGTAGCATAGAAGTAGGAATGCTAAGCGCATATCTAAAAAAACAGAATGAATGTTCTTTTCACTGAAGAAAGCCGAGACAAGGACAGTCACTGAAGCAAACAGTAACTTGATATTTCAAATAGGAACCAGTGAGTAGTAAAGTCCAATCATCTTGAGAAAGACTGAAGAAAATGAGTAAATTTATTTTGGGGTTTTACATGTTAATTCTATTTACTGAACAAATTTTTTTATATTCAAAAAGTAATGAAATTACACTATGTCAATGGGAAATAATAGCTTCAAAAGAAGTCTTCCATAGACCAGAGGTACCAAGTGACGATAGAGCCAAGTGAATTCGCCGAAAGACGTGCCCTTCACCACAGGGGACCGTCATTCGGCGCGGATCAAAAGATAAGGCACAAAAAAGCCGACGAGTAGTGTACAGCAGTGGCCGGGCAGCAGTCGCACGCACCAGATGCCCCTTTGCGCGGCCATATCAATTTTCCTTTGTCTCCTGCTTTGATATTACTTCTTCTTTCTTCAATATCACCTTTCCATCCGTTCCCATATCATTTCATCGTTAAACTGTGTTGCAAAGGTTGGCCGTTTTTCGGTGATTGATCGATTCTTTGCGGAAATGCGATTGGTCAGCGAATGTGGCCAGGCATGGGGACGACAGTAGGGTGTAATGTTACACCAAGGGATATACCCTAAACCTCAATCTATCGAGTAATATCCGAGCAGAAAGTGCGTTGCGCAATCATTCCGATTGAGCCATAGACAAATGTTGGCCAGACCTCTGCTGGTCCGCTCAACGGGACACCAAGAGACCGGGGGGAACTTTACGGCAGCGGCCAACTGCCCGGATATCATTTCCCCCTAACCACTGCCACGTCATACTAGAGTGCTAGGTCCCATTCAAATCGAACCGATCACGGACAGTGTTCCTCCCGGCTATTCTCCGCTTCATAATTGTTGTTTTCGCCTTCAGCTGGTACCAACCCTCACCGTACCACGATAAATTAGGGTAATTACTGTAGTCTTTATTGTTTTCGATTTGAAGGACACTTTTTTCACGCACGGCTACTTGTTACAGATAATTTTAAGAAAAAGTGATTACTTTTTTATGGAAGAATAAAATCACTATCATTTTAATACTCTAATGTGTGTGATCGCACCGGAAACGCTCGGTTTCTTGCGATAAGCAATCCTACTTCTCACTCTTTGTTGATTTCTTTTCAATACGAGCTGAATCGTAAAAGATAAAGTTCGACTGATAATTGTGATGTCATCCAATCCCTCTTTATCTCCGCAACATATCCTCGATGATTCTCCGCGAAAACAGGCACGAGCAAAAGATTAATGTGAACGGTATTCGCTGTTGTTGTTGTCCGTCCAATCCCTCGCATGACCCTCATCCATTCAGGCATTTCTCTTTCTCTTCCACTCGCTTGCTGCATCCGTGTATTGTCCTGTGCGACACACGTCCCTCCAGCCGTTCCATGTATTATCGGTCTCTCCGATCTGCGTCTCCCGCCATGTGCCCTCTCTCTCTCTCTCTCTCGTACAGTGCACTGCTCGGTCAGGCCCTTCTGCCGCTCGCATCTCGGTGTCATTGTGTTCCCGCACACCGTCTGTCCCTATCCCCCTTCTATGGGCTTCGTTTTTGACGGGATTAATGCATTTGATTCATTTAGGTCCAGCTAGGCTGTCATTACTCTTCTTTTTCACCCGGGTACACGCGGTTTTGCCCGTGTTATCAGGCTGAGTCAGCGGTCAGTAGGAGCCGGCAGCTATTTTTCATTTTTAACTATCCCGCTCGCCCACCATCTGTTTCCCGCTTCACAACATGAGAAAAATGTACGTTTTCAAAAATAGAAGGCATTCCAATCAATTCTTCCCATTATGTTTCTCTTCTTACGAACCGTTTCTTTTGTTATCTTATTTTTTCTAAAAATTGTATCGAACAATACTATTTCGGAGCAAAAATCGTCCTTTTGGAATTTAATCAAGCCTATCTAATCATATTGCCGGTGATCATGACGCTATGAACACGCGATATTTTCTATTATCTCCGTTCGTTTCTGCAAACAGAAACAGATAAGATTGGCCCATACTTTCGATGAAATGTTTGCGTTCTTTCTACGTATCCCGTCTCCAAATCAGTCATCTACAAAGTTTGACACGTCCTTTCGGGTATGCGTTGTATCTCGCACCTACATTCACAGCCTTGAGGTCTTCCGACATGTTTAATCAGGATTTGGGTACATGACCTGTTTTATTTACTCACTTCCACATACTTGGACCCTTGCAGGTGTTTGCATGCCATTCCTGTGTGTTTGGGGTCCTTATCCTTGCTTCCTCTTCCGTTGCTCATTCCTACTTCCTGCTTCTGACCTAATAATAACTGTGCTTTTAATCGAAAGGTCGACGAGTTCACGCCGTCAGCTGGCAGCCGTTGCCGAACACATCTGTGCCCTAATTATACGTGCATGGCCTGCACGGCAACACTGTACCGCACCACCTGCCCCTCTCCGATCCCCGTGGCCCGTCTTTGAATGTCAAGTGCCGTGCCCACCCGGAATATAAAAACTGACAAATAAGTCATAAACGCCCACTTTGAAAAAAAAACACGCACATACTCAATTGGAGCCGATGAATCATCTTATTTGTCTGTATTTATCAATGTAATTCTTCTCTGTCAACTCTAACTCTTCTCTGTTTGCATAATGTACGGCGCTTCTCCCGCTGCGTCTCCGTCGCTCTCTTCCTCGCTCATTCCGTTCTGCCTGTTTTCAAACTGTTGGAATCGATAAACCCCGCACCTCGCTTCGGTTCCGATGCGTCATCATTTCCTAACGCAGGCAGCCGTTTAATTCGATTGTTGTATTCGCTTTTGCGTTGGAATCCACCGATTACTCTCCGTAAATGAACACAAAATTACATTACAGATCCATTTTGGCTGATGAGGCAATAGCGAAAATTCAAAAGTACCTATGAAAGTACTGCTGACTGTGTTGCTTCTGTTGCATGCCAACGCGGCATTCAAACCGCCTACGATCGACGTTGAGGACCATCAGGTTCAAGAACATGGAAGTATCGGAAGATTTGTCGAGTTGGAAGAGCATGATGACCTTGTCTTGAAGTGTGCCGGCAGATTTGGTTCGTTTGAATTGTGTGACATTAGTCAGTAAATGGCTTTTTTCAGATGACCTTAAGTTCGCATTTCCCAAAATGGATGAGCATGTTGGATATAACGAGGAAGACTTCCAGAATCGAATTGAAGAGTACGTCGACGAAGGGTTCGGAGACACCATTCTGACTATCAAAGACGTTCGGGAGTCTGACACAGGAACCTACTCGTGCGTTTCTGAGGAACACGCTTCTCTAAACGATACCATCCATGTCTTTGTACATGGCTCAAAAATTTTTCTTCCACTAAAATCGGTCGCCTACATTTACAACGAAGGCGAAGTGATGGTCCCTTGCAAAACTACCAAATTCATTGATAAGAGTGATATTGAGCTTTTTGCCAACGACGGGCTCATCAAATCAGCTTCCAAAAATTACGATCAACGGTGAGTCATCTAATCTTGAACATGTAATGCAAAGACGTTTTTTTTTCAGTTATGGCTACAAGCTTATCAAAAAGATGAACGACGCAAAACCGATTGAAAATGTTCGATTCGAATGCAGATTCAGAAAGGACCCGTCACAAGAAGTTGACTTTTTGATCTCTGAAACATCAGTGGATGACGATGAAGGAGATTTCAAATTTTTTTGGGAAAAGGTAAATCGTTTTAATTCATTTCAACCTCTTAAAACATTTTCAGGGAACGGACTGGCCACATGTTGGATACAACTACACGATCACCTGTCACTTAACGTATTCCGGACCTTCAAAAAACTTTGGTTCGTTTCAACATACACTGCATGTGGATTGTCCGCAATGCTCTCAAGATATTGGTGTAAGTCATTGGAAATATAATCTTTTTTGCAAAGACGTGGAACTTACAGAGCCATGCCTTTGCGGATCGTCACCGTTTGAGCGGAACTCGAATTTCTGCAACCATTCGGATTTCAAACCTGACACTGGCCGACTCAGGACCATACAAATGTGTCTGGCAACCAGAGTACAAAGAAAAGAAGGAAATTGTGGAGACAATCGACGTCGCACCGAACAAAGCTCAAATCAAGATTCTGGAAAGAAGTCCGCAGATTCTGCGTATGAAAGAAGGTCATCCCATTTCTCTCTCGGCTCAATTCGCCGTGTACCCACTGGACGGAGACAACTACAAAGCTGTCTGGGGTCGATTGTATAATTCTTCAATCAAAGAAGGCCTTCAAAGCGAAACAATCAGCAATGACAAACATCGAACGATTGTGACAAGTGATTCCGGAAAAGGAGCATTTTCTGAGAAATTGGACATTTCTGGAGATTCGGTGAAAACTGATATGAGTGGAACGTAAGTCAATTGAGACAAATCATCTCCTATTTCACAATCCTCATTATTAAGATACGTCTTGACCATCTCACATCTGGGCACTGTGCAAGTGATTCAATGGGAGGTGGCAATTGAAAACACTGAGCCAGTCGTCCTAATTACCATCCGAGAACCGTCTTCATTCATTCTTTTTAACCAGTCTTTTTATCCTTCGAACTACCATCTGCATGTGGATTGTGTCTCGATTTCGATACCACCAACTGAGGTCTTTTTCGAGAAAAGATCTGACCGCAATTCAGAGTTCCATCCAATTGACTCGAATCAGTTGACTCAAGTCGGAGGAACGTATGAGAATGGATACATTTATAATCTGACACTTGAAAACAATATCGAACTGAAATGTTCCAGTCAACGACATGGAAAGGTAGAGGAAACTGTTTGCTTGACTCCCCAGTTGTGTGTATCATTTATTCTTCAGAATTTCACCACAACAAAGATGATTATTGTGGCCGATGGGCAACCAACTGCTTCTTCTTTCGTGAACAAGAGTAGCTCAGCGACAGAGTCGGAAAAGAACTTGAAAGGACTGTTCGAAGGTGATGACGTCACGCTTGTCTGTACAGTTCCGAATGGGGCAACCGATTTGGACGTGTCCTGGCGTCTCGACGACAAAGTTCTCATGTCTGAAGTTCGCGATGATCCAAATTCAAATCATTCGAAACATTATGTTCTACATTTGAAGTGAGGTTTTGTAAAATGTCAGTAGTTAATTTCGATTCTTGCAGAGACGTCACTTATCAATCGAGTGGAACTTACAAATGCTACGTTCAAAGTAAAAGCACAAAAGGTGGAAAGCCGGAGATTCTGGAGAAACACGTAATTGTGGAGAAAACGGAGAAGCCATACCACACAAGAGCTGAATCCATGACGTCCATCAAGGTCCATTACGATAAGAATTTTGAGTTGGACTGCAACTTGGCCGGAAATCCGCCGCCAGTCTACCAATGGTACAAGGACGGAAGGCCATACACCCATGGAGATGTGGATGGAACAGTGCTGCGAGTGACGAGGGCTCGTGCCGAAGATGAAGGACAATTTCATTGTCTGGCGACTAACAGAGCTGGATCCACTGACAACTTCTTCAGAGTGCACGTGAAAGGCGCTCCAAAAGGATCGTGGCTCCCGGCTTGGCCCACTGCTTTCGCTATTCTTCTTTTCCTCGGAATCAGTATTATTCTTGGCTACAAGCTTTACGGCTCGAAAAAGATATCCAAGCAAAAGGACATGTGAGTTGACTAAATCTATAAATACTTCATCTGTTAATATCCCTTTTCAGTGCTCTTTCGGAATTACACGAAGCCCTCGTCCGCACTCACAACGGACCACTTCCTGAAGACATGAAGGATCAGCCAATCGATCAGCTTGTTTATTACCTTCCGTACAACACTGAATTCGAAATCGCTGGCGAGAACCTGGAAATCCTCGACGTGCTCGGTACCGGAAACTTTGGAATTGTTCGAAAAGGTCTTCTGTCGATGGCTGATCCGAAAAGTCAGATTGAGTACAAGACTAAACTTCCAGTCGCTGTCAAAAGTAACCACTTTTTGTCTTAATTTCATCCAATTTTGTGTTTCATTTTCAGTGTCTGCCAATCGATACGACATTGCCCAGCAGAAAATGCTTGCCGACGAGCTGAAAGTGATGTGTGCGATCGGAAGACATCCAAATGTTCTGTCTCTTGTGGGAGCAGTTACTAGGAGCATGAGGAAGTAAGATATTATAAAAATCTACTGCGCATTCCTTTTCATTTTTCAGAGGACAACTGTTTATTGTCACCGAACTGGTGGAATGCGGAAACCTTTGTCATTATCTGACTGAACGCAGAAGTATCTTCAAAAACGAACTAGTGGAAGACGATGACGCGGACGAGGAGCCGCCGGTCGATGAGAGCTACATGGTGCCAAACAGTGCAAAAAAGAAGAAGTACACGTTCAATAAGAACGGGGAAAGACAAAGTCTTCTCGGCGAAAACAAAGACACCTTGTGCAGCTCGGATCTCATCTCATTCAGCATGCAAATTGCGAACGGAATGGAGTATCTGGCCACGGTTCCGGTGAGGAAATACTCGATTGTCAATAATATTGTATAATATTCAGTGTGTACATCGTGATTTGGCCTGCCGTAACATTTTGCTGACAAAATCCAAAATCGTTCGCATCGGTGATTTTGGGTTGGCCAAGAAATACGAAGACAAGCAGTATTACAGGTAAGAAAATCGAGATTTTTGACAGATATCACTGCAAAGCCACGTTTTCAGAACAAAAAACAGCAAGGACACTCCGGTTCCAATCCGCTGGATGCCATTGGAGTCGATTCTGAACCAAAAGTTCACGGAGAAGTCGGACGTATGGTCATTCGGAATCTGTCTCTACGAGATTTTCACTCTGGGCGGCCTGCCTTACCCGGGTATTGAAAGTACAAAAATTGTCGACTATGTCAAGCAGGGAAATATTAATTCCCAACCTGAATATTGTCACGATGAAATGTAAGTTTACAGTGTATTCGCTGACAGTCATCCCATAATATGCAAATTTTCAGCTACAAACTGATGAAAATGTGCTGGTACCGGTCTTCGGCAGAACGTCCAACCTTTTCCGAGTGTGTCCAATTCTTCAAACGGCACATGATTATCTCCGCCAACAGGGTAATACAATATTTCCGATTTTAGTGTGTATGTGTTGATTTTTTTCAGCTTCTCGAGCACGTGGATGATATGCTCCGTTTGGAGAAGCAACACCAGGCTGAGCTGGAAGACTGGATCCGCCCGTCTCGCCCCGATATTCCGGGTAGCGCTTTCCAGAAACCGGCTAAGAAACCGCAAGACCAAAGATATCTCGTTGTGGATGCGCACGAATAGTCTGCTTTATTTTTGTCCAACCAACTATAAGTCTATCAATATCTTTTCATGTGATTTGAGATACTCAATTGCTTGTATTATTTCCTCCCTGCTTCTAATTCCCTTGTATTTTTCCGTTCTTGAATTTTCTCCTACCAAATCATTGCTTTACGGTTCCTGTTAATAGTCAATTTACGAAAACAACACTCGGTTTGCAAATGTTTCCTTTTATAGCCTTTTGTGAATCTTAATAATAAACAATTCATGGTTATTCTTCTTATCGTACTTCTTGGTAAACACGAACAGACCGTCTCACAGATTGTCCCACTCGTCGTAAGCGGAGTTCGGCTGATATTCTTCCTCGGCGGTCGGCTTCTTTTTGAGGGCGATTTGATTCTGAGTGTGAACTTTGTTTCGGAAAAAAAAAGAAAAAAACCAACCTGCTCGCGCTCAAATTGCCAACTTTCAAAGTCGCGGAGAGTGACTTGAACATACGAAGTGACGTAGTGCTGCTCTTCGGTTCTTTGGTACTTTTGCAGCAAATCGAGAGCAAGCTCTTTGAGTTCGGCGAGATTGAGAGCCTCACACTCTCCAACTAATCTGGAAATCCAAATCCAATTGTGACAAACATTGTTCAATGTTAGTTCAACGCACTTGGCAAGATCATCCGGTTTGCTCGGGAGAGCCAGAGAAGGAACGAACTTTTCTTTTTTGAGACGGAGGTAGGCCAGAATGTGACGGAAGCACTTGGCGTCCCGATCCAGATAATAGTTGCCTCCCTTGTCGGTGGCGATCGGTTTTAGAGTTCCCGGCTTGAACCACTCGGCTAGTTTAGATCTGGGGTCGGCCAGCATATCAGTGCGACGGACCTTTAAGACTTGAGTTTCGAGAAAATTCAGAAAATTGATTGCCTCACTGTATACTTTTTGCCTCCAACATTGATGTTCAGAATATCATCGGCATGTCTTGGACGAGACATTTTCCTGAGAAGCTGTTGTAGTGCAGAAATAAAAAAAAGAAAAGAAATATGCAAGTATGAATGTTGGACACACTATTTATAAGCTTCAGGTGCTCCGGAAACAATCTATCTGTCCACTGGAAGAGAAACGTTTTCCGGCTTTGTCCACCAATTTTCTCCTGGGTAATTTGTCCTTCTCCACCCACCGGAAAATCCAAATTTTCTACTCTCTCTCTCTCAAGGTTTTTGATGAATTATATCGTTATGTTACCACAAACAACTATCTAAAGTGAAACAGACAAAACGGGACAACAAGTGAACAGAAAAGCTAGTACTTGTGGCAAGACGTTGAAAAATAAGAGAAAACGCGAGTTCTGTGCTCATTCGTGTGCATGCATGAATCTTTTGTAGTCGAGGGGTGTGTGTCCAAGGCCCGAGACCGCATGTCTTCCACTTTTGCCGTCGATCGAGAAATAATTGTTTCCTGACTGAGCATAAGACCCTCCCGTTTGCCCCGTTATTCTTTCAAACCAAAGGTATCAGACTTTATTCATTGAGCTATTCAGATGAAGAATACGGATGGGGATACTAAACGGAAAAACAAAAAAAAAACATTTAACGGAGCTCAAAATCCACTGAATTGCCTTTGGAGTTGTACGAAGTTCGCTGCATAACGACTCTCTGCAAAAACACGCTTGGATGATCATGTCAGGAAGGCGAGGTTCATACGTTTGTATGGCCTTCTTCTCTGGAATCCTTGTATGCAATTAATGGCGCCAGCGGGGATCTCCTATAAGACAGTTGGTGAACCAGACAGACACAGGAGAAAGTGAGTGATGGGAAGAGAAAAGAAGGGAACAGTTCGGTCTCACCTCATGTTCGATTGACCGACGTCAATCAAGTCAGAGTTTGTGTTTTTGCGCACATTCACATACATGTCACGATGATTTTGAGAGTTTCGTTCTGAAAAGTAAAGTACTTCTTTCAACAACTGGTGGAAACGACTCGAAGACTGAAAAAAGAAAAAAAGAAAGAGAAAGTTACGATTTTGCCAGGTTCTTCTTTGGAATTGAGGTTTAGGAGCAGACTGTCTCTCAATTTCAGTTTCATAATCATCTTCGACATTAGCATTGTGACTCAATGTTTGCTAAAATGCACATATTATTAATGAATGTCCGATTTAACTGGAAAATACCTTTTTCTTAGTAGTAGTCTTCGTATTTTGTCTCTGGGATAGAGCAGATCCTTCAACAACTATTTCAAACAGACTCTCATATTTAATTTTACCTTCTCTTGGTGGACACTGACAATATCCGCCATCCTTGCCTGGATTTCCTCTCCTTCCCGGCGCACCACGCAGTCCATACTCTCCCGCATCGCCAGGATCTCCCACTGGTCCTGGGAAGCCTTCGATTCCAGGTGGCGCAGGTTTTCCATTGTTCCCCGGATCTCCCCGTGCTCCTGGTAGTCCGACTGGTCCCGGCAAACCCTTTGGACCCGGTAGTCCATTGAGTTGAACAAAGTCTTGTCCAGCCTCTCCGGGATCGCCTTTTTGGCCCGTTCTTCCGGATTGTCCTCGTGCTCCTGGTGGTCCGGCAGTCCCTGGCTCATTGGTACCCGGTCTGCCCGCGTCTCCAGGCGTTCCAGGTCTGCCAGGTTCTCCTGGCTCACCACGCAAACCATCTTCTCCTGGAGGACCTTGTGGACAGGGTGGACAGTCCGGCTCATCAACCTGGTAGATTCCGTCTGTACCTTCTTTGCCTGCTTCTCCTGTAATAAACTATCTCTATGATATTTCTTGAATAAAAGTTGAACCTGGATGTCCGTCGATAGGAATGTTGCCGTCGTCGCCAGGCGCTCCTCGAGGGCCTCGAGGGCATTCAATTACAGTACAGTCTTGAATTCCCGTTTCCAATTTGGGAATGCCATTCGAAATAATTACTCACCACAGATCTTTGGTTCCTCAAACTGTGTCTTCCTTCTGTTACCCGCACCGTTCCCGTTTCTCCACCGTTGTTGCTGTTTTCTCCAAGCCTGACGGGCTGTTCGCAGGTGCTCATCTTCTACGTCAATCAATTCTGATTCCGTGTCTGTTTTCATTGTCTACAAAACATAATAAACTATTAACAGAAAACACAAACCATTACCTCGAATCCCTTTGCGTGGTTATGAAGTCTAACAGAGACATTTTCAATTTTGAAGCAAATAGCAAAGTAGACAAGTGTAGAGGAAACTATCAAAAAAATTGAAACACAGGAAGCGAATTGTGATGCTTTTTCTATCAATTCATCACGCTCGACAGGTTTTTTCTTCATCTGTAACATATTTTTTAGATTTATTGAAACGGTAAATGTAGAATGCTATAAATCTTAAAACTGAAAACCAAGTTGTATTATAAACAAGGAGGAACGGCTTACACCTCAATGTTGCCCAATTAGCTACGGGGTAGGTCCCGATAGAAAATTGGGCGACAGGGAGGCAGCCAGCAACACACTACTACAAACGTATCAAGGGAAGCAGCCAAAGACGAGCGAATGACAGAAAGTCATCCAATCGAAACTCAAATTATTGTTTAATAATGCCGACCAAACCCCTTTTCCCGCCCACCACCGTGCTTCCTTCCTTTTGTGGTTTTGTCCTTCTTCGAATTGAGGGAGAAGGGAATAGTTGAAAGTGAGAACTGCAATAGTAGTGGCGGGTGGTCACATATGTTCAAGAGCTATTGTCTGGAAGGGTCACGAAGGCACATGAGACAAGTCACGTGAACCTTGAGTTACTGATGTCTGAGGTGCCATAAGTGGCATGATCAGGGACAGATACCGAGTGTGTTTTGATTCTCAAATTTTTAAAAATATAGCAGACTCACAACGGGCGGAGCCACAACGTCGAATTTTCCGGCTTGACCCGAAAAAATGACAAAAGCTTGTTCAAAAGTGTTATCGCAAAGATCGCATTTTCAACACTGACATCCATTTTCAACAACTTTACGGCACTTTGCCACATCTGATTAGATTTACACTCTCCAGAAAAAAATCGTTCTTAGTGAAACATCAGGGACGACCCGAAGTCTTGCAAATCTGAAATATATTACAGGCAAACCGGCGTGGGTGAAATGAGAACGCGGCGTGGGCAAACGGGCGGGAGGCCGAAATCAGGCTCTTATTTGGCCCACATTCCATTTGAAGTCATTCGCGGATAAATGGACAACCGGCGAAGATGAAGTGCGGGCGAAATGCGGGCGAACTGGTAAAAATGAGTACTGGAACTTCGCAGTCCATCCGAGTTTTCCGCTTGAAGTCCTTGCCGAATGGCTGACTATGAATATCGACTGCGTTGAAGCACTGAACTCCTTTCAGATCTCGAAGTCATTTGAGGATTCAGATGACACCGAAAAATAAAAATGATAAAAATATGACTTGATGTATATCAAATGAATGACAAAAACACGAAACTTGTATGTCGTCACAAGGAGCTGCCTGTTATCATTGAACATATATGCAATACTTGTAAAAAGGGGTGACTCAGGCATTACGGTGTGAAGACCACAGGATCGAGCTTTCTTTCTCTCATCACTCACTCTAGAATTCTTTCTTCAACCTTCCGACCACAATCCTTCTTTCTGTCGTCCGTCTTACCTTTGGGTTTGAACCGTTTACACACTTCCGGAGTCGCCACGTCCTTCAGTCAGGTCTGAAAGTCGTCACGATCAGTGTCTAACCGAGGCAAATTTCTTTGCACTCGGCGGGGCTCGAACCTGCGGTCTTCAGATTGCTAAGGACAAGCTTAACCGCCTACACCACCCTGGTCACGCGGCTCAATCGCCCATAGGGTGTATATATAATGGCGACGGACGCCGTTGGGCGCTGTGGTGTCGGTGATATCTCGAGAACGGATGGAGTTATCGAGAAGCATCCAAGAGCAAAAATGATCAGAAAAATGTGCTCCGTTCATCTAAATACATATCAAAAGGATTCAGAAGTCATTTGAGGATTCAGATGACACCGAAAAATAAAAATGATAAAAATATGACTTGATGTATATCAAATGAATGACAAAAACACGAAACTTGTATGTCGTCACAAGGAGCTGCCTGTTATCATTGAACATATATGCAATACTTGTAAAAAGGGGTGACTCAGGTATTACGGTGTGAAGACCACAGGATCGAGCTTTCTTTCTCTCAAACTCACTCTAGAATTCTTTCTTCAACCTTCCGACCACAATCCTTCTTTCTGTCGTCCGTCTTACCTTTGGGTTTGAACCGTTTACACACTTCCGGAGTCGCCACGTCCTTCAGTCAGGTCTGAAAGTCGTCACGATCAGTGTCTAACCGAGGCAAATTTCTTTGCACTCGGCGGGGCTCGAACCTGCGGTCTTCAGATTGCTAAGCACAAGCTTAACCGCCTACACCACCCTGGTCACGCGGCTCAATCGCCCATAACGTGTATATATAATGGCGACGGACGCCGTTGGGCGCTGTGGTGTCGGTGATATCTCGAGAACGGTTAGTGCTATCGAGAAGCATCCAAGAGCAAAAATGATCAGAAAAATGTGCTCCGTTCATCTAAGTAGAAATCAAAAAGATTCAGAAGTTATTTGCGGATTCAGATGACACCGATAAAGAAAAATGATAAAAATATGACTTGATGTATATCAAATGAATGACAAAAACACTTTTCCGGAACTAAATAACATCCGTTTCAGCCATAGTCGGAACAATTGTTGGCGATTGTAATATTCATGGCGTTACCCGGCAGTCCTCGCGTCCTCCGAGTCGAAAATATATATAGTATTTGTCGGAATTCGAATACGGGAGTAGAATCAACAATCTTTCGTCGGCTCTGAAACGAATTATTCTTTTGACAAACATCCTGCTGAAAACCGAATCAAACCTAATTAAACTGTCTGCTTTTCTCTAGCAACAAGACTTTCTTTGGTAGCTCCTAATAATTAAAATGACCTCAGCTCTCAACATTTGACATATTTCCGACGATAGCGCATTAAATCAAATAAATCCTTCGCGATACTTTTCTGTAATAAACGGTGTTTCCGTCCAAAAATGTCTCTAGTAATTATTGAAATGAGAACACACGTTGATTGTGGAAGCTCGGAACTCGAAATCACTTAATTTGGTGAACAAAGAAGTTCATTAACTCGAGCTAGAACTAGTTGAATTACGCACTTGACTTCGTTGCAGCCGAGTCTCCAATCTTCTCTTTGTTGCGTCGACCATCCATTCCAATATATAACCAGCGACGTATCCGTGATCGAAACCTGTAAATAAGTCAGTTTGGGTCTTGAAATTCTTTCTCAACTCACCTTATTTTTTCTTGATCAGAGCAGCCCCTAGCGGTTGTTCCGTTGAAACACTTGATCGAGATCGGCGAGGGGGACCCCCGGTCGAGAGACACAGGGAAAAAGAGACTGCGCGGTTTGGCGGGCGGTAGGTCAAATCGGAGGGCGTTTCGCAACCAATTCCGCAACCGGTGTATAGCACCTTCAAGCAATTCCACTCCAACCCGCAATGTTAGTGAGGTACATCCAATTATCTGTCACAGACTCTTTGAGTACTTCAAAACACAATAGGTTTCTCTCTCTCGCTCTTTGTCAGTGACTTTTGCTTACTATACAAACTGAAATGTTATTTGATCTTCTTCGCGCACTTATACTCCGCTCACCTATTCCAATAATTCGGAGCTTGTTTGTGAGTAATGAAGAGCGCGCCTGTAGGTGGGGCTTATAAAGAGGAGTGGTCAAAACGGAGAGCTCACAAAACAGTGAGAAGATCTACCTCTTGAGAGCCGTGCGCATTTCGCTGCTGATATTATGTACACAGTGTGCGGATATCATCCTCTCCATTCACCACGTTACTCGAAACCACTATCCTCGGCTCGAATGACCTCTTGTTAAGTAGTGGTGCCGCTCTTATTAGAGCATACAATGATAATAAGAGTTGCTCATTACTTATCAAGGTGAAATTTGAATATTTTTATTCGATTGTTTTCAAATTTAGAAATCGTTCATTGGCATATTCCTAGTGAAAGCTCTGCTATTCCTGCGATTGTGTTGAACAGGAATGAAAGATCGTGCGGTGAGTGAAGAAGATCCTCTTGAAGTGTGAGATGCGTATGAAGTTGCCGTCGAAGAACGTCGCACTGGAATCAACCCAATCATCTACAAATAGGAGCGTTTTGACTTACGTGGCGGTCTTGTCCTTCGTGGTTCGAATGTTGGGAAGCAAGGCTCGCCAAGGGTGTCCAGTTTCTGAAAAGCACAGAAAATAGTTTCCATATAACTATGAAACATACTTCATCTTGATAATCAACTGAATATTCATCCTTAGGACTGATGGATGATTCATCTTTTGTAGATTCTGAGTGAATACCTGAACATTTTCAAATTGAATAAGTTAGTTTCATAATAAACTAGTCAAATCTCACCAGCATCATAGACATCAACATTTTCAAAGTTTCGGTTGTCTTTCAATGATTTCAGTTTTGGAGCTTTCTTGATAGCAGTGCGGCTGAACACTGATATCTTTCTGCAAGAAAATGAATTTTCAAATCAAACTCAGCACATTTTACCTGTCAAGATTAATACTTCGAACGTCCTTACTCGTTTGATTCAAAAGGTATTGTTCCAGCGTTTCTAAAGTTATCAAGCACGTTTTTAGTGAAATGTGTGTGTTCTAGTACCTCGATTACAAATAGCAAATCTTCTTTTGTTTCTCAAATCTGAAAACTCGAACGCGTACTTTTCTTCGTACAAATTCTCGTCTGGGTTTGGCGCTTCCTTCGACCAAACTGAATTGAACACAAGTTTGAATAAGAAAACGAACATCTCCATGAGCGTCACACAACTGCATCCCATGAAAAGTGAGCTGGCGCCCCCGAGGTAACCTGTAAACACACTATGACGTGTATTGAAGACACTTAAACTAATTTGATAAACTCACACAGAATGTCAATGATCGTTGTTTTTCTGGCCTCTTGCAACAACGTGACCGTTGGAAGAACCGTGAATGTGATTGCGATGGATCCGGAAGATTGACGGAGTTTTGAATAAGTTACTTTGTACTGAGTTTCAAGACACGCTGGTTGGCATGGAAAATCTGCAAAAAAAGTTGTTTATTTTAAAATTTGGAGGAAAATAGCTACCTTTCTGTTGACTAACGTAATTTTTCGTCATGTTGAACCGTATTTGTTCACATTTTTTTAAAGTATATCTTTCATTTGGAACTTGTTTCTCCGGAATCCATTTGAGGTCACTCCAATTTGAATGACACACCGCTCGCATTAAGTTGAGCCGTTGAATCTGAAATTGAGCGTCATAGTGGGTGAAAAGAGAGATTATCAGAGGATGGTAAAAGTGAAAAAGTGTACTTGCCCACTTGAAAAACTTTTAACTGGATCCGGTGATGTGTATGAGGTTTGGAGTTCATGTGATAAACATCTCTTTCCGAACCATGTTCAATATGTAATCCTGTATTGTTTTTATATAATTTTTACCCAATTAAACTCTTATATTGTATACTTCTCTTTTTCAAACGAATTTTGACTTTGGTGGAAAACCGTAATGAGACACAATGCATATCGGCTTCCCTACACGTTAATCTTCCATTATCAACTAGAATATCTGCACATATAAGTCTGAAATGACATTTTTGTACAATCCGGCCAAATTCGCTCTCTTATCTCACTTTTGCTCCGAACATAATTTGATATCATTTTCGAAACTCGGATTCATAGTCTCATTAATTCTCCTAAAACTTGGTTGCGTTGCATAAGACTTGATCATTGTACCGCACTGCAAGTTTAATTAAAATCAATGATTTTCGGACAACACTCAATTTATTAATGATGGTCATATGATAAGCGCATTAAAAGAGTAATAAATCGGATCACTCACCACCATTATGTAGAATACCAAGCAAGTAGTGACGACAAGACACCAAAAAATTAATGACGGGCAGTTGCGAGAGTTGAAAACGCGTATCTGCAACATGAAACGACGTTGTTGTTGCGAAAAACGAGGTAGAAGCTTCAACAAACCATTCCATGGAAAGTTGTGAGATTTGTGTATTCATCGCACCCGTCATGACCGGCACGGAAATAATGATTTGTTAGGTATTCGAGATATTCATCGTCAATCTCCTCGTCCGAACAATTGTCTTCCGGATGAGCGCATCCACTAACGTCATCGCTGCCTAAATCAATCAATATTATCGGATACGAATGGTTAGAAATATATATTTTATCTTTTCAAAACTATAGACTAAACTTACAGACTGGGGCTGGATCGAGACTCTGATATTGGGAGTCACTGGCAGAAAACGAGACACTCGTCATCAACCTAATGATAAGCGCACTTTCTTATCTGACATGTTTCCTGTGCTTATCAATTACTCCCACCACCGCCACTCAGAAGAATCAATTCCATTTATTGACCGTTTATGACAAAACGAAACGAAACGCAACAATCACGCGAGAAATTCGAAATATGTGCTCATTTATTCAGTTGAGGCAGTCGCGAGATTCTCCTGGAAGTACGGCGTTGATGTTGAGAATTCCGATGTCGAAAGTCTTGTTGGGGGCGGCTCCCTCAGTGATGAACTCGTCCGGAATCACAATTTCCACCTTCCTCCAGCATTCCTGAACACAGAAATCTTTATTATCTCTTATTTTGTGACTTTCTGACTGACAATAGCTTCATCGTGGCAGTTGTGGTAAATGTTCAATTTCGGGTCAATCTTGGTCCACTCGGTATCATTACCAGAGAGCTCGAACTCGCCTTCTGCATTGGTCAATCCCTCCGACATGAGAGTATCTTTGACTACAGTTCACAAAGATAGAATTTCGAATTCAAAAGGATTGATGAAGAGCACTCACTTGGATCAACCTCGTAAAGCTTCAGACGGGCCTTTTCGTATCCTTTTCCATCACAGAGCAACTTTCCTTTTACAGCAGTTGACTGAACTTTTCTGATTTGTGGAAGGGTCGGCAGAATGTCCGGAATTGAAATGGCCATGCACAGAAGAGGCAGAAGAGTCAAGAGGAAGAAGTTCATTCTTAAAGAAGAAAACGGTGAGATACTTCGACACGGATTTATATATTAGTCACAGGTTCCGGTATGAGTAATTCAACAGAGGATGACGAGAAATATTTCAAAACAGCGCGATCAGGTAATGCAGCGACAGAAATGAATCGCCGTTTCAATGTCAAACAATAAAGATTTGATCGAAGTACTGTGGGTAGTTTACAGTTTACAGCGCGCACAGAGACAAAGCGGTCACTGTCTTGGCTAGTCGTCCTATCAATCTTCATGGCCACTTTCAAGATTTGGCCCGCTAGATGGCCAAAAGTTCATTTTCGACAGGGAAACTATGGCAAAAAATGACGATTAAATTGGCCGGAAACTGTGGATGCGCGGATGACTTGACTATCCCGAAAATAGTTTATTCAAAAACAATTGTAGATCAAAGATCAACTTTTTTGAACACTTTGTCGCAAAATGGATTTGAGATTAGTAGTCGGGGCAATTGACATGGTGACATCTTCCTTCGCTATCAGTGCAATCACCTTCCGTTCCGCACCTGAAGTGTGCTATCATTCTTCCGCTTTTTGTGCATTATCTTACCAAGATCACATTCGAATGCATCCCTCGCACTGCTGGCACACGTCGTTTTGTAGATCACAACAATCTTATCGACCTTCGCAGGCCCCGGATCACGGACTATCTGAAATATGTACTTTCAACCCGTTTGGGTTCAGAAACCAGTGACGTCACAGTTTTTTGAACACTTTTATTTCATTTCTCGGTCCAAATTATAATACAATCTTTTTCTCCGCAGAAAGCCATGTCCGTCTTTCCGGGCCACTCCCAACATTCCGAGTCGATTGTAACCAGTTTTTCGGCACCTCTCACAAATCATAACTCACCTGCAGGCGTTGCGCATTTCCCGGTTCGAGAAGGGTGTAGACCGGCGAAACTCGGAACAGTTCGTTATCACTGCACTTGATCTTGACGGCGATCCTTTAAAATGTATGTTTGAAGGCACTTTGCAAACATTAAAAGTACCTGTGACTACTTCCGTTCACCATCATGTGTCTGGAGGCTCCGCCGATTGCGGCCGGGAAGTACGCTATCTGAAAAAATACATAAATGCACTTTTGAACGTTGCAATTCTCCTTACTTTTGGTGTTATGAATAAGTTATGATCATCGAAATCATATAGCATTTTGTGGTTTTTGAATGGGTCAAAGAAGAGAGTGCTGAAAAATGTGTAGGTTACGGAGGAGCGGGGAGAAGAATCGTTTCAAATAAACGAAAATGAGCCAGATGGAGACGGAATAACAGAAAATATGAGGAGGAGATCCATCAACAAAAAACGAATTGGCTTTTGGAATAAAAATAGCTCTAGAGGAAGGAGATAACCTTCGTAATAGCATATGGACAATTTCCGGAAGACGACTGGGAACGTTGGATTTTTTTTTATTGTGTCACGAGTCGGGGGACTCTATAACCCCATAACTCCACGATTAGTGTGCAAAACTGAGCGACTCGTCATTTTCTCAAGTTTCGAGAAAAAGAACGAAACAGAAAGAAGAACAAGCCGTAAAGATCCACAGATTTGGAAAATAAGCCATAGCCAGAGCGCGCCTCTAAATAAAGAATATTAAATGGTGCCGAATATTATTCCACTGGGAGTGATGGTCTTTTCGGAAAAGTTGACAAATTCCAACAAAATGTGTCCACAACGCCTCTTACCCGATTCTTTTCATTGAAGAGTCCGTCAGTCTGCCGCCTCCCCCTTTCTTGGCGGCTGCAGAGAAAAAGAGAGCTCTTCAACGACAACGACACGCTAGAACAATGGCCGACTGACAAAAACACACTTCGTCGCCTCAGTTTTCATGAGGGAATGGTTGGCGGAGGGTGGATTTCAAAAAGTGGCGCCGACGAATTCGCAAGTAGGGTTCTGAATTCGGAAACAGGTCGAGAAGCCAAGTGCAGAAATCAAAAGTTGAAGTTTACACACAGCAAGGCTTTTCAAAGTCCTTACATGTTTGTTATTGGGGATCAAAATCGGCTACTGTCGGATTAGCGGACTCGTAAAAGTTGTATACACCAATACCAATACCTATTTCTGTTGAAGTACAAAGTCTAGTTGGATGAATAGTACACAATTCTTTTCTGTTCCTTCTACAAACCGAGAAGTATGTGTTTTCCAATCTGACTCACGTAGTGGTTTTTCGCAGACACACCCGAAGCAGTTTGTAAACGATTCCGATCACTTCCAAACAAATCGAACAAAGGTTCGGGCCAGTTAAAGTTGTACTGTGATCATTCCAACCCTCGTTAAGACGTCGAGGCAATTTGTTCAGTCAGTCAGTTCCTCTCTTCTCCGTTAGGTTTCCTTCCAAATTGATGCTGGACATCGAAGAAAACTGAAATCGACAAGTTGATATGAGAGGAGAATCGCAATAAATAGTTGCAGACCAACCGTTGGTCGCAACTTCCCGCCACTCGTCCCTTCTTCTCTCTGTTTCGTCGTCGTTTCGGCTACCCTTTGAACTTCAACCCAATTCCGCACAAATTAGTTCTGACAGTACTCATTTTCCGAAGAACCATCAAGCGACGCTCTTGTCGTTTTTTTCAGTCACGTCCGATTACCGAATGAAACAGTTTGTTGAAAACTCGTGATTGATCGATAGCCGGTAGTCTCATATCTCTTGTTTTCTTTTCCGACTATTGGGATTATCAAATGACCGATCATGAAAGACAGTATGTGTGTAACTATGATTGATTTATCTTACCATAATGTGTCTTTTGCTAGCACACCTCCTCATTCCCCAAATATTTTGATTTCCGCAACATTTCACGTAATTCTTCTACCTGCCCTTCATCCGCTCCCATTTCTTGCTAAACATGTATCTGACCGCTATTTACAGGGTCTCTCCCCTGTCGAACAGCGGTGATGGAGACCGAATCGAACGAGGAAGGACCGTCGCCGTTCGTCAGACGGACTTCGCGTATGGGCAGTATGCGCCGGTTTATGAATGTGATTATTGTGACTTTTCCTGTCAAAACGCATTAATTCGATGTATTTCAGACTAGTATCAGAAGAACACGCAAAGTATTGGGAATCGAGACAATCCCTGAAGCCGATTCATTTCCCAGAAGCGTTCGGGACTTGCAAATACAAGAATTTAATCGAAATGATTCTTTTCGACTGGTAAGTTTTGGTTTGAGAAAATAAGAAAAGATCAAAATAATCTTTTAGAGTAGGATATCAACCAGAAACTATCAAGTCATGAAAACACCTTCGGAAGATAAGATCTTCACATCGATCAGACCGATTGTACCCCCAACCACATGTCCTTTATTAAAGTAAGTCAGTTTTCACAGAACGCACACACTTCTTACTCTAAATATCTAATATTCAGATATTTTCCGCGAGAAGGAAAAGCTCACGACCACAAATCTATGCTCAACAGTTTCGAGAGAAAAAGAAGGTGTGCCCGGAGGTTCGATCACTTTTTCCAGACCTTTTTCCTAGATCACACCAAGTTTTCGGAGTGGATCATCATGCGAAAGAACAACTTTTCTGTCCTTTGCAAGCGTCACAGATAGAATTCGCATTCCGAACGCAGATAAAAACCGATATCGTGATAAAAGTTCAAGCGCCGAATGGAGAAGTCAGCAGTTACATCAATCCTGACACCACCGAATTCACGACATTTTCACCGTCCAATGTAAGTGAATTTACTTTAAGAAGAATATTTGTTTACACAACTAAATCTTAGATCGGTTGTGGTCATGGTCAGTGGCTCGTTCACGTGGCTCGGCGGAGAGGCTGCAAATTCCACCATGGCTCTACGAAAATACTAAATTTGGTCGGTCAAGGTAAGAAAAGAACACATCGATTTCATGATTATTTCAAAACAATTCCAACTTTAGGAATTTTGTACTTTGAAGTGGATAGTGCTGGTACTTTGAGGGAAGTCGAACGGCTATGGCTCGATTGTTTAAACTAACTTTGTGAAAAGTTGAAGAGAAATTTCTAAAAATGCTTTATTATGATGAGATTACTTTTAGATTGCTTTAATAAATCTTTTCTGAATGCGTCCCGTTTTATTGATTTTTGAAGGGGTCCCCCCACCGCAAGGCCGTTCATTAACCACGCGGCCAGTTGATATATGATACTTGGAACCGAGAATGAGCAGTTTATCCGGTATCTTATGCCGTTTTGCATTTCTTTTGATATCTTAACAATATTAATAATTCCACGACCTTTTGATCAGATTTTAGTCATAAACTGACTCATGACTGATAATTTGCGATCGGGCGGTGTGAATACCGGCGAAAAATTTCGATTAACTTTGTGTTTCCAAAATGTCGCCGCAATTATCTTGTTCTCTATCACTTTTTGGCGCATGCATCAGCGTCTCTCTCTCTCCTCGTGCACTGATTCTGCCCAATCACTAACATCCTCTCCTATCATTGTCCATTTTCTCTCCAAGTCGGTTGATTTTCACCCGTTTCCTTTTTCCCATCGATTAGACAGACGCACTCAGAATTCCTCTTCTCTCTCTCCCTCTCCCTCTTCTGATGACGGACGAGGGGCCGCAAAAATAAGTTTCCTTTGTCGTTTACCATCTCATGATCGCATTGCCCCTCACCTTCTTTCTTTCTCTCTCTCCCTCCCTCTTATCATTCTGTTTTTTATGGAATTCGTTAGACCGGAGAACTGGTTTGAAAACTAAAGCCCACCTAGCCAATGGAACTGAGTAAATGATGTGACATTCTGAGATTAATAGCCAATCACTGGTAGCGCGATAAGCATCTTTCCAAACGAAAAATGAAAAACGAAACACACCCTCCCGGTGACTTTTAAGACTTCCCATTTATCTCGGGAGCTAGAGTATCCCTTCCGCCACTATTGTAAACCTCATAAATCCGAAAGTTACCGTATGGCTCTTGGAGTAAAATAAACGAGGCATTGTGTGTACTTTTCTTCGGAAACATTGCCGAAACCTTTCTTTTTCCCGTAACATGTGCTCCACATCCGGAAGAGTCACACAGATGTGTCGTCTTATTCAAACTTTTGCCAATATCCACAGAACGCCAGTCTTGTCTCCTCTCATTCACCGGAGCAAAAGTAGCCGGCGGCACATCTGGACGTCTTTCGTCGTCTCAATTTGACGCTCGTTCACTTTTTACTTCTTTTTTACTAGCGCTCGCTTCTCCGGGCAACATATGTGTCAATTTGGAGCCTCTAATTATGATTCGCTTCTCTGGTTCTCCTCCGAAAATCATTCTGACCTGATGGTCTGTCGGAACTTTTGATTCAAAATCTGTGTGCGCGGCGCGTCCGTCTCCAATTTGTTACATATGGTCGTGATGTGTCGCCGGTAATTTATACCCTGTGCCGGTTGGCTCGCGCAGGCACCAACGCCTTTCCACCGGAACCATAAATCGTTTTCGGTGTGTCAAGTCTAGTCTGCTCACTTCCTTCACATGTTTACTTTCGAATTTGTGAGTTTGAGCTCAACTAATGAAAGGCGTGTTTCAGGGTCTCGAATGCTTGCCTGATACGCAATGAACGATCTTGTTCTTGTAGTTCTGTTGTTGTTTGTCCAATGTTCCCTTCAAGGACTGACTGGCCATTACCGAGGTAGCTTTTGGATTTGAATTGAATCGCTTTACAGTAAACTGTCACAGAAAACATTCCGAGATTCAAGAATCATGCAAATGAACGTTACGAAGTTTTCTTAGGAGATGAAGTAAGAAAATTGGGTGAAGCTTTGAAAGTGTGACAAGATTATTTAGGTCAGATTGGATTGCCTGACCGTGAATTCAAGAATACCAGTGGCTGTGGAATGGTATCGGAATGATAAACTTCTAAAGGACGAGCACGTGGATATTGGGAGAATCACAAAGGATAACGGCAAAATGAATCTCAATCTGAGACATATTGATGTTTCCGATCAGGTAATGATTAGTTTCTTTGAATCAGACAAGTACAAATTGATAAATTTAGGGTCTTTGGTCATGTCGAGTTCACAACTCTTTTGGGCAGATTACAAGAAACTTTACAGTTGAAGTTATCGGTGAGTTTTCTTTGTTTTTAGAGTTTTCTCAATACTGTTTTACTTTGCTGTTTTCTTCCCTCACCGCATGGCGTGCATTTCAGACTTTTGTGATTATTTCTTGATTCCTGACATCTCGCTCCACCGCATACCGATGGAATGTGTTTGTTTGTGGAAGTATACGAAAGAAGCGAAGCGGAAAGACGTTGACTTCCGAGCCGCAACTGGGGAAAACTGTGGGAAGTATGCATCGAGGATGATCAGCAGAGCTCGAAAACCCCTGCAAAAACTTCCGTGCTTTGGCGGACATTGCACCATGTTCGACTCGACTTCGGCCGTAGAGTTCGGGCAATTAGAAAGCGACGATCCGAAAGTGAAGAGAGTGATTTTGCAGAAGGATGATATGATTGTGCCCTTGCATGAGAGTGCGGACTCCTCGAGTTCAAGTAAGTCATTTCGTTCCAGATCCACTCAAATTGTTCGATTGGCTCACTGAGCACCGGGTTTTCGATGTTACTCACCTATTGCCCAAGCTCTTGCCACCATTGGAAATGCAAAGAGTGAAAAGTCAACTGCGCGGATGGGAAAAACTGACAAACGTGCAAAAGATTGCTCGTGCCAGACATATTCTCAGAATGAGACAGCTCAATCACGCGCTCGGTAGGGTCTGGAGTTCTCCCATTTATTCAAGACACAAATAGCATCTCACTTTTTGAATTTTTCTTGAGATATCATAAAGATGAATATGTTTTAGGAACAGAGTTTATCAATGCTGGTGATGCGGGAAATGACGACGAAGACGAAGAAGAAGAATACAACGTGAAGCCAGTGTCACCGGACGCCAGTCTGACCGAACTAAATGTCACTGTCGATGAAGCGCCATACTTCAAAGCGCCGGAAAATGTCGTTGTGCTCAACGAAACTCATTTTTTGCCAGCTGGCCGAACTCTGAAGCTGAACTGCCGATCATATGGCTATCCGGAACCACAGGTACTGGACATTTCAAGAAGCTCTCAACTTATTCAAGTCTTGCAGATTGCCTGGTTCAAAGACAATGAAATGATCAGTCGCCAAAGCGTTAGAAGTGGTGGATACGAATACAAATTCAAAAGGTGGTCCTTAGAAGTTGAAGATGCGTTGGCTACAGATTCCGGAGATTTTCACTGTGAAGTTTTTAACAAGGAAGGCGCGGCGAGGAAAAATTTCCGGGTGAAAGTGATTAATCGAATGAGAAGGCCACCGATTATCGTGCCTAACATTTTGAACAATCAATCCGTAAAACATTCCTCTTAGTTCATTTTTAATTAATGACTTCAGGTTAATGTCAATGACACCGCCACGTTTAACTGCAAAGTTGTGTCCGATCTTGTGCCCCACATCATGTGGGTGCGTCTTAACAAAGTAAACGGATCTTACAGCTACTTCAATGAATCCGCCAAAGAATACATGTTCAATTACACTGAGATGGAACATTTTGATGTATGACGGATGTTCGCATTCATCAAAAAGACAATATTTCAGAAAGCACATGTTCATCACGTCGGTGATGAATCGACACTCACTATTTTCAATGTTTCGTTAGATGATCAAGGAGTCTACGCTTGTCTGAGTGGAAATTCTCTCGGAACGGTGAGGGAAACGACACAGATGAACAAATCAATTAATAAATTTTCAGGCAATGGCAAATGCAACGCTCACTGTGAATGAGTTTATGGCAATTCACTTGCTAACAGGAGATGAACCCAAACCCGACACTTGGAATGCAATGAACTTGTTCATAGCAGCTCTGAGTGTCATTTGCTTCATAGTACTTCTGCTACTAATATTGTACATGTACCTCTCTCGGTTCTATAGTCTAAAAAAAGGATTTCAAATGGATGATACAGTCGGATTGATGGCAAAGAAGAAAAGAGTGGTTGTAAGCAAACGACTGGTCACGGAGGAAGACTACACTTCGGATGAAGGACCGTCGCCTTACCAAATTCAAATCATTGAAACTCCACTTACGAAAAAGGAAGCAGCAAAAAAACAGAGGAAACGAGTCGATTCGGAGAACACGGTGCTTTCAGAATATGAAGTTGACTCTGATCCTGTATGGGAAGTCGACAGATCAAGGTAAGGAAATATTGATAAAAATTGAGAATGCGTTAACTTACAGACTAAGCCTGGTTCATATGCTTGGCGAAGGAGCATTCGGAGAAGTTTGGAAGGCAACATTGAATGAGTCAGACCGCAATGTAAGAAAGAAGCACAGAAAAAAACGAAAATCTAATAATACTCTTTAATTTCATTTAGGATTTGGCAGTTGCCGTCAAGAAACTGAAAAAATCAGCGCACGAGAAAGAACTGATCGATTTAGTGAGCGAAATGGAAACGTTCAAAGTTATCGGACAGCACGAGAATGTTCTTCGGCTGATTGGATGTTGCACGGGAGCCGGGCCCTTGTACGTGATAGTCGAGTTATGCAAATATGGAAATCTGCGAGATTTCCTACGTGCCCATAGACCAAAGGAAGAGAAGCCGAAAAAGTCAAGCCAGGAACTGACCGACTATTTGGAGCCCAGGAAAACGTCCGAGAAAGACGACATTGTGAGTTTCAGCTCATTTTATTGCTACTCTAACATTCATTTAATTTGTCCAGGAGCTCATTCCGAACCTAACCCAACGTCATCTGGTGCAATTTGCTTGGCAAGTAGCTCAAGGAATGAATTTCTTGGCGAGCAAGAAAATTGTTCATCGAGATCTAGCGGCTAGAAATGTACTTGTTGGAGATGGTCACATCCTGAAGATATCTGATTTTGGACTATCACGAGACGTGCATTGTAATGATTACTACAGGTTGATTTATAAAGAGAAGATAATCTCAAAGTACGGATAATTGTAGGAAAAAAGGAAACGGAAGACTTCCGATCAAATGGATGGCTATTGAAGCACTAGATTCTCACGTCTACACCATTCAAAGTGATGTGTAAGTAAAGAACGAAGCTTTTTGATAAATTAGTTTTAAAATTGTCACTTACAGATGGTCGTATGGTGTTTTACTATGGGAAATAATGACTCTTGGTGGAACCCCGTACCCAACAATTGCAATGCCTGAACTTTTCAGCAATCTTCAACAAGGATACAGGTGAAAAGAAGGACATAACACCTGTGTGAAACGTGCATTTTAGAATGGAACCTCCTCATCTTTGTCCTCAAGAAGTCTATGATCTCATGTGTATTTGCTGGCGGGAGAAGTTGGAAGAACGGCCGTCGTTCAAAACTATTGTGGATTATTTGGATTGGATGCTAACAATGACCAATGAGACAGTTGATGGATCGCAGGAGTTCAATGTAAAACTAAACTGTATCACCTCTTCCCAATGATTATAGTTTCAGGATCAATTTTTCTCCGAACGCTCAACAGCTTCTGGACCAGTTTCTCCGATCGAGTGTTTCCAGAAGAAAAGGAGACATCGTCCTCTTTCAGCACCAGTAAATCTTCCATCTGAAGTGAAGAAAGTCTCGTTACACACCCAGTGACCTAGAATTTCAGCCCCAACATACAATTTGTGATGACTATGACCCGAACCTTATAGTCGGCAATAAAGAAGACGATCACTTGTACTGCAACGACCGAGTCCTCAAAGATCACATGATGACTCCAGACACTTCCCAACGTACTCCATCCAACAACAATAACGAGTGTCCTCCACAACCTTCCCGTTTTTAGTGTTCATCAACAAAGTGTTCGACGAGCCGAATGCAAACGGGTATGTCCGCCAAGATAGGCTAGTCCGTGCTGTCAGCGGTGTCGCCAACCAGTCGCTCGACTCGGCCCTCGGTTCTCCGGCTTGGCCTCCCTACGAACGCCATTCTAACAACAAAGCTTCTTGTTTAGGTTCGTTTTTCAGTTTATTTAGTTCTGTTGGTCTCGTAATCTTATATAATCTCATACTCGAGCTTGTCGAAAATTTATAGAAGACGAGAAGCGTCACTACTATTACTCATAGTAGTTCGATTCTTTGGCTACTGCTGCTCGTCAGCTGTCATTTAAGTCCATTGTGGTAATCATGTCTTTATGTTCTCGTCTTTTGTCCTCCGTGCTTAAATTCGTGTCAGGGAATTCAGGATTATCAACACTTCTTACAGATTTGTCAGACGTCCTGACTAACCACGCAAACACACAATCACATAAAAACATTCATGTTTTCTAACCAAATGAGATGAAAAATCCTTACAGACCCGAATCACCAGTATTACAACACAGCGCCTAAAATTCAATACCTCCACTTCACTTTTGATGAATCTGAAGATATGACTAGGTAAATTCAGTTCATAGTTTCCCAGCCAAACAAGTTTATTTTTGCAGATCTAGAGACTCAGCAATATTTGAAGAATCCTACCATCCGAACTACATCCAGTCGCATCCCCTTTATTCGAAAATCTTAATAAAAAAGAACATGTAAGCGTTCCCCAGAGACTCCAGAAAAGTGTCATACGGCCGTTGTTTCAGGACGCCTCGCAACTCGTTGCCGACAAAAGAAACCATTGTCTAACTTCGTTTTCGACATTCTTCTCATTCTTTTTCGTTTGCTGCTATTCCTTTGATCTAGTCATTTCCGACCAGATTGCTGCTTTACTTTACCCGTCTCTTTACTTTTTTTCATTCTGTTCATTATATCATTCTTCATTGCATTTGTTGACTAACACAACCAAAACCTATGTGTATGTTTTGATAAATCCAAGAACTCGGACTGTGAATTTTTCAGAACAAATTTTATATCATGCCAACAGTAACTTTTTCTTGAGAACTTCAAAGTTTATAGGAATTTCGATTTTTTGGGAAATTGTTAAAGTTTTTTGCAGTCCGGATATTGCCATCTATGACTGATAGCCCTTCGGTGGTGCGTGTCTAATATTCCGACTTTAACGGAGGCATGATCAAGCATGGCTTGTTGTGTTGACGTCTTTTGAGTGACCGACCTTAGCATCTTAAGATCCGGGAAACCAGACTTGACCGGCCGAAATTTGAAATTCTTTGTCTGAGTCCGGAAAAATTCGGTAAAAATTGGAAAAAATCTAGTAAATTCGAAGAAAATCCAAAAAGTTATTGTGACTAATCAGTATATGTATTTCGATTTCTCACACATTTCCCTTGTCAATATTTACGTCGCCGAAGCTCCTATTTGTGAGTGAATCAGTGTGTAAGTGAATTAGTTGTGGAAATGTTAATAATAACGGTCACTTGTGTGCTCCATTCCCAAGTGAGTAATAATGAAGAAAACACACATAAGCGAATAAATCAGTGCTGGTGAAAGAAACCAAACAGAAGACAGCCCATACAAAAGACATATTACGCATATGGCAAAGGCCAGATGCGAACCTTCACCCACTCTTATTGGCCTCATCAGCAGCGGCAGTGGCTTGCTAGCTCGCACGGACGGACGGACGGATGGATGGATGGATGGACAGCCTGATTCAAATCGACTACCGTCTTGCCTTTGTTCGCTGACCTCTTGTTCTCATCGCGGGCTTTCAAATCCTAGTGTAGTCCGTATTTGCAATTAACTCTCTTATATATGTCTCTGTCTTACACTACACAAAAACGTTTTCCAATTAAATGCGAAGAAATAGGAGGAAACTGGTTCTTTTCTCAATTCGATCACAATTTTTTCGTTTTTTCCCTCCTCTGGTCGATTGTTTTGGAATGAAATGAACAGGCAACATTTAGGAGTCTTTATTTTTCGTATTTTCGAATTTTCTATTTTCCATACTTGGCCCATCATTTTCTCACGGTTTTTAGCGATTCCTCGGCAAGGAGAGCTTCCGAAAACTGAGACAATGGTTCAAACACTGAATATTAGCAATGGGAAAGAGAAAGAAAAAGAGAAAGAAGAAGCAGAAGACAACTCTCTTTGTTTATAATACTTCTCCGTTGCTTTGTCTCAAATTTTTGTTTCCACAGAGCAGGCCAGATGCGATGCCGCGCCAAAAACCTTCTTGCTCTCGCTCGCTCTTTTTCCTGAAAGTTAAAAACGAAACGAGCCACTCCACATACTCTTTCTTCCTCTTTTCTCCATATGTAAATGGGTAGAGTCCCAACTCTCTGATCCGTCACATCTTGATCCTCACCCCTCATATCTCCAAATGTGTGCTCTAATAACTCACTCACGACGCTCTCCCATACGGCCTGCGGACCTCAAACAGTGCATGAACGACCTTTTGTGGGGCGAGGAGGACCAATAGTGAGGAGGAGGTCCAGTGCTTCGTCTCTCTCTCTCCCTTCTTTCTATTGCACTGGTCCTGCCATCTACGGGCACTCACCTTCTTTACCAAACGGCCCCCTTCGTTTTCTTCTTGGTCTTGCGAGCCATGCTAATATCATCTCATTTTGCTGCTGCTGCTGCTTCGTTCGTTCTTTTTCTATCCAAGTGCATTCATATTGAAATCCCCAGTTTGTGCTGGCTCAATTTCAATATACATACGAATTTTTCTAGTTCTTAATATTATAAGCTGTATGTAGTACATGGGTTAGATTACTTTGATGCTAAGAATGTTCTCGACTTCAACCTGTCCTATGTAGCCAAAAGAGAGTGGGACTTGAGCAATTCCACGTTTTAATCCACTGTTGTGTGTCCACCTCCGTGATGATCAAATCCTGGTGCACTTTCTTCCATTTTCCTCTGAAAACCAATTTTTCCCAAATCTCGATCCATAACGTCGAGCAATTACACGCCGGAGGCGGTCATATTTTTATGTCACGAAACACACGCACAACAAGGGTTTTCACCTTGCTCCTAACTGCCATAATAATTACACCCACTTCTCGGTCACCTCTTTCTAAGCATTATGTGAAAAGGTGCTCACTCGATGTTTTTGATTTCACAAGCTTTTAATCATTGTCCCTCGTCTCCGGAGTGCCGCGTGTCATGTAACGCATGAGTCGGTTTGGTCGAGTTAAGCAACAGAATATTAAAAACTTTTGCACATTCATACGCTCAAAGTTGGCCAAAGTCGCATTGAAAAACTAGTTCATGAATAATGTTTCATATCTTTTTGTAAGACGAAGGTTGATGTGTTTCATCCGCATATGCGCACTCACTTTTCTTCTCGGAACAAGGTCATTTAGCCATCCGTAGGTGGCATTTAATCCTTCTCCGATTCCAATGCGAGGGGTTTTTGGTCATTATACCTCAAAATGGAAAAAAAGTGAAGAAGAGCAAAGAAGCGAAAGATGAAGATTCATCGCCATCGCCATCGTGCCTCCGAGTGTTGAGACTACTAAACATACTTTTTTATTCATCATCTATTTCTTTCCCTACTTTTTCTCCGCTTTTTTCCCTTTTTCTTCCATCATAACTCCTTTCAAAACTCTTCTAAGCTTATGGGAAGGGGGTAGGTTTTCTGTGTGCATCTTCGTTTTGAGTGGAAGATGATCTGAGTGTAACTTGTGAATCCTAACAAATTTGTGCAAGCAGAAAAGACAAGAAAAGGCAAATCTCTATCTGAACAGGAATAATAGTAGTAATCTTTTTCGCGTTTTCTGTTTTCGAGCATCTTTCGGCGGCTTTCCTCTTATTAGTATTCTTGTCACACAGTAAGCAATGAAACGGCGTTTTCCTTTTATGTCGATGCCAGCGGGTGCAAATAAAGAAGCAGTTTATAGGTGCGGTGAGGTAACACTCTCTCTCTCTCTCTTTCTTCCATTTTCTTGCACCTGTGCATGTACAGTCGGTCAGTTTCGAGGAGAAGAACGCTTTGATTTGTTTCGATGCTAAGACGAGGCAAACACGTCTCCCCGTTTGTCCCTCTTCCCAAAGTCACCTCTTCCATCATTCAGCGCAGTGTCACCTCTTGCTGTTCAACTTCCATTAGCCAAATTCCCTTTTCCGTTCTTCTATGTCTTCTTCTTCTTCTTCCTCTTTTTCATTTTCTTCTTCTGAATTTCTGAGCGGATTTATTATATGTTCTAGTTGCTTTTAGTAGTTTTCATGTGAAACTCGTTTACATACAGTACTTTTTCTCTTCATAGACCGAACAGCGCTTGTTCTTTCTTTTGTTTTCTTCGAGTGACTGAATGTGGCAAAAAAGCCGGTCCGAGGGGCATCGCCTTTAATATGTATTCGAATTGTACATATTAAAGGCGATGTGTCTGAGCACAAAATCTACAGGGGTGTCCCTTGGCGCGATGGCCGCAATTAGCGCCATCGCATTATTCTTCGCGCCTCCGACCAATCTCGACCTGCCTGCTCCTTTTCTGTTTTAAGAGTGGCACGCCGTTGACAGCTGCAAATCCGGCCCATTTTCATCCGAGAAATAGTGCGGTTTTAGAGAGAAAAAGAGGCGCTTTCGGAGCCAATCGGTCGGAGAGTGATATCTAATTCTGTTATTCCTCCACGCGCCACCACCATTTGCCTGAGAGATGTCCGTCTTGTGTGTCGGTTTCAGTCCTCTCATCTCGCCCAATCCCGCCACCACTACTTGTCAATTCATTCTGGCCGCTCGAGACGAAGATTTTCTCGTTCCTGTCTACAATTCCAATAAAGCAGAGCTTCTCCCTTTCTATATTTCCGTCTGCTCGCCTCTTTATTCATTTTATTTTTTATTTTTCTGGCAGTCAATAATACGCATAATTGAATTTTGCGTCAAAACAGAAATGGGTATGGTAGGGAGAGAGCCTTTCCTTTCTTTGAATGTGTGCCGCCGCTTGAAAAGAAAATTTATGTCTGTGGCCGGCTGTGAGGTTCTTTTATACAAATGAGAGCATCATTGCTTGTCTCGTCTTTTTCTTCTAACTGGCCTCATTTCAGTACTAGTTGGAACCTTTCATTTCTGATGAATTAATTAAAAAATTAGTCATTTTCAGAAGGGCACAGTAAGGGAGCTGCACTGGCGCGGCTCACTAACACGATTATATCGGATCGGGTCTCTCGTGGCGTTTAGGTTTGTTTGAGGATTCAGAATTGAGACAGACATACTAGGAAATATGACTCATAAACTTATTCTGCTAGAAGACCAATAATCGCAATGAGATTTTCCAGACTTGATCTTGAGCTCAAAATGTGTTTCTTGCATAGAACATTTTGTTCCTTGTTTCCTCTGAAAACTGCAGTTTCTTGCATTGGAAGTTGCAAACGTTGCATGTTCTCATTTCAGGAGTGAAATCTAAGATATATTGAACCCACGAGTGTAAACAATTGCCCGGGCTCCGGAATTTCTCTTTTCCCGAATCAATCCACGCTTTCATACGCACTAGTTTTCTTCATTTTTCTGTTTTTGGAAAAACAATCGAAATCTTGATTTACTCGTTCTCTCAACATCATAATAATATTATAAAATTATCTGAAATATTTGAGGAAATTTGAAATTATTGCAGGTTGTGAATCCGAAATGTTCCGAGGACCAGTACCTCGACCCCCTTTGAATCACCATGCGGATCAGATGAAAGCACTTCAGGCAGCAGCCGCCAAAGCGGGGTTAGTTTGATTTTTTTATGGTTCAGGAACATATTGAAAACAAAAAATGACAAGTGGTTCGGATTTACTCGCTAACATCATAACTCAGACATTTTTTTGTTGTGAATCCAACGGAAAAAAGGCGAGCATAAATCATGCAGTTTATTCGTTTTTTCTTTGCCTCGCCCGGGATTCTGATTTTTCATTTTTTTTTTCGTCGAAATCCAAGACAACAAAAATATGCAAACGTTCACTTTCTTTCTTTCCATTTTTGTTCAGTGTTCGAAACCAATCCAATCACATGACGATTTCTCACGATACAGTAATCGAACAGTTGTTTTTTGGTCGAGGAATGTCGGGCCGCTTGAAAAAAGAAGAGTATTACAACGAATACTTTACACTGAAACCCCGCCAATTGTATTCGTTCATTGTAATAGACTCCCCTCCGCTCATCCCTCGTCTCTGCACTCTCCCGGCATCCAAATCGCACTCTTTATTCCGCTTTTAGGGCATGGATGTCACATGGAACTCTGAGTTTCGTTTTGCTCAGCAGCAGATCAAGTTTACTTTTGTGTTAGTTGGACTAGAAACCACAACTGCTCCCGCTCTTTCTCTTCTTTTCGAATCGGACAGAAGCCACTGATGACTGCTGTTGCAAATCGAGGTCACTGACCTCCCGGGCACTTGTGATGTCGTATTTCACTGTAGACCGCTTTCAAGTTGCCGCTAGCAGGAAGACGAAACTGCGTCGACGATAAAAACCTTTCTTCCATTCCGTTTGTTGTCTTCAGAATTTACGCTCAGCAAGAAAAGAAAAACGTTTGTGATGACATAACCAGACCAAAGTTTCGAAATCTTTCTGATAAAAAGCTTTTTTATAAACTCCCGAAACTTTTCTATGCTCCATGCTCTTGCTCCCCTCCCCTATTCAATATGCCTTGTGACCCCTTTTCCTGAGAAAAATAAGTTGTTGAGGCAAGAAGACAAACTGAATCTGCTAGAGGAACCCGCTTTTCTCGTTTTCCATTTTGTACCAAAACAATCCGATCCCCGTCCCTCTAGGCCCCGAAGCATCGTTCTCCGACGGAACGCACGCGCACTTATACTCGCCGCGCACGCACACACATACTGTTTGCGCATTGCCATTTCTCTGGAGCTCTCCGTTCGACTGCACACTATTCCGATTCGTAATGTGTGTATATGCCCTCTAACCATTCCCTACTATTTTCTCCGTCTCGCACCGGATGACCCCTCAGCCGTCCCCGAAGCACGCTACCACCACAACTGCTAGCACGACTTCTCCGCCCCGTCGAGGGACAGACACCCGGTTGGTTGTCGACTTCACCCCCCAGCCGGCCGTCGACAAAAATTCGGCCATAGCCTTCGTCGCGCCGCTCTGCGTCTCCGACTTGTGTCATCTGACGCTGGCGCTCGCTTCTCCGACTCTCTCGCGTACCGTCTGCATTTCGGCGTAGTGCTCTCTCGAAGGTCCTCTAGCCGACTGCGTATCTCGGTGTCTCACGGGTGGTACGGTGTTTTGTGTGACGTACTGTTTTGTGAACGTGATGAGAGAGAACAAGTCTTCCCACGTTAAACAGACTGTCCAGTTTCTGAGAGAATCTGCAATGAGCGTGAAGCTGGGTCCGTGAATGTGTTGATGAGAAAAGGGTTAGAAAAATAACGAGAAGGAAAGAGAGAAATGGAAAAAGAAGAGGTCCGAGACGGACGCGAGATTATGCAGGGCGTACTAGATGGATCATCACGGGACCCAGGCATCCAGGAAGCGGTCACGTGTCGGGTGACTTCCCACTCATTTATCTTCATTGATTCTGAGTCGGATTCTGAGATTCCGATTCCGATTCCGGCGCGACAATCGTTTCGGAGCAAAGGCCGCCCATTTGCATAAGAAGCAGCAGCAGCAGCAGCATCTTCTTCTTCTTCTTCTTCTTCCCTAGCTAACAATGAAAGAGGGGTCCAGTGAATCTAGGCGGACCCTTTCCCTCTCCCCAACCCCCCGGGCAGCACTCCACCCCTCAGAGGCACGGGAATTTTATGCGTTTAAGGTCCGTTGTGCCCAATTTGTTTAGTCCGACAAGTTGTTGCGACGTTGCCAACTCACCCTAGTTGAATTTGCATGAAACCATGACTGGCGAGCGTCTTTTGTTCTTTCTTGTGACTAACCGCTGCACTTTTCCCATTTTCGAAGGGTCTGGTGTGGCAGCTGTCCTTGAAGTCGGATATAAACAAAGACAGTCGTCGTTATGTTTTGAAAATAAGATGAATGACCCATCCTGGCTCTGTAACGGCTCTCTTACTAAGAAATTGTATCTGTTCTCGACAGAAGATGCGACCTGTTCAATCGCGACTTATCGGCCTCTAAATGCCTCACGCACATGGGGGCCATCTGTCTTCCACCTGTATCAGTATCGATCTGCGAGGTTCTAGTGGTTGAGACGGACGGATACGCGCCCTCGTGAAATTTCGGCAACCTATCTCCATGTTTTTTTCCAGTTTCTTGATGCGCACTTGCCTACAAGTCATCACAATTTATGATATCTATCAAATCCATACCATTAAACTTTATCGCTGCCTCTCTGCTTGCCACACTCTCTGTCAGCACATAAAACTTTGGCTCAAAATTTTATGAGCCACACCCGAGCTTCTGGATTTCTTTCGTTCACTATGAATAAAGACTGGATTGATTCAATGTATTCTGTCAAACCAATTGTCTTGTAAATTCAACGCTAGCTAATCTTTGTGAAATGTTGCCATTTTGCTCTCATCCCTCACCCATCTCATTCATCATCCGTTGTCTTCTTGTTCTCAAGACGAAGAATCCTCTCCTTCTTCTTCAAGATCCTCCTCCTCCCCCCAAAGGGGTTAACGACATTTTCCACTCCAAGACGTAACGACTAATTTCCTCAGGGACCACAGTAGGCCCTCAGGCAACATATGTCATTCGATCGCTTAACGGCTTCCGAAATTTGAAGAAGTGTGACAGCGGGCCCGAACGGATGAGGCAGAAGAGAGGCCTGATTGGAATTAACAATGCGGCGAGTCCGGAGGCTTTCTATAGTTATACATGTGCCCTCCTCCCCCTCATTCGTCCGACCGCTAATCCCATTTTGAAACAGGACCGCCTTCCGTGTCTTTGTCGGGGTGGTCTGGTCATCCGGCCTTGCAATTATGGTTTTACTCCCAATTTGTTCATAAGCCAAGCCACGCTTACTATTTTGACAATTCGCAAGAGGAGCGGGCTCAAAAGCTTTTCAATAATTTATAAGTTTCAATGCATTGCATAAATACATCCGGACGTCGTCGGTCCCGTTTGTTTTCAGAAGGTCCTCCCCCGTCTTTTAACATCAAAATCGGAGTCGATACGGCTGTCAGACCCCCATACCGATCTGTCAAAGGACCGTGATACACTGCGTCCCGCATGACAGGATGAAGGGCTGGACTTTCGGGAATAACGTGAAAACTGACCTTGGCCGACCCGCGCCTACTTGTTCGGCCCCCGTTTTTGTGTCGGTGCCATTTCACCGCGGCACCCCGAAAACTATTACTGATGAGGAGAATGAACGGCCTCTGACTCCTTCTTTCCGTGTTATCTCGAGGTTAGCATCTTGAAAGTGAAACCCACTGGGTGGTCGTCCCTCCCGCTACCTGAAATCGCATCGGACAGGCAGGTTAAAGATGGTTATCTCGATTATCGGCTCTCCAATTTCATCGGTTCATCCGGATTCCAGCTGCTCACAATCCTCTAAAATCGCCACTAATTGGTCATTACAGTAATCGTTCAGCAGATTTTTTTGAGGTCATGCCCTTCGGTTACGCCTACAACCATGAATTAAAGCCGCCTGCCAATTACCGCTAAGCCGATTCTCATACGAATCGGGCACAGATCGTTCATTACCTCTCTACAAAACCGTATGGATTAGATGATCTAGTCTCTCTCTCTCTGGTTGGATATTTTTCAAATCTATTGTTTCAGTATTTCACCCTATCATTGTTTCGGCTCCGTTGACCGAGCGTAAACAGAAACGGTGACTCAAAAAGGGTGTACGTTACAAAGGCTGACTCAGGGGGTACGAGGACCGACGACGCCGCCCCCGCGGTAAAGTGTGCTCCGAACTGTACTGGCTCTCAGTTGACCAAAACTCCGCACGCAAGGCTTCACGTCAAGGTGTGTGCCGACGAACGTAATGTTTGCGTGTCTTTTCCATTGAACATTTCGACTATGACCCTTCTCCATCTTCCTGTTTTCCATTGTTCCCTTGCCCTCAAACCGAGCCCCTCGGCGCTGCTCCTCGTGTCACTCCTCCCCACCAATTTGCTCACTATCTCTTCGGTCCTATCTCTGCGCCTCATCAGTTTACTTTCTATTTTCAACTCATCGATTCGGAGCCCTCCCGACCTCCTCCTCCTTCCCCCTTGTTTAGCACGTTGACCCCTGTTTCGTCTTGTCTCTCCTCACAACAACACGCGGCTCTCTTCATGCTTCTATCTTTTCTTCATGGTGCCTTTGGGCTGGTCTGAAGCTAGGAATGAGAGGATGGAGCACGAAGAGAAGAGGAAAAGCGAAAAAGAAGAGAACAAGACGGAGCAGCAGCAGTAGGGGGGGACGATGGGCAAAGGAGCTAAAGAATAAGGAAAAGAGAAAGAAGAACAAGGTCAGGAGAGATGGCACGACAGAAAGCTTCGTTGCCAGCCACAGATGTAATGATTCTGACTACTGTAGAAGTCAAAACAGGGGGCAGCTTTAGAAGGAACAAAAAACATCTTCTCAGATAGAACGAATTTTCGACCACAAAAGAGAGAGAACGCGTTTGTTTTTTCGCGCCAACAGCGCCACACCACACCTCCATTGTATATATGTACATTCATAACTCATTATTTTCTTTAAGAAACCCTTTTACTTAAAATCGATACCTTTCCCTGAAAATAGACCATTGTTTTCACTTCCCTTCCTCCTCTCTTCAATCCTTCCGGAAAACGTTCGGGTCACCGCCCCGATTACCTCAGCCCAGGGGTATATTTCGCACTTCATTTCCATTCAACGCTTCTAAAATTGTGACACGATAATTGGAAATGCTCTAACCCCTGGGATTCGTAGAGCCTTGCGTCGTGCCCGTTCAACTGGCTTCCAGTTTCCGAGGTGCTTTGTAATTGTCCGTGCTTCATGTCGTACCTGATTGATTACGCATCCCTCTCTTTTTATTCGTCACAAAGCCCAACCGGCGCGTTGAATTGTAAATGAACAGGCGCTTGACGGCGGCAAAACGTGAGCAGTGTAATCCATGAAGCCGTGTCTCTGTCTCTGTGAGTGTGTATACTCTTGCTGTAAGAACGCTGCAGTTTGGTCTATCAGGCGACGCCCTCTGGAACACATTTCCAGTCAGAAGTGGTGAATTTATTTGAGCCCCTCTTTATGTAGCCTACCGCCGGAAAGTCTTTTATGAAAAAGCAAAGTGATATGGTGACGACGACTAGAATTTCCCATCGTCTGTCGGCCAGTCATTGATCTTCATTTCAAGTTTGATGCGAAACAGGAACAGGTTATGTAAACCCCTCTCGCCATGCCTCCGATTCTTCACTTCCTCCAAGCGATTCTCTCTCCCTCTCAGTCTCATTTTTTCCTCATTTCATCCTTCTGTTCCACACTATCTCAGTCTCAAACGACTATTGATTCATATCAGAGATCTTCTCACTGTTTCGCATGATATTTCCTCACTGTTTGATCTTCCACTATTTTTCTTGCTCCTCCCCTGCGTCGCGCCGGTCCTTCACTCGGTCCTGTATAGATTTTTTGCCTTACAGAGAACGTCGTCGGCAGTAATCGATCCACGAAAGTGTCGCATTCTCTTGTATATCCCGCTCTTTGGATGACTGACTGATGCGTTGGTCGACGTCCTAGATGTGACGTCTTCGGATCCAGTCCTAGTGAAAGTTTGCTTTACGGTTCTGTCTCTCGGCGTCTCCTTCGACTGTGTTCTCTCTCGTAACTCCTCTAATTATCTCTCTTCCATGGACTGACCATTTTTTTTCTCTGTTCCGACGCGACGAATCCAGGTCGTAACAGTGTCGACAAGCCAAACAAATAACTTTAGAGTCGGGCTGTGCCTGCAACGTGCAAAACTGTTCTCTTATCAGTATTATGGACTCTTAGTGACAACACAACCATTGATTTTGTCCCTCATGAAAAGAGGATTGTTCAGTCCTTGCCTTTAACAGTCTTTCTTATCATACTTGCCTTGCAATCGCTTCGCTTTCCTTCATATTTCTGGTTTTCCTCTCTTGCTATCTACGGACCTCTACAACACTCCAAAATTACGTCGAACAGCGCGCGCTTGCGGTGGACTCCGCGGAGTGTCGTACTGCTGTCTGTCTCTGATCATTTCTTATTTTCCTGTTACCACGTGTACTTCTTCGTCATTTACTTTCTCTCGAGTTCTCATTTTCTTTTTTGACAGACGGTATGCCTCGGCGAAAGGCCAATGATGGCGGTCCGGCTCCTCCGAAAACCACCCGAACGCGGCGTAAGAAGGCCGTACCGGAGGAACCGAAACCGGAAGTTTATGATCCGATGAATGGTTACGGTATGGAAGGAATGGACCCGAGTATGTACGGGCACCATCCAGAATTTGGTTACGGTGGCTACGGTCATCCGCCGCCGTTCCCCGGCCCCGAAGGTTCCAATAATCATTATGGAATGCCTCCGCCTTCTCAACCGAACAATCCTCAGGCCAACATGATGTTAGTTTGTTCGTCCAACCACTTGTCATAAGAAAAATAATAATTAAAACACAAATGTACTGACCGTTAACCAGTTCCAGTGCTTACAGGATGAGGAGCCAAGCCACGGCGCCAGTGCCGTTAGGACCGACGGTTAGCCCTCTCGAGTTTCGGATACACGACATGAATCGGCGGCTGTATATCTACAGTTCAACAGGTGTATCCGAGAATGACCAACAGCAATGGTGGGACGCGTTCTCGCACGAGTTCTTCGACGATGAATGCAAACTTTGGTTTGTGATTGGCCCGGAGACGGCACCCATTCAAAGCAGAGAACGTTACAGTAAGTCCTCTTTCTTCCCAAAATTACATTGTATATAATTGCATGTCTTTTTCCAGTAATTTCTCGTCAATTTATACCCCGGTTTTTCCGTTCAATATTCGACAGTGGTATGCGGGAATTGGCCTACGTGCTCCGAGGACCTTCTCGAGAATGTACACTGGCAAATGGACAACCTGCCTATGAGAATGAAAGTGTTTTACAAATCACAAAGTATGATAAGCCGCATCACGTGGAAGTGCACACCGAAGGAAAGTTGTATGTCGAGTTCACGCCCTACGACGAAGTGATGAACTATCGGATAAAAGCGTGGACACTCGAGCTCCGTCGATCTGATGAGTTCACTCAAAACCCCACGACCAAGGTGAGTCATCCAACTCATTGTGTCTCTGGAAAAAATGTTAGCAAGAAACCGCTGTGGTGCTTCCAATTCCCGTGGGACTCTACGCCGCAGTTTGGGCCACGGGCTCGTCAAGCATGTAATGAGTTACAGAAAAAAGAGTGTGAGGAATTGGATAGGAGTAGAGAAAAGAGCCGGAGGAGGCCCCATGTTTTGCATTTTTGTCGTCGACCAGAAAAATACAAAGGGTGTTATTCCTTTTGTCATAAGGGAGAGAAAAACGTCGTGAAGTCCTAACTGAACAAGAGATGGGGGGTATATGCTATAAACCAAAACAACAGAAGTCACACGACATTATTTTCATTTTTTCAGGAATTCCACAGAGAAGCTCCATCCGGGAATCAAGAGAATCAGCCAAAGATGGGATTCTTCAAGTCCACTCTCAATATGATGAGTATGCTCAAGATTCTCGAGCCGATGCAAAACCTGATGAGTAACGCAAAAGGTTCCCCGGTAAGTAAAAGTTGCGCCACGAACAAACGAGAGCTTAACGAGAAACGGGTTAGCTCGCAACGATGCTCATTAGTGTAGTTCACACGCCGGTCAACAATTCACCTGATTGGCTTCATTGAGCGCGTTCATGTATAACTTGTGTCTGATCATTAGCACCTTTCACACACACGTTTTCGCTTTTTCTCTATTAGCACTCACTCGGCTAGGTGATTGGGCGGGGACACTCCACTAATGAGCTCTCATATCTTACATTTAGTTATATTCTCATCCACATTCCTCCAATTTTTCTCTTTCAGTCTACTTCGCCAAAGGATCTCATGCGACGGACGCTATTTCAACACTTCCAACACGCAGAAGCGATGAAGGAGCGCATTCGTCAGCAGCAACAACACATGCGTAAGACTCTTTCTCATTTTGATTTGGTTGTTAATGTAGTGTTTTGCAGTGCAACAACAATCGATGATGAATCCTCCGGAGCCGGAGAAGCCAAAGGCGACAAGGAAACGTCAGCGGAAGCCGGCTGCAAATCCACGTGGCAGCAAGAAGGCAGCCGCCGCCGCTGCCGCAGCCGCCGCTCAGCAACAAGCTCCGAACGGAGTTCCGTCCGCAGTCCCAAATGTTCCGGCTAACGCTCCGCCGTTTCCACCAAACCCAATGAACCCATCGGTAACGAATCCCATTGAGTATTCTTTCAACACGTCATTTTTGCAGTTCTCGCAAATGAATTACCCTGACGTGATGGTCGTCGGAGAGCCTTCAATGATGGGAAGTGATTTCGGAGAAGACGACGAAAGAACCATCTCAAGAGTTGAGAACTCTCAGTACGATCCGAACACGATGCAAATGCAATCACTCGGTCAAGGACCCAACTCTTCGATGGGCGTAAATGGACGTCCTATGAACATGCCACCTCCAATGGGACCTCCACAACATCACGGAGGAATGGCACCGCCACCAGGCCACCCGCACGGCGGAATGCCACCGCATTCGATGGGAAGTCAGATGCCGAACCCAATGCATAATCCTATGCATATGCCAAACCACAGTGGAATGCCACCGATGCCGAGCTCAATGACCAACTCAATGCCGCCTCCGCAAATGCCACCACACACAATGTCGAACCAGATGCCGAATCGTATGCCTCCGCCGATGCAAGGACAGATGCCGCCTCCTGGAATGCCAGGCGGTATGCCGAATCCAAACATGATGGGCGGAGGAATGCCGCCGATGTCGATGCCGAATCAGTTGCCCAGCTCGATGTCCAACCAGATGCCAAACCAAATGAGCGGAGGCATGCCGATGAATCCGATGCCACCACCCGGCTACAACTATTCGGGACCACCAGCTCCGTGGGCTCCTCCACCCCAAAACTCGGCAATGATAACTGGGTAATTTCTCGTAAGTTATTTTAGTTTCCAAGAAAGTTTATGAAACGAGGACATTACAGACTTGCTCACTGTCATTCACCAAGCGTGCTCCTCCCGAGTGTATTATGATGCATCGAATTCACGACAGGATACTAACAAATCAGCCGTCTTCTGTACTTTTTTCTCACTCATCCCCTTCAAGCAGCAAATACAAAGTTCACTTCACTTGATTAGTTTTTTACAAGTTTTAAATGTCATACAATTCGCTAATCCAAACCCAAACCCAAACCCTGTTATCTGTAAAAGCGCATGCCTCTTACACTATGAAATAGTCTGTATGTTCAATTTAACATGTGATTTTCTTAACGCCGCTATATACTTGAACCGCAAACAATCAAAATAGTCTTTGAACCACCATACGTTCTAATTCTTCTCAATTTCGATTGCTGAAGATCTCATTTTATATAACTTCCGCTTTTTCGTTCTAAACATTGTTTATAGACTTTCTACATATTTTATCTATAAATCTATATTGTGCATCATGTTATAATGAGAACAGGTGATATTTATTCAGAGTCATTGTAGGTTACATGTATTATGTGTTTATTGAGATCATGGTCACGTGAAAATGTACATATATGTGATCAAATGTTCAAGTTAAAATGATTGCAACTGCTCTCAATTGACGTCACAGTCTTAGGGCTCATCGGCGGGTCGCTCGAGTTTGAAAGGGTCCGAGATGTTTTCCGCAACAGCAGCCGGATATACTTTTTGAGGCGGTTGGTGAACGCTATGAACACGAATGCGTTCACTGAAGCGGAAATCATGCTCAAGACGTCAGAGAGATGCGAATGGTAGTAGTCTCTTCTGAAAAAGCGAATGCATAGGGGATTTGGAGAGGGATTTACAGACCTTGTCGGGCATTCCCTTCGCACCAACAACTGCCATTTCCGAGCAACCGAGAAGAGCTTGAGTGAGTGGAAGCACAAGTACAAAAGGATAATTGCGACAATTGAGAAAGTGGCTCGCAGTTCTTGCTTCTGTCGGATTAGTTCTGCTTTTTTGGGAAAACATCCTGCTAATGGATGTCTGCAAAAGCGTATATATTTAGAATTCTGAAACTTCACACATACGTGACACTTGTATGTTTGGGATGATCAAACGCCAGATGCTGATAGGTGTTGTGACGGCTCTTGTAGATTTCATAAAGAGTCAACAGCGAGAAGAGGCACATCCACAGGAACGGTACAATATTAAAGAACAAGGGATCAAGGATCGAGTGGTAGACGAAGCGGTAGGTAGACAGAATCTGGAATATTCGAGGAAACAATGAGCTAAGCCATCAGAAGCCATGTTTGATCAAACTTTCAGATCATGTTTTGCCGGCCGCGCTTCTGTTTTTGTGTATTGGATTTGCGCCCACCCGGACGCACAAAAACATGCGTATTGCATTTCCTATTGGAACTTTCAATTAACACCTCACGTGACCCCTACCTCCGTTGTGGCTATCCGCTTGTTAATTCGCAGTTGTGGGTGTGCTCGAATTTCAAGCTCCAGCAGGAATATTGGCATCCGAAAGAAGAGAACGAGGCAGAACATGATGATCAGCATGGAACGCGCACGACTGACCGTGTCACGAAGACGCGCGATCATTGGTCGTGAGATCTGAAAATAGACCGAAATGCCTGCCATCCCGAATTATTAGTTCATGTAAATACCTTCCAGTAGCGATGAGCGGACAACGTGGCAATTGTCCAAACATGAAGAGTGTGGATGGTGATTTCAACTCTGAACAATCAAAAGTACGAATAAGTTCTCAAGTGTTTTGTTTTTGTTTCACAAATTACCTAGGCATTGTGTATTTGAGAAAACGACGCTCGAACATACACGCGGTATAGAAAGTGTGATTTTTCATGTGATGCTGATCGCAAATCTGCGGAAAGAACTCCGCAGCCAACGTCGTCGTGAGCATCACATGATCCAGAAGTAGAAGGGCTTTCAAATAGACAAACACTCCAGATGTGATCTTTGGCGGGCGGTACAATGAAACCTGGAAATGTGTTCTGCTCCGTCACATCATCATTTTTCCCGTTTCCGATTCCGTTTCTCACACCCTGACCTCAATAGTCTCGGCCGGCGAGTCATGCGTGTTTGGTTGTTACCAAATACGCGGCGCCGCGAACAGTGTGCCAGGCGGTGATTGTGAAAATGTTTCTTGCGGATCAAATTTCGATGCCTCTCTCACTTTCTCTCTTCCATTTTTGACACTTTTCGGACAAGAGGGAGGTCAGTGTGACTCACCATGGCACACGCATTGCAAAGAATTCCAATGAGAGCAATGGGAAGAAGAAGGAGCAAATTGAGATTTCGAAGTTGGAAGTAAAGTTCGTGATCATGAATTCGAGGTTCATGGTAGCAAACCAACGAATGACTTGGAAAAAAGAGACCATAATTATCTGCCATTTTACATTAGGAAACTCTGAAATTCAGAAATTCAAACTGAAAGGAAAACGAATGGCAATTACGAGAATCAGAGAGAATGTGCGCAAGAGAGATCCAAAATAGAAGTGAAGGCCGGCCAAAGTTAGAAATAGTCTGAAAACTCAGAACACGAAATTGTCTTAAATAATGAATGAATCGGGGCGCCGACAAAAAATATATCCTTCTCCGGAATGCCCTCGTGCTTTGTTGTTTTTTAGGTAACCCAACACAGAGGAAGGGACCCTGCTGGAAATGTGTGGACCTGCCTGTCCCATGCATGCCCAATAGAAAGAAGGAAGGAAGAAAAATAAAATATCCAGAGAAATTAAAGGGTGTCTGTTCGGGGTCATAAAGAGATGTTCACTCATTCAACAAGCACGCTTAAAGCACAATGTTTGGTTGGGATTTTCTCTGCCCATTTGTGTGTCATGTTTGTTTTACAATGATGGATTCGAAAATGAGACCAGCTTATTTAGGATGAGGGGGTGGAATGGTTTTTCTGTGTTCAGACGGAACTTTCCATCATCATCTAGGCACACACACATAAGGAGAAGGAGAAATGTATCTTAAGCAAAACGTTTGAGCTTGACTGGGATGGAAAAGCAAAACTTGTTTGCTCAGAGCGACTTTTCTTAAGCTGTATGCGAATGAACTGAATCATGAAGAAAAAGAAGGAGAAGAAGAAGACGAATACGTCATGCAATCACATTTGATAATAATAATAATAATAATAACACATTTTATTCTTTCGTTACCTGAAGTTTTTAAATGAGACGAACTCTCAAGTGTGGTGCGCGACCATTATGTTTCTATCAAAATAAACAACAATATCTAGAGTGCGCGACTACGGTAAGACCAAAGGACGAACCACGCCAGACAAGGTATAAAAGAGTTTGGAGGCTTCCGGAAAGCCGGCTTGTTAATTATTCACAAACTCCGGTCGGAAATGAGCGGAAGGACGAAGGCGGCGAAAGTGACGGACGAGGAGGCGGGTGCTTCGGATTTCAAAAAAGAAATGGGCGAGAAATTGGAGAACTCGGCCGGAGAATTGAAAACGATATTTCTGAAACAGAGTCAAAGTGAGAGTCGGAAACAATGTTCGAATAAGTCGGTCACATGCTGGCTCGCGAATCTTTCTGATCTCTGCGCGCCCCGCTAACAAATACAATTACGAGCCGAGTTAGAGTTTGCACTTTCATTTTCCCTTTTTTTACTCTAATTTCCACGTTTTTGCAGCATCGGAATAGAAAAAAGAGAAAAGCATGATGTTCCCAGTGTGTCATCCGAAATACGTTATTCCAAAACATTGGTTGGAATAAAGAATACACAATCAACGGACACTTCACAACAAAAAGGGACTGCAAAAGTATATAAAGTTTGACTGGAAGTGAAAGAGAACAAGAGTTAATACTGTCTGCCAGTTCCAATCGGGCTAAAGTTCACTCGTACGCGTATTTGCATATGTCAAGCACACTCTAATCGTGCTTTTTTTTAATCTATCTTCTTCTGTTCCAGAATTTCTTCTTCTTGACGTTGATAGTTTCCTTCCGGATGTTGCAAATTTCTATTTCTGAACATATATGATAAGTAGAAGCACGTTTCCGTGTTAAGTGAAAGTGTACACATATCAACATGCTAAAGATATAAAGGAAGAGTTTGAAAAACATGTTCGTTGCAAGAATTAGGAGTTCAGAAATTAGGTACTGTTGATATGATGTTTCAAAATGTGCAAGTTTTTCATTGTACACAGTTTTAAGTTTCTTAACCGAATTTGTTGTCTTAGCTGTTTGCTCTGCGATAAAACATCAAATCTATGTTGTGGGCACATGATCTGACGTCTCAGTTTTTGTGCAAACATGATCCACTTTTTTCAGAGTTCGCAATAGCAAAATTGTATTTTTCGGTAGATTCTAGTCGCGCACGTCACTTTTTTCCAGCAAATATTCGTGATTCACCTTTTTCGAATTGCAACTTCTTGATTTCAACTACGAATGATAATCATGATCACCCGAAGATAATTCGCCAACTCCTCCCAGCTGATAACACGTGATTCCTGGACTGACTCACAAAGAAATTATTCCATGTTTCAAGATAAACGTACTGCATCTCGTGCAACTGTAACGTCTTCCAGCAACGCCCAAGTTGCCTTATCAGCTCGATTCCCTTTTCGATCATTCTGCTGAATCACCTCGGTTCAATGACGTGTCCAGAAGTTCTACTGATACGCGCCACTCTTGCTCTCGCCTACATTTGTATAAAAGACACGCATTTTCCGTCAAGTTCACACCGTACCAGCTATGTTAGAGTAAATATTTGAGCGTTCCTTATCTATAAAGGGAAGAAGGCTTGTTCCATCGCATTTTTCAATGTGATTCTGATCGTGTTGCCAATATACGAAACTGGTTTTGAAACAAGAAAAAGAACAGTTTCTTACTGGCAATCATGGCATACCTCGTTTCGTTTCTACTCAAACTTTCAATTGAAGTGCTACTCTCCAACCCTGGCCAAAAACGTTTCCATTATCAGGGCGCCCACTTGATTATCTCTCCTTCCGGCCAATCTTTCATTCTATTGATACTCCATACTCTCAACAACTCTTTTACTTTCCGGCTTCACATCCCCTTTCTGGCGCAGATGTGTACACTTTTTCGCGCGTTGAGAAATTTTGTGTCGCCGTCATTTGCTATCCATTTTCGTTACTAGGTCGTTGTCTGGAGAAACCGTGTGTATGGCGGTCGTCAATGAGAAATTTCCATATTTAGCTCATTTCTGCTAGCATTTTTATGCATTTTTTTTTGAAGCCCATGACAATTTTAAGTTTTTTCTTCCAGATTAGCCATGTGTCTCTCAGGACTCACCCAAATTCTATATGGAATTATTATGGCTGGTAGTGCCATTCTTACAGCTGTCGCCCTTTTCACACCCAGTAAGTTTGTTTGATTCGTTTTCAAAAACTAACGTTAAATTTTAGGTTGGAATACTGTGGAAACAAATGTGAAAGATCCGCTGCATGTGAACACTTCCAACTGGAATGGATTGATGCCTTGGTCGTGTATTGGGCACTCACAAGGCAGTACTTGTCAAGATTGGTGGGCGGTAAGAAACTAATAAAATATCTTCCAACTAGTTCTTAATGTAAATATTTTCAGAATCTTCCGGGCTGGCTTAAATGTGTCGTCATTTGCATGATTCTTTCGCTTATCGTCCAAGTGTTCGCAGTTGTCTACAATTTCCTGACATGGTGAGTCAGACTGAATGATAGGCCCCGGTTTGTTTATAGATGACGTGTTTCCAGTCTTGCGTGTTGCTGCAAGAAGTACGTCATTCATCCGCTCACATTCTTCGCCGTCATTTCGACGGTCCTTCTGCTGATTGCGGTTGTTGTCTACGCCGCAGAGTGGAATCAATTCGAAAACGGAATCGACACAAGCTCACAAGTACGTAAAAATAACTCTCGTCTGTTTGAACAACCTATGCTCTTTCAGCTCGGATACTCATTCTGGCTCGCCATCGGAGCCCTCATCCTGTCTGCCGCTGACGTCATTTTGGGAGCCCTGACAGTCTGTCTTGGAGAACACTGCTGCTAATTTTTCCCCTTGTCTGTACATCCCTTGTTCTGTGATATAATATGAATTATTTTGCCCAGACAGCAACCGTTATTTGTAAAAGCTTTGTAAAATTTTGAACTCGATTCTTGCTTTGCCGCACCGCGCTCGGAACTAAACTGTAAAGTGCAAACACTGTGGCACACACAGAGATGAAAAATGTAACGGTTCGTGTTTGTAAAAGGTCTTTTGAACTGTGCTAGAACATGAGAATATGTCTGTTCTTAGCGCAATTGACGTGCCTCCGAGATCGAGAGCAAAATTCTTTTGTAGCGAAGATGACCGCGTGGGTGGCATCAGCTCGAGCAAAGAACGGCTGTGAAATTGGAGACTGAGATCATTCGTTAGACTCGAGGTGCGGAGAAACTGCAAATAAAACGATAGTATAGTTCTTCAAAAGGTAGATCAACATTCCATCCACAACAAATGATTCACCTACTTATACCACACGGATCTTTAGTATAATGGAGCTACTGTCAATTTTTTTTTGAATTTTAGGACAAAGCTTGTTCAGTACAGAAAAAATCGAACATATTTTCTGAAAATACGCAACTTTTTCAACCGAAAAGCAAAGTGAGTAGGCTTGCTAATGGTGCATTCAGAATTAGGAACAGAACAGGGGTGTAGAAATGAATCCTTGGATGAAACAGCGGTTCAACGATACATGGTAAGTATCCATAAAGAAATCTCGAAAGAGTTTGAAAAAAATGCTTACCCCACTCTGTTCGTCAGCATCTAAACATTCGAAAGCGTTTGTGGTCATTGGTGTAAACAGCTGATCACAAATGTTTTGTGTATTTCTATTGCATTTCCTTGTTGTCTCAAAATTGGTGAGACTTTTTGAGAAATCGCAAAAAGTTTGTGCAATGGTTTAGACGGCCTAGTACGGTTGTGTGCCACCCTGCTAACCTTTGCTCCGCGGCAAAACATGATCACATGTTCAAACAACCCCGGATGATTGTATCTCTCTGCGAAAACGACAAGAAAAACTTTCGAAGCGAAATGCCTGAATTGTCGACAAATCGGATAGTGGTCAATGAAACGGACCAACTGAAAATAAAACAACGAGTGGAGTAAATATTGCGTGGCTGTGTATTGTGGGGAAATCAAAAAACCCCCCGGATTTATTGTTCAACGTTCATTTCTATTTGCGATGAAAATTGAGGAACTATTCAGGCTCCTTTAGTTTGCGGAACTAATACCGGAAGAAATGAACTAACTGAAATAAACAGGCTGGAAATGATGCAATTCTTATCGAAAAGTACGGAAACAGATGATTAAGAGGATGTTATTCGTTTATTACAAAATAACTCTTTATAGGAAGAAACTTTCCACCTCCTTACTCACAAACCTTACAAGCATTATACACTAAAACATGCAAAATCAAGAGGTCAGTCTAAAAATCATCAATTCATAAAATCAAGCTGACAAAGGTGTATCCAGGCAGATAGATCTCGATCATCCATAAAAAGATTTAACAACACCTCAAAGAATGTCCAGAATGTTATCGTCTTCCAGCCGTCTAATATAATTCCCGTATTTATTTTGCTGATAAGTGCGTCTGACCCTCAGACATTCTTGTATTTGACATCTCGAACATTGTCCTGACTCTTGTTTAAAGACCGTGAAGTTCACTTTCATTTAGCTCCTTGGCAATTCTTCTGCTCAAGAAAAAAAAGTATCTCGGGTCAACTTTCCAGTGGAGATTCGGTAAAACAGTTTCATTGTGCACACAGACTAAGAGGATTCGACTGATTTGATAAGAAACTATCAATTGAGCAACAGGATTGACTCGAACTGATGGAAAATGATGAAAAGTGTAGAGCTAGGATCAAAAATATAATCAGAATAAGTTGATAAAGGCTTCACTGATGAAATGTGAAAATTGAGTTCATACTAGAAACGAGTACTCAGAACTGTGCATGACTCATGAAGGATCGCCGATTCAGAGAACACATTGATCTGACTAATCTCTTTTTGGAAATTGTTCGTTTTTTTGTTACTCGTAGCGTTATTTCCGTAGGTTTCAGTCATCATTTGCCGCCAGAATGCGGATGGTCGTTAAACGACCATGAAAACATAGTTCATTCAAAGGTTGCAACAGACAACGCCCTGGAAAAAACAGTTTATTCATGTAACTGATCATCTAGAGAGTCTGACGCAACTCCACAAAATATATATCATCTTTTCAGAAGCGAGGGGGTTTCTCACGAATTCGAGTGCGGTGACTCAAAATGGGATGTGACGGAACAGGGGGCATCATCATGTTTTCCCTGACAGTTTCGCACATCATCATCAAAACCGCGACAGGGCGGGCAAGTTATGTTTGTGTACCGAACTGTACTGCACTGCGAGCTGAACACAATAAACCGAAATTTTTGCGGGGGAGATCGAAAAGACAAGGTACCGCCCACCGAGGGCCTCCCTCCGCTTCCTCTTGCTCTATATAAATTGGTGGAGCACAAAGCTCAACCAAGTTCACTTTTTGAAGCCCCTACAGGCAATGGCGACACCCAATCGCAACGATGATATTCCGACTATCGAAGAGTTATCCGAAATCCAGATTGCTGATATTCATAACACTGTTAGTCTTTTCACTGTTTTCTGTTTCCTAATTCTGTCTGCTTCTGAAATTAGACTAATTAGCGTAAATCTTAAATTTTAGGAAAAGAAACACGAAATGAGGCAGAAGGCTTACTCTCTGCCTGAACGACGAACGGCCCATCATGATAGCAAGAAACAATCGCGTTTCGGCACTATCAAACAATCTGTGAAACGACAAATTTCTGGAAGTATTAGGAGGTACGGCCTGAAAATATTTTCACGTTTTTGCATCTAATTGGATGTTTTCTGAAAACTTTAAACGTTTTGTACTCATGTCTTGTTTTTTGAAAATTATGTCTGATTCAACAAAAATGGAACAGTATTTTAAGTTCCAACAGAAAAAAGAGACTAAAATGTTACCTAGACTGAGTAATTTCAGTATTGGAGCGTATGCTGGAAGAATAGCAAAGCCAGCGAATGCGTACTTCCGCTGGAATTTGCTTTTCACGTTCCTCATATTCTTCTTTATCACATCAGCCATTTGGATTCCAGTGATTCCTGCGCTCAATGTAAGAAAGTTGACTAGTAAACCGAATATTGAACAGAAACGTTTAGGATTTTGCGCTGGAAATCGTGACAATCATCTCAATCATTCTGCATTCGCTGTGGATTATTGCAATCATCAACGCTTTGAGATACACTTGGAGGCTCAGAAGATTTGCCAGCCATGAAATCAGACTTGACTTGGTAAATTAAACACTTTTTGATTATTTTATAGTCAACTTATTATTGTAGATCAAAAACGAAGCTGGAATCAAAGTGAAACATCTGGTGGGTCTTTGTGTTTACAAGGAACCGCTGGATTTGCTCATGGATACGATCGACAGTATCGCTTCGCAGCCGAATGCCAAAGAAAAGATCTCGTGTCTGGTGGGAATGGAAGGCGGGACTCCTGACAAGGAAGAGGTGGGTGTTCTGCTCACGACAAGCAACAAATTGTCATTTCGTTTAGAAAAAGCGAATCCTCGACGACAAATACGGGCCAAAGTTTGAGCGGTTCATTGTCACATTCCACCCCCGTGGTCTGCCCGGAGACATTCCAGGTAAACAGACCGGCAGTAGTAGTGCAGTAATTGTTTGATTTTCCAGGAAAATGCTCTAATTTCAACTACGCGGCAAGAACTGCGGTCAAAATGTTGCGAGCTGACAAGAACTATCCACTTGAAGAGTACGATAACAACGTCGAGCTGATTGTGACCACCGGAGATTGCGACAGTGTCTTCGGAGACAGATACTTTGACGCTTTGGAAGAGGACTACTGGAAGCTTTCGGCAAAACAGAGATCCTACACTGTCTGGCAATCACCTCTTTTCTACTGCATCAACTTGGACCAATCCCCGTTCTTCGTCAGAGTTACCGGACTGCTCAGAGCCTTCTTCATGATGGGATACCTCATCCCGTGGAACATTAACACCATGAGCATCTTCTCGCTGACTCTCAAACTTTTCGAGGAAGGAGAGTACACCCATCCAGGATATCAAATGGACGACATCATCGCTCTGATCAGATGGTCACTGGCTGTTCGCAGAAAGTGTGTTATCCGTGCAATCCCAGTGGCAACTCTGTCCGGACCAACTAGCGGTACGAAAGGGAAGTAACGTTTTTTTATAAGTCTAGATTGTTTTAGGAAAGAATTACGTCGATGAGTGGTACGAGTGGGCCCGACAGATCAGAAGATGGACCATCGGAGCTGCTGAAGTGTTTCATTACTTTGCCATCAAGTTCTTCCGTCTGCCAGTCTCAGTTTCCATCTCATTCGCTGCCAAGTTCGTCTTCTACTACGGTTTCCTGCTCTGCATCGCCTCTGTCTACACTATCGTCGCTCCTCTTGTGGTACACTGACCACTCAAACATCACTTTCAATACCTCGTCGTTCTTTCAGACCCCTGTCATGTTAAAGGCAGTTGACCACGGTGTGCACGGACTGGTTATTCCGAACAACAAAGTTTTCATGATCATCATGTTCGGCTTCCTGGGACTCCAGTATATCTGGTTCTTCCTTGTTTTCCTCATCAACTACCTCTGTCAACCGGTAATATCCGTCAAAATGACCTCTCCCGTTACAATAGGTGCATTCAGGTGTTCCCCCGACAGACCAAAGACAAGACCGGTATTATCCGCAACATTTTCCATTGGTTGATGACATGGCCGACCCTGGTGATGTACTGCTGTGTGGAATTAGTTGCCTTTTTAGAGGTGGATGCTTTCGGCCAGCAATTAAAATAATTACCAACTACTTTACAGGTTACGGTTCGCGGCAAATCCGTTTGTTCGCATAATGCATCGAAGAAGGACAATCTGGTCGCCCCAGTGCCCAGCAAACAACCGGATCGAATGGAAGTGTGAGCGCATGCAATTTATCAGTGATCCGGCAGATGTGAACAATTATATCAATCAAATTTCTCAAAAACATATTGTGCACCATAAAGTAGCGGGTTTTAGACTTTGTAGTTTCTTATATCTGACTGTTTTTGTCTCAATAAACAACTTCTTGTATAAAATTTCAAACGGATGTCCCGCTTTCTATTAAACTGTAGTTAAAAGCTGATCCCTCCTGCTAACAAAGGTGCTTACACTTGAATGAACCAACCAGTCATTGTTTAATCTTAGACATGATCTGAAAATTGAAGGTCGCCGGTGCCAGGTACCGTAGGCAGCTAACATGTACTTCTTGAAACATGTCCGGTTATCGGTAATTCAACATCTTCAATTGTGTCATGTCAATCACGGTGGCCCTCATCCAAGCCCATTTCCTTTTCGTTATCGCATCATGTTCCGACAGGCACGGAATTTCGAAATATCTCGGCGCGATCGTGTGACGCGACGCATCAATTTCGTCGGTGACATCTTCCCGAGCGTCACAGTGGCTTCTTATCAGAGGAATAGGAGGTTCTCGGTATACACGCAAAACCCTGGACATTGCATTGACCTGACCCCTTTTCTTTGTCAACCGGGATGGATGGCGCACGGCGGAGGCGTGGAAGAGAGCGCAGAGAAATGGAGGGTAGTGAAAGGACAATATCGGACACGGGGGTACTTCTCGTCCTGATTCATCTAGGTCGCATAGGAGAGGTGTCTATCGGGAACCTCCCACTTGTTGTTAGTCGATTTGCATCCACACTCATTGGCTACTGCACACTAGTGATGCGTTCGCTTGTTTGGATTCTGGCTGTGGCGACGGCCTTTGCTGCCGCTGCCATCAACGACGCCGATGTTCCGGTTGTCATCCACCTGCCAGCCCAACAACATCGTCCGAGATTCTTGGGACAGGTTAATACATACTTCCAAAACCTATCCACAACGAGCAGTTTCTAGGTTGCCCCGCCACGCGCTGTCAAGACCGATGTCCAAGCTCCAAGTGCTGCCCAGGAGAAGGCTATCGCCGTTCCACAGGCCCAACAGCCCATTGCCATGCCACCAGCTCCACCAGCAGCTCAGCAGCCAGTTCTGCCAGTTGCCAATGGAGATCAGTCGTTTGCCCCAAGAGTTGGAGCTTCTCTCCCGCCACCACCACCACCAGTCAACATCCCAACTGATGTTCAGAACCAACTTATCAAATTCTTTGGACTTGACTCCTTCGGAATCCCAGGACTTACTGGATCCCACCCAGACGGATTCGCCGGAGCCGTTCAGGAGATGAGAGCCGCCGGAATTCCAGTTCCAGGAATCCCAGCTGATCATGCCAATGCCGAAGCCGCCGGAGTCAAGAACGTGAACGATGGTAAATGAGAGTAGATTCAGATAGAAAAACATTTCAACATTGCAGACGTCCTCGCTCAAGCCAACCCGAACTTCCAAGATCAAATCTCCCAGATCCAGAACGCCGTTAACAACCCAGGACCATACAAGGGAGGAGCTAATGTGCCACTTCCAGCTGAGCAGCCAGGAGAGAACGGACTAATCGGACTCCTCTCCAACTCGATCAGGAAGGTTATCAAGGACAGTGAGTGAAATTTAACAGTTACTGAACCGTCTCTACGTTTGTATTTTAGCCGGAGTGAGCGATGCCCTGTCCAATTCCATTCCAAACCTTCTCGGATCCGGAAGCGGAGCTGATTCTGCCTCTGCCCCAGCCTCGTCCTCCAACATCCGCCGCGCCCCAACTGTTTCTGAGGCTACCGATGACGTCCCACAAGTCGCCACCGCCGCTGGATCGTCTTCAAACATCCGCAGACAGCCATCTGCTGCCCAAAGAGCCATTTCCGGATTCGCCGCCGCTCTCGGAGGAGGAGGCGCTAACTCGCCAACTCACGCCGGACTCCCGAGAATCCCAGGAATCCCACTTCTCCCAGGAGGAATCCCAAGAAACTCGCAAGGACAAATCGACATCGTCAGTCTGATCGGATCCGTCACCAAACGCGTCTCCAATGGAACCACCCTCGCCGAGCTCTTGCCACCAGAGAGACTCCAGACTCTTGCCGACAACGTCACTGACGCCCTTCTCCCAGAAACCCCAACTGTTGACCTCTCCAAGTTCATGGGAAGATGGTTCGAGGGAATCAACTCGCCAAGAGCAACTGAACAAAGATGCGTTGTTCACCATTGTAAGAATGACGTTTAAGAGGAAAAATGGAAACCCATAATCTACTTGCAGACGGAGGACTTACCCGCAACGACAAGACCGCCACCTTCACCGCCCTTAAGGTGTACAGAGAAGGATCCGAGTTTGGACCAGTCAAGTACTCGATCGGATATGCTTTCCGCGGAGGAAACAAGGACGCCATGCTTCAGCTTCACTCTTCTGAAACCAGCGATGCTCAGCCATGTCAGTAATGGAGGTTGTTTGTCAATATGTATTGTCTTATTTTAGTCTGGATCTACAAACTCGGACCAGAGGGCAAGAATTCTTTCGGAGATTCTCAATACGAATACGCGATCATTTCTAACTGGGTTAAGTATCCAGTGACCGTTTTGGTTCGCGATCCGGATACTTTCAAGGCCAAGTACCAGAAGGAGGTAAACAACAGATCTCGAGGGGATGAAGTATTTCATTAGTGAACTTCTTAGGTCCTCCGCTGGCTTGAGGATCAAGGATTCATCAACGGATTCATCAGAGCTTTCAACCTTCTCCAGCCTGCCGGATACTCGAGCTGCCAGTACGCTGATTCCACCTTCGAAGTCTTCGGAAAGTAACTCCAATCCAACGGGCCTCATCTTAATTATTTCTACTGAAAATCTCTTAAATGACCTCTCCATCTTGTCCTTTTGTCCTTTTCGCCAAACATTCCTTCCTTATTATTTTCCAATTGTTACTTGTACAGACCGCTAATAAGTTTTCCGTAATAAGAGTCGACCCCCTTTCTCAATAATAATAATAATAAACAATTATTTCCAAAATCATTATCCGTCCTTTTCACAACAACACACACTCGACGCGATCCGTCGAAGGTTACAAGTACATTGGCCCAATTACTCACGAAAGTAGGTAAATTGCGGTTTACTGCCGAGACATGAGATTTCACATGAAACATGGAACGCACAGGCACGGGGAAAGAGACGAAGAGAGGGGAGCCTGAAGATGGATGGGCGGGGTTCAGGTTATGAAGGTCGAGGAAGAGAAGGCGTCCATCGCAACAGCAGCAGCAGTCACTTCTGTCCACTACATATACGCTCAATTATTCAGTTGACCAGTGTCGTCCGGTCGAGAATGCTGTGGATTCGAAACGTTGCTCTCCTCTTCTGTCTCCTCAATAGCGTCGCCGCGATTGGCGAAAATGCGGTGAGAATTGAATGTTTCTTTTGATTGTTTCAATCGGATCACTGCCGTCTCTCACTGATGGAACTGGATCAAGGTTACACTCCCTTAGGGGGAAATTATGCAAATGTTGTGGTTTTCGAGACAATAATGAATACTTTAGATGGATTTCCAAGCCATAACTGGAATCATCGGAGGAATCGGAAAAATGCTGGAGAGCAAGATCGACACGATCAACGTCCCGGCTGATATGATCATGGGCAAGTGGTTCCAAATGTATAAAGCGGCCATGAACTTCGACGTTGTCCGTACCACCATGTTCTGCCCGGTTGCTTACTGTAAGTTCCAATGGATTGAGAACGTGTTTCTAAACGGAACGTTTTTACAGTCTCGCCTAATCCGATCATGGGAGAAGAGGGGTTTTCGATGCAGGAGGCTTACAGAGTGGTCTCTAAGACTGGTCCAATTGAGACTTATAAGAGGGACATGAACAAAGTCGGCCCAGGACAATACTGGATGTACACTGAGGAGTACTTCTACCCAAGACAATGTAATTAGCTGAATCGAAATGTTCTCAGTGTTGACCTTCATTTTTAGTCTACATCATCGGAGCCGGGCCATCGTTCGACAACGGCACCGCCAACTCGACGGAGCCACTCCAATACTTGATCGCTTCAGACGCCAACCGTCTTTCTTTGATGGTCTACGCAAGAGATCCACTCATCTTTTTCCAGGTTAGTTGCGAAAAATATTTTTTTTGTCCAGTCGCCGCGAAAATTGATTGACACAATTGATAAGAAAAGGAATTGGGTTAGCTTATCATCGGCCAAACAGTTGACCTTATTCATGGCGATTACGATTTCGGATCACGGATCGAAAAAAGTGAAAGTTGAAGAAGATAGGAATTTTGCAGAAGTACAATAAGGAGGTCGTCGAATTCATGAACGGACACGGATTCGGGGGAAACGTCTTCTGGAACAGCCCGAAGCCAATCTACCAGGGACCAGACTGCGAGTGGCCATCTGAGAAGGAGGTCTTTGCTAGAAGGTGCTTTTTGGGAAATCTGAATCCAATTGTGATTTTGCTGATTTCAGAGTGCTCAAGAACCAGGAGATGAACGAGCGCAGCAAGAACGGAACTTCGGATCCAATCCTCTCTGGAATGCCGCTGGCTGACATGATCCGTGACCCTAAGCGTACTCTGGAGAGACTTGTCGGAACGAAAGCTTTGCAACAAGCGTCAGCCGGAATTACCGCCGGCCCACCAGCCAGCCGTAGCGAGTGACCGCATTCTACCTCAATTCTGCAGTTCCTCTCTTCTCCCCTTAATAATTGTCTTTTTTCATTTCCGTTTTCGCACTAATTATCATCGTAATAACATCGGACATTAATAAGAATAATAAGTATCCGATTAATAAGACACGGTTCCGTGTATTCTCCGTTGTATCTCATTGCGATTAAGTCGTTGATCCAATAAATTGCACACCCCTTCAATATCTTTTCACTTTCCGCTCCGTTTGCGACCCGTGCATGTGTACCGTAACAAAAACAATTTGCGTGTCTTACACGTATTCAGAGACGGCGGTACCCCCGAAAACGAGGACGCGTTGAGAAGATTTGGGAAGATAAACTCGGAGAGGCGAGAGACGAGAACACGGAGAGGAGAAAATCGTCAAAGGAGGTTGGACAACGAGAAGCGAAAACAGTGGTGGACGACGGCGGTGACCCCGGTCCATTCGACACACCTTCGACAACATCCAGTCTTATTCATTCCGTCAATTGAGAATGCTCGCGACAGGCATCCTCTCCGTCTGCCTCGTCGGCCTTGTCGGCGCCCAACTTGACGCGTTCGCCCTTCCGTCGGCCCAACGGTATGCCCCCAAGCCAACTGTTCCTCCAGAGTTCTCCAACTACTTTGAACTGGATGGACATGCCCGCGAACTGGTAGATTCTATTCTGGGACCTCGTCCAGGAGGTCTCTTCCCAGAAAAGACTTTCGAGATCGGATCTCCAATCGAGCCGGTGCAGAACGGAAACCAGCCAACTCATGTGGTCTCCAAGCTGGAGAGAACTCTCGAGTCCTTCTTCACTGCCCCAGAAACTCCAGCAGGACAGGCCCTCCCACCAGGTTTCGGGTCGGGGTTTTCCTTGCTCAACAACAATAAGGCCCTGACCTCGTTCGGAGACATCCGCAGATCCCCATCGGGCGACAAGAACAAGCTTGATGATCAGGAAGTCGAAGGATCCGGAGACGGAAAGAGTTCTATTGCTGGCATTCCAAACGTAAGAATTTTAGATCAACCACATCTGTATTACATTTGACCTCTAGATTGCCGTCAAGCTGCCAAAGTGGCCCGCAGCCCAACTTGAACCTGTTCGAACTGTCGCCGTGCAAAGAGATGTCGTTGGAATGCCAGTCATTGAGACGGCGCCGGCAGTGCCAGAGGGAGGGTTCCTGCCATCTTCTGATGTGCGCCGCTCGCCCGCTTCGGTGTCTGAAGTCTCTCACTCTATCGACGACAAGGCTGATGACCTTAACACCGAGGAGGTTGGCATTGTCTCTCGCTAGCCATTATAAATACCGCCCCGTTTTCAGTATGGAGGCCTTTCCGATGACACGAACACGTCTGGCGGCGGTCTGATCGGCACCATCTTCAACCTCATCAAACTGGGAAGCAAGAAGGCCAAGGAGGCCCCGACAAACGGAACCGCCACCCAGGCTGATGTAAGTCAACCCATGGACCTTCTAATGTAATGTTGAGCTTAAAGAACAAGAACTCCATCGGAAAGGCCGTCTCGAATCTGCTCGGAGGAGAGCACAGTCCACTTCCAAGGCCAGGAAGCAACATCCTCACGGACATGCTCTACAAGACCCTCTCCAGCGGATCCCTTGAGGTGAATTGCACAAATGCGTGCGTACAATAAAATGAACTTTCAGTCCAACGATACCATGATCGACAACAAGAACAACGGATCCATCGTGCTCACCCCAGCCCAGTCCGCCGCCATCAGCAGCAATTTGGAGATGATTCAGGACCTCATCATCAAGCCATCTTCTCCACTTTGCACTTCCAAGCCAGATCCAGTTGACTTCGATCTTGACGGACTCATGGGCCAGTGGTACCAAGTCGTCTACTCGCCACCAGTCTCGACCGGACCGTGCAGCATGGTGTCGTACAAGAAATTGAGCGACAATGGAGAAGGTACTGTAGCTGAGAATACAGACTCTCAACGAGTTCATCTCAATTACAGAAACCGGTTCGATCATCGACGTTTACGAGTACACGACCGACGGAACTCCATACGGAAAGCCGATCATCTCCTCCGGCTACGCTCTTGTTAAGGGAAAGGGAGAACTCATCTTCAGAACCAACTCGAACAAGGATGACGTCACGGTTCATATTCTCAGCGTTGGACCAACCAACCAGCACGGAGAGTACGAATACGTTCTCATGTCGACCAACTGCAACTATCCGATCTACGTCTTCGCCAGAGACGCCAGCGTTTACAAGCAGGTTAGTGGCTGTGGGCAGACTACAAAAGATGAGAATTTCATTATAGAAGTATGAACCACTCGTCAATGACTTCATGGACAAGAAGGGAATCGTCAACGGTATCACTCGTCTTTTGAACGTAGTTGCTCCGGTCGACAACACCATGTGCGTCTTCCCACCACATCTCTTCTACAACCAAGGAAGATAATTGATTGAATTCTTTCTAAACTCCTTAATAATTTCCCTCCTTCCCTTCTTCCCTTCCCCACCCCCCCCGTCTTCTCCCGTAAAAATAATCTCATTTCCCTCCCTCCCTCTCTTTCAACCCTCGGGTGATTACTTTGTCTTTTCAGCGTAACTTTCTCCAAAGCATCCCGTTTGTTTTAGTTTCCACTTCCATCATTTCCCCCCCAAAAATCAGGCCGTGGGCTCGTGCATTTCCCTGTTGTACATAGAACTAGGACAAGTGATCCAACTTCCTCATTCCAGTTATCCCCTTTTCTCTCTTTTTTCTCTTATTGTCATCTTACTTCTTTCGTATCGTCAATAAATCCTTTATCAGTATTTCCAAATCAACTTTTTCAATAACATTACATAAAAATCTCAAGAGATGAGATGAGAACGAGGCGATAAATTCTGATATATTCGAGTAGTTGAAGACGAATCGACCATAGACGGTTTGAATGCAAAATGCAGAGGACACTACTCAAATTCGAGTTTCATGGCCACCGACTGGAACTTCGAAGGACGAATTCGCGGCCGTGTCTCTCTTATGAACTTTAACGTCGTGTGCGGTCTCAGAAATATGTCAATGTCAATTACAGTGCACTGGGAGACAGGGACAGATTTTGCAGATAGATTCGCCGTTTGGGTTGATAAATCGCACCACTTGTCGAAGAACCTTAGACTTTCCGATTTGACGTCGACAGAGATGATGCAAATTAGGTCATCGTTTCTGAAAGTGTACATCAACCCTATCCATCTTCATCATCCCAATTTCGTGATTGACACAACGCCGCATTCCGAGTAATCCAGTCCGGAAACGGAGAGAGATAGACCGATCGCTTTGCGTTGAGAAGCCGATATTTCGGTCAAGTGAAAGTGGTGACCGTCGCAATGATCCGCGGATACAGTCCAGTGAATCTTCCATGAAGAGACGCGAAAGAAGAAGCGAAAATTGGCACGAATAGAGAGTGAAAGCCTATCGACGTTGGACAATTTGAGGTCAACAGGCAACGACGGACGATTCAGCCCATTGAGAAGCCACACTTGGAAGTTCTAACGATGCAACGGCTGACGGCGGCTGTTTTCGCCTGTTTAATTGGAGGAGTTCTTCTCGTCGCACCTGATGCACCATCTTTCGACAGTCTTCCAGCTGGGATCGATCCTTCCGTCAAGGTTTGTTGCTCTGATCTTGTTGTAGTACAATGCTCGTTTTATAGGCTGGACCACCAGGAACTGATGACAAGGCTTTGATCAAAGTAGGAGAGGTCGCAGAGTCAATTTTGGACAAACTTGGATTCAGCACCAGAGACGAAAAGGATATCCGACGTGCTCCAGTCCCAAGCTCGTTCTTCGGAGTGAGTTCTGTTTCCTAATGCCTGTGAGCAATTATATCTTTCAGAGTGACGATGTCAACCAAGTGATCGAAGAGGCCAACGCAAACCGTGTTGATCTGCAAGGAATTACTTCTGGACAGATCCCAGGACTTGCCCCGATTCCAGTCCCAGGATTCCCAGGACCACAGGACGCACCAGTCATTCCAGGAGTCAATACGATTCCCGGACTGAGCAACTTCAACTACCTCGTCGGACAACTGTTCCCACAAATGATCCCACCAGCAAACACTCTTCTTGGATCTTCCATTAGCAGAATTCTGCCAAAAGACACGGCCAAGAATATCGCCAAGGACGTATTCAGAGCTGTCCATCCAACTGCCGAAAATGTTGATACCGCCAGAATGATGGGAAGATGGTTCCAGGTCATCAACTCTCCACATGTTATTCGTGAGGCCTGCACCGTGTCACACTGTAAGCACAAAAATAATCACAAAGAAGTTCGTATTCCTAATTTTCAGTCGGAGCCCTGACCAACAACACCTACTCGGCTTCGTTCACCATCCTCAAGTTCTACAGAGAAGGAAACCCGAACGGATCCCCAAGATATGCCCTCGGATACGGATTCAAGTCCGGAGAGACTGGACAGTTTGTCCTTCACAACAGCAACTCTGCTGATGCCGAGCCATGTAATAATACAAACTATTCTGGGACCAAAATACCATAAAATTTCAGTCTGGGTGATCAAAATGGGACCACTGAATGAGTACAAGCAGTACGACTACGCCATTGTCTCCACCTGGGTCAGATACCCAGTCTTCGTCATTGCTCGTGATCCAGAACGATTCAGAAAACTTCACATGAAGAACGTTCTCGAGTTCTTGCAGCAAAACAGTGCGTTTTCTCCCGATTAATCGTGGGCAGATCTGTCATACAAGTCTTTTTCAGACTACATCAACGTTATGACCAAGGCCTTCAACATGATCTCTCCAGTTGACTACGAAGCCTGCCAGTACACCCCAACATTCTCTGGAACCGGAAAGTAAACGGATCACTTCCTCTTTCTTTCCCACTTTCATCTCATTGCCGGGTACTTTCCCCAACAACTCTTTCTCCCAAACATCATTCCATTGTGTATAAAAACACTTTTCCCTAATAATGATAATAATTGTGTCTTCACCATTAGTAAGAGATCCACTGTTGGTCGTAATAAATGATTCACCGAATCTTCTGTGTCGATACGCAACTTTCGAGAGATTGAAGAAGAGATTATCATTGAAACGGAAAGTGCAGTCACGCAAGATTTTTCAATGCGGAAGAAAAGTGCACCTATTTGTGGAATACAGGTCATCGGGATTTGTATCTCATTGACCAAAGGTGAACTGTGTTACATTGCTTGCAAAGACGTTATCACGAAAGTTGTTTTCTTGGATAATTTCGCTTCCGTAACCGAATTGGGTCACGGGCGACCTAATTCCGTTTCAAATTTCTTGGATAACGTTTGCGGAATCGGACGAGGATCGCATGAAACAGTCATTATCTCGGTCATCCCGTCAACAACGAAATGGATATGGCAGAATGGAATGTGAAAAAGATATCAAGGGTTCAGGGACCGAACTGCGTCATCATTTCGTTTGAGCCTCCAAAGAGTTTCATATTAAATTCACATGATTGGATTACATGCCCGTTATGCATGCATGTCCCGTGTCCCGCGACGAAGAATTCACACTTCAGCTCTCTTTTGGCTGACCGGAGTTAGGGCTAAAAATAACATAGATGAGTTTGGCTTACGTCGTCAGATTAGAAATCAAAGACTTGCTTCGGGGCACAAGAAAGAAAGAGCCGAATTTGCTTTCTGTCAAAAATCATCGTCTTTTAGTCATTGCTCATTCCTTCTCATTGTGCTCGAGTCTTCGTCCGAAAAGGGCACTCAATGTAGGCTTGCGGACTGATGAGTTGCGGCAGACGACGAGACACGGGGCAGATCGATAGGCGCCGGCGACTAAGAGCACGCCTCTCCAGCCCCCGGGCTTCATTTGCGTCCTTCTTCTCCTCGTGGCCTTATTTGAAGTCGCTCTCTTGTTGTGCTTGCTCTCCATATTTCCATTCTGCTCCGAGTGCTCCGCTCGAACGTTTGCACACATAATCCGTGGAAATGGAAACGGAACCAGAGAGACCCATCGACTATTGGGTTTGTAAGTGACATTTCAATAGGATTCCATTGCACAAGGAACATATTCAGGCAGGGCAACGGATAGATTCACCGACAATGCTGAAAGAACAAAAGCACTGGACACAATCATTGAGAGAATCCATTCCGAAGTATGTTTCACGCAGATGAAAATAGATGAAATGTATTTCCTTACGTGTCATAAACATATGATCTATTACAAATCCTAACTAGTTGCCATTCAATTTCAGTCTTTCGATTCTCTGTCTGCTGTCGACCTTCTCTCTCACAAACTCTCAAGTCCATCACAGGAAGAAGCCTTGCTCACAATTCAGGTTAATCAGTTTCCAATATTTAGAATCATTGTTTCGTTTCTGAGTCTTGTAGGCCCTTGATTATCTCGTCCGAAATGGAGGAGAAAAGGTGCATGAGAAATGCGGTCGTTACCGCTTTCTTAATGAGCTCGTCAGATTGATCGCACCCAAGTACATGGGCAAAACGACATCCGATGTGGTCAAAAACGAAATTGTCAAATTGTTATTCATCTGGCAGTTATCCATCAAGCACATTACAAAATACAAACAGGTCTATGAGTCATTGAAAACTAGCAAAATCATCACGGATGACCCACAAGTGAAGGAGACCGAGATTCCAGTTTTTCAAAGTAAGTTTTGATGCTTGACGTTAAACATCAGCATCTAGTTTTGTTTTCATGAAACTCACTCATATGAGTTCAGCTCCACCTGCTCGTACTTCTGTTTTTGACGATGAAGAGCAGGCCGTTCTGCTGAAATCTTTGTTGTCGAGTAACAGAAAGGAGGACTTACAAACGGCGAATAACCTCATTAAAAGTCTTGTGGAAACGGTTGGGGAAAAGCCGAGCATACAAATAAAAGGAATTTGTATTCAGGAGGAACACCATCTGGTCAAGGTGCATGAGCGTCGAAAGAACTTGGATCTTGTGAAAGATCTGTGCAAGCAGCTCGAAGACGCGAATATCGAAAAAGCCACACAAGACATTGGCCTTGGTGTCACAACCGCCAATGTGGATGATTATCGCCCGGTATATCATTTATCACTTTTATAACCTAACTAAATTAGTTGGTTCAGAAGTTGATTGAGAAAGTCACAAAAATGCAGCAGATTATCTATGGATACGCCAACGAGTTGGCGGAAGCCAATGATCCGTGTTTGGAGGAAGTTTTAAATATTAATGACCGAATCAACAAGGCACTGCCGAAGAAAAAAGACGAAACTGCCACTCGCGGCAATCGTGTTTCCTCCTCAGACCGAGTTCAATGTAAGTTTGCAAACGCCTCGTCTCAGAACTGTTTAAGAAATTTCCAGTAGAAATTGAAAATCAAGAGCTCCTTGTCTTCAACTCGCCGACCAACGAATCAGCACCCAAGAACGTATTTTGTGACCCGCGTGATCTGGTATGTAGTTGTGGTTTTGTGCTCGATAATTGAAGACTTGAATATAAAATATTATTAAAATATGTCATTTAGGAAGGAAGTCTGCTGAACAATATGATTGAGTCGGAGTTTGTGGACGAGCCCAAGGTTGTTAGCCCCTCCCAAGGGACTGGGAGACAACAAAACAAGTTTCAGATCGTTCCCGTTCAACAAATGACTCCCGCGCCAAATTGGAACAGCTCTGCAAGTCCTCGTGCAAGAGGAGATTCTATCTTTGAAACGGATTTTCTAGCAGGACAAAGACTCCCTGAGTACGTACCAATTGTTGACTCTAATCAACGAAAACAAATTAAGGGCTCCCAAAGCGCCAACTCTCAATGAGTTGAAGCCCAATACCACGATCACCCTGGAAGCACTGGAAGTACTTGTCCCAGCCGCTGCCGCAGAACCGGCCATCCTGTCGCCAAAAACTATCCCAGAAACAGTCAATCTCGATCCGAGTTCTGTCATTCTCAGTGAGCCATTGCTACAAAAATTGTCATAAGCTCGCATGTTTTTAGGAAACAGAAAGCCTCTCATGATCCTCGACAACAAAGGAATCCGAATTCTGTTGTATTGGTGCCAGTGCGACACATCTACCAGCAACATTCTCTCGTACATTTTGGTCATCCAAAATCATAACATCTTCACCATCAAGGACGTTTCCCTAAGTTTGAAAACCAATGACAAAGTAAAAAACTAAAGAAAACATAGAACTTTATACAGTTTGCTTTCAGAACATCATAATCCGACTGCAGAATATGATCAAAGATCTTTCCGGATTCAACATTTTTGGCCAACAGGAAACAATGAATCTTCTGCTCTGTATCCAACAACTTAATGATGTCAAAGATGTCGAACTGGACTTCACACTGGAATACAAAAAGAACTTGGACTCGGCAATCAGTGGCAGCTTCATCTTGTCTCTCGTTCCGGAGCACACTTTCAATCTCAAATTCTAATATTCTCGACGTTATTTATATTTATAACCAATCCCGGTTTTGATGTACTCGTCCTCGATTAGCGCGATGCGCGCAACTTTTCTTTTTGAATCTAAATCAGATACTCAAATAAAACACTTTACCTACCCATGATTCCACAGTATTTTTCAGTAGAATTTCAGTTTTTCACGAACTCCACCAAAGTCCATGACGATTTGCGTAAATTTTGAAAAGCATGCTGTCATTAACTATTCTTCACTTAATTTTTCTTATTTTCGGCAAACATTTCTGGTTTCCGTGAAAAATCCCGGAAATTTCAGACCTACTTTTGTTTTCAACGACACTCCGTTCTAACGCGGCCGTTGGGGAGACAGTGTGCTGTGCGGTCTCTCTTTCACCGTTCTGACCCGATCGGTGGTCCCTCTCCTCTCGCCAATTCTCCTCGGCTTGTTCCTTACCTGCACGTCGTTCGATGCAGTTTTCTCCGCCGCTTTCCAGTGTCCTCTTTCGATTTCTGCCGTTGTATGTCTGCTGCGATAACAAAACAACGGCCGTGCTGCCGAGACAGTCCAATCAGTCGAGTCTTTGCGTCTCTCAAGATACACGTGTCTTTTGCGTTGAAAATAATTGAATTTCGCTTGCATTTTGCGACATCGACTGCAGATACTTCGCTCATCAAGCAAAAATCAATAATTTGGTTTTCCGCTCCTAAATCGGAATTAGATTCGTTTGAAATTGATGAAAACGCCGTTTCTTGCGAGTTGTCTCACCGATTAGACACCTTATCACTCGGCATGAATTGAAAATGCGTCCTGGCCGATAGTACACGGACACTTACTTGTCTTACACTGCTTTTAAGTTGAAAATCATTTTGTTATTCAACTTTCGACTTGCCGACTCAATTTTGCTGCTTGAAACTGATAAATTTAAGCCAAAAATAGGCACAAAATGGCGATTCTCATTAGAGCGCACTTGCTGCATATCTGCGCGCTCTCTTCTCTCTATGCTCTCATCTCCTTCTTGCCACACGGTGTCGCGTGGTCTTCACATTTGCTCTCTCTCGAAATATATTGACTTTTTCCTTTTTCAGTTCAAAATGCCGGAAAGAGCGGATGCCAGCTCCGGAATGGTGCTTCTCACGGGAAACTCGCACCCCGAATTGGCCAAAATGGTTTCGGAGAGACTCGAAATTCGTCTCGGAGAGGCAACGGTTTACAACAAAACCAACAGAGGTAACTGCTAAATTTCTGCTGTTTTTAGTGTAATTCTTTACTTTTTCCAGAAACATCCGTCGACATCAAGCAATCGGTTCGCGGAAAGCACGTCTTCATCCTTCAGAGCGGTTCGAAGTGAGTCCATCGATCGATAACTGATCGCCGGCCTTAATTTCCAACTTGGCGCACGCTGATAACTGTCATAAATCAAAATGCACTTTGCAGGAACGTGAACAACGACGTCATGGAGCTTCTGGTGCTTATTTACGCGTGCAAAACGTCCATGTCGAAGACGATCACTGTCATCATGCCATATCTCCCGTACAGTAAGCAGTGCAGAATGCTCCGTCGCTCCTCCATCGCCATGAAACTCGTCGCCGAGATGATTTGCAAAGCTGGTCAGTTTTGGGCGCTGTGAATGGAAGATTATCCCTGTGATTATCTTAAGTCCGTCTGATCGCGTCGTTTTGTGGCTCTTGGCTGGGCATGAAAGTCTTGCCTAAGCCAGTGAAACGGAAGCAATATAATTTCCGCTCGCCGTGGCATAAATCATGTCAATGAAATGAAATGCAAGGCGTGCGCGTATGAGTAACATAGCAACAAAAAACGAGCACAATACGTAAAAAGAAACGAAATTCCAGGTGCCAGTCGCTTGGTGTCGTTGGATTTGTACAAGAAGGAGATACAGGGATTCTTTTCTTGCCCCGTCGACAACCTCCGCGCATCGCCGTTCTTCTTGCAACATATCAAAACCAACGTAGGATGGACAACGTTATTCGCTCATTAACACAACGTTTCTTTCAGATCCCTGACTACAAGAACGCAATCATCGTCGCCAAATCGCCGGGAGTGATGAACAAGGCCACGTCGTACGCGGACCGTCTTCGCCTTGGTAAGCACTTGGCCCTGCATAGTTCCGCTTCCCGTAGTCATTAATCCCCCATATAGCTCAATCATCTTTTTGCAGGATGTGAGTTATAATTTTAAGAATGAGTGGTAAATTATCATATAGCTGATATGATTGGCGAGTTGACAGACATGAGGAGTTTTAAGTCGAAACGATTTTTTGCTCTTGATATCTCAATTTGTGGTGAATGTTGTCTGTCAACGACGACTCACTTGCACTCTTTTCCGAAACTTAACTTCTATCACCTATCCGCTCCATTTCAATGGTTTTGCGTACTCCCCTTGTTTGTCTCGTTTGTCCATCACAAGCAAATTGAGTTGAGAATGGATAAATATTTTGGTTTCTTCAGGTGTGGCCGTCATCCACGGAGAGGTGAAGGATGAGGAAGAGTCGGGTCTCGAGGACGGACGCCAGTCGCCGCCGCCGAATGTCACGTCGTACGACCTGTTCCCATCTCAGGAGTCGAAGCAAAAGCCGCCACTCACGGTCGTCGGAGATGTCGGAGGACGCATTGCCATCATGGTCGACGATATCATAGACGACGCGCAGTCGTTCGTGGCCGCCGCCGAGGTGCTCAAGGCTCGTGGAGCCTACAAGATCTACGTGATCGCCACGCACGGAGTGCTCTCGTCTGATGCTCCGGCCCTGCTGGAAGCCTCTCCAATCACTGAGGTGAGCCTTGCCCAGTGAAATCATTAATTTACACAATATTTTCAGGTGATCGTCACCAACACTGTGCCGCACGACCTGCAAAAGATGCGCTGCCACAAGATCAAGACGGTCGACATCTCGCTGATGCTCTGCGAGGCAATCCGTCGTATCTTCCACAACGAGTCGATGGGACAGCTCTTCCGTGACGTCACCCTCGACGACTAACTGCCTCATTCGTGTTTCTCATCTGTCCTAATTCACTTTTTTTCATTATGATTTGTGCCTAGTATAGTATTTTTTTCACAATTTCTACCAACCAAAAATAACGAAACATTTCCTGTTGCCAAAGTCCATCTCCCGTTTTTTGTTCAAGTAAACGTTTTATTCGGTTTAAATTACAGCCAAAGACAGTGATGCATGCATTGTCAGCGTCATCACCAAGCTTTCATCCCTTTCCACCAGCTGTTGGTTTTCACACTGATGGTGTATACTGGTCGGACGACGTAACGAGTCCATCTGAAACTGTTTTTTTTCAGAATTGAACGCTTTACTTTTCAAGAGACCTGCTCGAACTCCTGGCGAGACAACTGTCGAATTTAGCATCTGCATAGGATATTGATGGCGATCCCCACTTCTCGTAACTTCCGTAGTCCGAGTCGTGCACAGAGCAACAGTAGTTGATGTCTATAAGAGAATTCAGTGTTTTCAGGGGTATGCATAATTTTAGACTGAAAAATGTGCAATCTAGATGAGTCAACTCACGATTCATGTCGGAAGACGGGCGAGCGATGTACCAGGAAGCTTTTGTGGACCATTCTCCTTCTTTGCCACAGTTCCACGATTTTGAGGAGACAAAAAAGAAAAATAGAAAGAAAAGCGACAGCAGCCAATGTCTCATCTTTTCGCTGGTCAGACTGATGGCGATCAAAATGATTCGGCTCAACGCGACCAGATTTATTTAAAAAAGTGCGGCATCTGTTGGTACTATTAAACTGAACCAAAAGATTGCAACATTCTTTCCTCCCGCGTATTCGCCAGTTTACAACAGAGAGAGAACGCTGAAGAAAAAAGGTGCTTATGCACGGGCTCATACCAATGATCAGGCTTTAAGCGGACTCATCGAAAAATACGTTTCACAAAATGTAATTGTAAAGATTTTGCTGTCAGTAGATTTTTATTTCAAAATTGAAGAAATAGCAATGGATATTCTAACAATTCAAGTTGATCATTACCAAAACTTAAGGGCCTCCCATAAGTTATTGAGAACCAAGCTCACAACGAACACCGGTCGGACCACATAGCGAGTCCATCTGAAAAAATGACTTAACTGATCAAAGATCACGTGCCGATTTCCTCACTTGCTCTCACTGCGACCAAGGCACTCGCCAAAAATGAAGTCGGAATAGATCCTTGTTGGATAACCGTAGAATTTGCTGTTTTCATAGTAAAAGTCGTGCTGCTTACAGCAACTGTTGATATCTGAAAGTTGGGAAATAATAACTACCAGTTTGTTGAAAACTCACAGGCTGTATCGAATGACGGACGAGCAATGTACCAAGAGACTCTGGAAGACCATCTCTCGTGTTCTCCACAGTCCCAAGCTTGGGCGGTAACAAGAAAAACGAATAGAAGACACGATGAGAGCAGAAAGTATCGCATCTTTGTCATTTGATAGAGACTGACCGGCGTAAGACGTTTCGGCTCGACGTGAGATCATGAATTAATGTCGGCTTTTCAAACTGGACCGAAAATTACAACAGGGCCGATCGAGCAGCGAGAACCTGGTTTCTGCACTTTATCGAGAACTAGAAACTCATTTATCTTTCGAGAAGATGAAAGTGTAGTACATACAATGATATCTACTGGTTCAATAAGATTAACGAAAATGTACTTGCAGTTTTTTCAGGCATTTTTCCGGCATTGGGCAATAACTGCCGTTCCGGAGACAGGGAACCATTAATCATCTAAAGAGGTGAATGGCACGTCTTGCGCGGCAGAATGCAGAAATGCTCATCGGACTAAAATCTCAAAGAACAATTGGCACCATAACTGATCAAGAAACGTTCGGAAGCACAGAAATCTAATCTTGCTATTAGAGCCAGTAGCACATCCAGTTTTTTGATCGCAGGATTGCAATTTTAGCAACTTTCCCGGTACCTTCTTGATTTGCTGACAGAGACCACTTTTGTGAAAAATCGAATGAGTTTTGTGTCCGACTGGTTGATTTTAAGAGAACAGAGATAACAGAGCAATCCAGTCCGTGTTTGTTTGTCTTTCTTGTACTATAGTACAATAGTCTCCAAACGTTTAGTTTCCGTTATCAGTTTGACCTGGTAAGTGATGTTCTATTAGCCATCGCTTCACTACATTTGCCCAAAATCTGTTTTTTCATTTTTACTGCACGAATATCGCATTTGAAGACGAACAGAGGCTTCTTTGCTCAAAACTCCACTATTCAACAAAAACGTCAGACATCAAGTTCAGTTAACCTGATAAGGTTACAAAGTTCACACAACCCTGATAAATAATTTGTCAATGCAACCCATACGTTTTTTCACTGTCCGACAATGAATCTTCGTCTTTATCGCCATCAAACCACTGTCTTTTTCCCTACATTTCTCACTTTCATTTTTAAAAAGCACTCGACTCTGCCATCCATTGTCATGATTTCCGTTACTTTTTCGAACAAAATCGGCAAAAATCTGTGCAAAATCAATAGCATTTAGTTTTTTGTGAGTTGAGCTTCCGACTCGAGCTCGCCACCAACATATCTTCTTTCTCGCGAATGCTCTATCTCCGTCTCCCGCACACTATTTATCATTGACATGCATGCTCGCAGTGCTCTCGATTTATCGAATTTAAATTATGCATGTTTCCGATTTCTGTTTGCAGATATGAATGAAAAACAGGGTTCGGCGTGGAAAAACTATCTTCCCATTACAAAATGGTTACCGGGTTACAATGTGAAACAGAACCTTGTTAATGATATTATCGGAGGAGTCACAGTCGGTATTCTTCATGTGCCTCAAGGTAAGATCGCGAAACTTTCATAAAATTCATCTCGGTGATTTCAGGCATGGCATACGCGTCACTAGTTGGATTAAAGCCAGTATACGGGTTGTACACATCTCTTTTCCCATCTCTTATTTACATGTTTTTTGGCACAAGCCGACATGTCTCTCTCGGTTGGTCGAAATGAGCAAAAAACAAGATAATATCGTTTTCAGGTGTGTTTGCGGTTGTCAGTTTGATGTCAGGATCTTGTAATCTGCGGGTTACTCAAGATATCGTTTCTAATAGCGGGTTGAACATGACGAAAGCAGAAATTAATGACATTTCGGTTTCCGTTATGAAATCTTTGGGATTGACGATTGGTCTCATTCAAGTGAGTTAGACGAGCAACGTCTAGAAAGTTTCTTTATTTTATTTTAGATATTGATGGGTCTAGTCAAAGCAAATTATCTCATTTCATATTTATCCGATCAGGCAAGTTTTAATTTCAGAATTAGTTTCCAATTTCAGTTCAATTGCGTTCCGTGTTTCAGATTATTCTCGGGTTTACTACTGGAGCGGCGGTTCATGTGCTTACTGCTCAACTCAACAAGATTCTCGGAGTCGCCTTACCACGTCACTCTGGAATTGGAAAGTTATTCTATGTGAGTACACTTCATACGTTTCGCTTGATCTTCCAAATTCTCGTTTCTTTCAGATTTATCAAGACCTCTTCCGCGCTATCCTCGAAAATCAAGTGAACAAAGTCACGTTGGTCATATCACTTGTGGTAATTGTAGCCATGTACATTGCGAAATACCACCTGACACCAATGCTCTGTGCAAAGACGCGCATTCCCATCCCATACGATTTGTTCCTGGTTGGTGTCTGCAAAATGCGTGTGTGGGCGTGAAAGCTTTTGGTTACAGATTGTAGCCGGAACAATTCTTTCAAGTCTCTTTGCGGTGAATGAATCGCACAAAGTGAAAATAATCGGAGAGATTCCGACCGGGTATCCGAATTCTAACATAAAGGCACTGATTCCACGAATGTTTTAGATTTCCTTCGCCCGCATTGCCCAACGTCACTTTTTTCGGAAGCGTTTTTGGAGACGCGATCGCAATTTCTATAGTTTCCGTCGTGGTCACTGTGTCTATGGGAAAAGTCATGGCGAAAAAGCATGATTACGAAATTGACGTGCGGCAGGAGTTCTTTGCTCTCGGCATGGTCGCTTCTATTTGCTCACTATTTCCTTGTTGGCCAGCGTCGACGGCACTGGCGAGAACTATCATTAATGAAAACGCGGGTACCAAAACACAAGTGAGTCGATGCTAACAGATTTATTTCACAAAAGTTCGGAGGTTCGATGATGGAAAATTAAGAAAAAGGTGAACGCGTAAGTTTTATCGTTCTCTGGTCGGGTTGCTTTTCTTATCCGTAGACAATGAGTGGGCCGGTAGCTCCGTTGTTCGAGTAGATGATGTCGCGGCTTTTGGTCATGGCCACCTGCTCCTCCATAATGGAATCCCAGAAGCGGCTGAAGTTAAAGCTTCTCAGACGACGGTAGAGCGATTTGAGCGACGAGCAGAACATGAGTGCAGGTTTCTGAACATTTTGGCTTAGAAAACAACTATCGATTGGATGCAAATCACCTTGGTTTGACTGGAGCGTCTGGTTGAACGAACACCGATCGAAACCATTTTATGAGGCAGTCGATTATGGAGATTAAGGGCCAGTTGAAATGATAATCGAATGAAAATCGTTCTCGTGATGCACAGTCGGAAGCGACCAACGAGCGGGCGGTCCGCCGAACGAAATGGATGTTTTCCATCAGAATCGTCCGACCAGGAACTAAAACCGAGGAAAAGAAATCGTGGAATGCTTTTTCCGTCGTCTGCAACAGTTAGGCACCTCCGTTGTAGTCTTGTGGTGGGCTGCGCTTTGGGAAAGATCAGAAGTTCGACATTTATTGGGTAGAATACATTGATGGGGGAATACAGTACCATAACGAGAGAAAATGGAAAATTGAGAGTGTCATGAAACTACAATATAATTAAATTACTAGTTGTTTTACAGATCTCTGCAATATTCTCGGCTGCTGTCCTCACGTTAGTTCTATTTTTCATTGGACCCCTCCTCGAGCATCTCCCTACGGTAAATTGAGTATTGGGAATAGTGAAGTTATGAAAATTCTTTCAGTGTTTCCTCTCGTGCATTGTCATTGTCGCACTTCGAGGAATGTTCTTGCATCTCATAAATTTTGTGACTCTGTGGAAGGTCTCCAAATATGACTGGGTAAATAAATTCAAATGCTCAAAATTGAAATAAACTATAAAAATTTAGGCGATATTTGCAATCACCTTCTTTGCTACTGTAGTCCTCGACGTCGTCCCTGGGCTTTTCATTGGGGCAGTCTCGGCACTTTTGTTTTCTATTTTACGGATTCAAAGGTAAGAGGGCATAGCGAAGAAAAGAGGGAGAGGTTTTGAACAATCATTGAAACCGGCTGCGTATGAGAATATAAAGAACTACCAGTTCTGACAACCAGATCGTGATGGCGAAAATAATGATAATAGTCTGAGCACAAAGGGAAATCAGTTCCATTCCTCCAATTTCGCTTTCTGTCTTCGATATTCCTGGTATTGATACCACTCCTGAAGGAACTTCTCGCGCTCTCTCTGTGATTCCTCTTGCTTTCTGATCTCTTCTTGTCTCTTCAGTTCAGCTTCCCTCTCTCTTTGCCGCAAGAGTTCCAGATAGAAGTTGAACGGCGATTGAGTAGTAGTTGTGGTGGTTGTTATGGTGATGGGAGCTGTCCACGGATCCTGGTTGGTCACCCTCTGCCAGATCGCGTACGTTTGTACGGACTTGCAGAAGATGGGCTCGATGAGATTGCGGACAAACCTGAAATCGTAAAAATACCGATACGGATACGGATACCAAGTGACTATTTTCTCACCAATTCGCGTTTTGATCCAGACAACTGCAAAACACTTTATCCGCGTCTTCCCTTGAAAGAGTGTGGTGATAGTAGTGCTCGTCGTGCGCGTGACAGCACTGGTTCACACCTGAAAAATTGAATAGGAAAAACTGAAAGAAGAAGAAGAGAAAGTTTGCCGCTAGCACAGATGAAAATCCGAATTTCATTCAAGAAAAGATCTAAATGAGCAATCTGAGCGGAAAACTCATTCCGACCGTTTTATCGGTTTGCACTAAAATCCAAATGAGAGCACGTTCGAGATTTACGAAAGATTTTGATTCAGTCACAAGATGTGATACATACAAAAACGCGGAAAAGGAGGTTTCTGCTTGGATAAACTCGTTCAAACTGGAGAATGCTTATAATTTTGAAGTCAGATGTTGTGGCTGATATGTGAAACGTCGTTCTTTCTCTTTTCAAACGTTTTCGTTTCCAAAAATATGTCTAGAAACGTACCATGATAATCGAACGGTTTCGCCAGCCATTCCGATATGGTTTCCGTGACAGAGTTGATACCACAATGCCATTTTGCTCCGTTATAGTAGCCAGAACATTGTACTTGATATACAAATAACAGAAAGATTAGACCGGCAGAAAACGGGGGTGTCATCCTGAAGAAAAGAGAGATTTGAAATCGGAGATCCTTCAGTCAGTCTATCACTTTGCGACAAGCGGAAAAACGTAAAGTAGGAGCACACGTGGAAGGGCAATTAATCATGAAAAGATAGGCGAGAGAAGTGAAATTATCCGACTGGCTGGAGGAGGAGAAGGAGAAGAAGGAGGGCCAGACCGATGGTTTTTGTTTTTTGGGTTCAGAATCTTCTCTCCAGTGGCGATTTCAATGCAAATAGTCATCACACACACACGCTGTTTTATTGACCCTCCTGATTTTCTCACCACAAATTCGATGAACACTTTGCCGGGTTTCACATTAGCCCGCGCACGGATGCTCCAAACTTGTTTTTGCGAGCGTTTTCGGATTAAAACTCAATTGCGTCTGAGATTTCGAAAAAAGAAGAGAGAAAAACCGGAGAAAGTTTTGTGTAACTTCTCTCTGCAAAAAAATGTCGGGTATTGTTCGACTTTAGTTATTAGCCAACCCAAAAACCGTCTTAAGGAAAAATAGAAACGTTTTCTTGAGATGGCGGTTTTCACGGACGCACAAAAAGAGCAGCTCATAGAAGGAAAAGAGCCAGATCGTGTTGAAATGAATCAGTGCCTCCCATCCATACATACAATAGACGCGGCGCGCATTGGCATTTGCTCGTATATCCGGAACAAGATACTCGAATGTTTCTCTCGCGTGTGTTGTGTCCTACAGGTTTTGGCACTTGTGTCTGCGCGCCCGCGCCTGCACCTGTGTGCTCAGTGCACTGACCATCGCGTCGAGCGGTTCAATGAACTCTGTTTGTCCTTTCAACGTTTACATTTTGCAGATCAAGTCCCACCGTGTTTGAAGATTACGAATCTGGAGAGCATGAGAGGTGTTTGAATGAGTAAAAGTGCAAAGAAAAATGTTTTGTTTCCTTTCAGTTCCACTCGCGTTGTCTTTTATGCTTCCTCGCTCTTTTATTTTAACTGCGAGCGGTTTGAAAAGAAAATACGAAAGATTGTTAAGGAAGCTTATGGGGACGAACCGAGAAACCTGAACTCGAAAGAGCAGTTACCAATGATTCCGGAGAAGAAACCAGATCAAGTTTGTTGATTAAACTCTATTATAAATTCACTCTGTATTACAGAAGCTGATCATCTTCGATATGAAAGGCGTCTCCAATGTTGACCTGTCAGGAGCATCGACGCTCTTGAAAATACAACAAGAGTTGAAGTCCAAAAACATTGCCTTCCAATGTATAAATGCTAACGGTGAGTCAATACATAGTGAGTAATGCGTCAATCTTTGTTTCAGACAGTGTCTCCCTCTTTTTGAACGGCGTTGAGAGAGGTGAACAGCTCTTCGAGTGAGCACATCTTTCAAAGCAACTTTACATCACTGATGATCATTTCTTGGCAATATTCCACTTCCATCTGATCTCATTACTTTAATTCTACGATACTGTGAACCATGTTTTCTCATCTCGTATTTTTCACTTTTTCCCCTGCAATACAAGTAGTCGTCCCTCGTGACCAATTACTTTTCACGAAGAGAAAAAACCTATATTTTCTCTTTCCACGGCTTCAGAAAAACACAAGAAACACACTGCTTTTGACAAAAACCAAGCCCAAGAACCCTGTAAAATTTGGTTCCCATTATATTAATCCCGTCAAAAGTCCAGGCTATCGAAAAGTCCGGGCCGGCCCTTCCCAGCTGAACGAAAAAAATGTGAGGGATTCGTATTGTTTTCGCAAATAGTTTAGAAATCATCAGAGCATGCATTTTTTTCTGAAAAGAATTCTCGCGATTTCACCACATTACAAGAGCTAAAAAATCGCGTTTCTTCAAAGTCCTTGGGATATTTTTGTACGTTCTGATCAGATATATCATGGACGCAGTTGCTTCGAATGTCGTTCTGATACGACTTGAGTTGAGCAGAGGATAGATGTCTCCATCTATATACTTTCAGTCAGACAACGCGACAAAAAAAGGTGACGTTCGAAAAAAAAAGGTTACTAAGTAAACAGACAAGGTAAGGGAGCACGGGAGGAATCACGTTCACTTCTCCCAATCACATGACCTTTGCCCCTTTTGTTCTTCTTCTTTTTTTCCTTCTTCCTCGCCCACAACTTTCGAATGGTGAGAACGCTCTCTTTCCCTGCATGGGAGCGTGAATGTGCTCCTACAGATTAGTCCATTCCCCTTTCCTCCTTCTTCTCTCCCTTTTTCACCCATTTTGTGGAGAACGAGTGGTCTACCTGCTTCTGGTTCTTGTCTACTCGCTATCAGTGTCAAAACAAAGCATTCTAATGCTTCTTCTCAAGCTGTCAGTTGTTTTCGTTACTAATGGGTACCATCATAAAATGTGGGAACGTATACTAAAGATGAATGCTTCCCGCCTCGTCATTTTTCCTCACCAGTAGTGTGCATATTTGACTTCTCAATTGGGTCTTATTTCCTCCCGACGAACCGCCATTGCACTTGTCTCCATTTTTCCCATCCTCAATACATATGTTATAAAAACAATCATTTTTTATCTGTTCTACGGAATATGTCGCTGCCAAAAACAGTGCACATAAACGATGTGCGGCAAAAATGGAGAATGTCCCTTTAACCGAAACGCATTAATATCAATCTTGCCTCGATCATGTTTGTGATCTTCATGGGCGCCAGCTGCACTATAATTTTCTGACGGCATTTGATGCGCCCTTCCGAATTGTGCATCTGGCAGTGCACTTCTTTCCCGATATGTTAGCGTTTGAGTCAAGTGATTCTATTGTTCTCTCTCCAACATGACAGGTGAATTCTTCGTGTTCACGCGATTTCTCCTTCCTTTCACTGAAGCTGTGGTTTCCGTCATTGGTTTTTTTTTATCAAAACAACGTTTTGTTTTTTTCAGTCAACGTAGAAACATTTCTCTGTTCCGCAATGAAACGTGCCGCGAAACCCATCGCGACCGTCTCTCTTTCGGTTTACCTGAAGAAGGAAAGTGTGTTTGCTCTGAAAAATCTTCAGAAAGCTGAGAAGGAGACTATTGATAGAATGAACTCGTTTCAGGCCAAGGTATTTGAGCGATACAATGTATAAGAACCACCAGAACAATGTTTTCAGTGTGTTTTTCACAAAATCGCTCTCACAAACTTTGAGGAAGTGATGAAAAACTATGAGAAAGTGATTCGCGAGGCTCAAGTTGCCAAGACCCAAAAAGAACTTCTTCATATGAAGGTAGAACACAAAATATTTCCGAATACTCTTTTTGAGTTTGCCCAATTTAACATTTTCAGAAAGTCACAGCCTGCTTAGAGATCACGGCAGACAACATCACGAAGATGCTGCGAGGTTTCGACTATCGCTTCAGACGTCTCATCAGCGAGGCCAAGAAAGCCAAGTCTGGCACCAAAAAATAGGCTCTATGACAATAACCGATCTCGTTGATCTCTTGACTTTCCCCGTCTTCAAATGTTACGGTCTTTCGCGATCCAGTAAATAACCATTATTTTTCCAAAATTGCACGGGTCTTTGCGCGATTTTGCTTTCCGTCAGGCGGGAATACATAACCGCTCAATTTATCGCCCGAATAGGACAATTTTGTTGTCATCTCTTTTAAGCATTTATCAATAAAAACCTTGATGCTGGCTATTATTTGACGGAGCTCCAATTCATACCTAACAACACACGTCATATTGGCGTTTCCATTGGGATCAACCCCTTCCCTCCCTTAGTCAGAGTTCACCGAAACAGACCCTACGCTCTTCTCCCTCTGCAACACGAATAAGTTTACCTTCTCCATGAATCATCATTCCTTCTCTCCACCACCCCAGCTGCATGATTCACTCCTCATTCGCTACTACCCACCACCACCAGACACACTCGCACACACACACACACAAACGTCTGCACTGTCTCTGTCTCGGTCTCTCGCCTTCGTTGGGTCACATTCACATTCCCTTTTCTATTTTCGAAACTGCTCCCTCTTTCCTTGTCTTGTCCAATCGATTGTGTTTTATCTTAGATGTCTACTGAAGAGAACGTTCGCCAAATCGTTGCCAACGAGCTTTCCGTGTCTCGTGCCGTCTGCCAAGAGACACTCAAGAAGATGCAGATCCACTACGAGCTGGTGGTAAGTTCAGCGAATCGCTTTCCGTTACTCAAGTTGGTTCATGTTTCAGATGAAGCTCTCGCTCTCCCCGGCCGAAATCAACTGGGTCAAGAACGAGTTCGCCGACCACACGGCCATGGCGGAGATTTGTCTCGAGGAGGAGGACATCCAGGAGCTCAAGGTGAGTAAACTTGAAATATGAACGAAATATCTGAAATTGGATTAGCCCACGTTATATGTTTTTGTGTAGGTGTTTTTTGTGTATCCACACCATAAAGCGGCCAAAGTTACATTCAAAAGTCAATTGTGGCAGTGGTCAGCACGCACATTTAGGGTCTGATTTAGGCCCTCAAAGTTCCAAAAAATGAATCTCGGCGCGTGGACCCACTACTAGTTTTCACGTCGCTTTTCACTCATTCACGGGATAATTTGGGTATACTCTCCAGTTGACCACTTTCGGAAAATGGGGTTTCGAAATTCGAGCAAAATCGTCCAAAATTCCTGACGTGAGATGAACGTAATAACTTTGTCGTTTATAGTATCGAAAAAAGAAAAGACGCCAAATCTGAAGAAAAGAGAATAATAAAGCTATTACAGAGAGCGACTACGTGCATGTCGCTGTACACCACGAAGCTGCACCAGTTGGCCAAGCCGAACTAGGCAGTCATTCGGAATGTCTGGACGACTGTTGCATACGTTTTTCCATGTTCGTGTTTATTGTTCTCTGACGCAATGTTTCTGTGAAAAAATAAAGTTGAAAAGTACAAAGAGTCTAACAGCTAAACAGACGAACGCTATTATTGTTGTGGTTTCCGGGAAAAAATGGTGAACATTATTAAAAGTAGTGAAATTAAGAATAGAACATTCCGTTTTGTCTGCAATAGGCAAAATCTAATGTTAGGGAAAAGAAAGCCACGGCTTATTGACATAGAAGTCATAATTGTGACTAATTGGTTCTGTTTCTGTCCCGAAGCTGAGCTGCCTGCCAGATTTGAAATTGCTGATAAATGCGAAACATTTGGATTGTAACGATCAATTCCCGGTTGTGACTCTGAAAAGTTCATCTTTGCAATGTTTCACCCACTATTACTCACCTCTAACTCTTCCAATGTATGCACTCTTCCATGGAAGCGTTCAACTGACGAGAGCCTCTCGGTGAGATGAATTGTGACCAGTCTGTCTAATTGAAGAGCATATTCCGAAAGATTGTCGCGCTGAAAAAGTTGGATCTATGGAACCATGAACATTGATGAACTATTCCGCGCCGTTCCAACACTACTCGAGCAGCTGATGTTGGGTTAAGCACAGCCAGAAGCTGATATTCGTTGCGCTGAAATACTCTAATACTCAAGTTCACACACTCGGCTTACTCTTATCTCTTGAAGCAATGCAAGTTGCTCACCGTTTGCTTGCATTCTTCTCTTGAAGTCACGTACAACCAGTGATGAGTAATAATAATAAAACACTAAAAATCACACAATGTCAGTTGTGATTTCCTGGGCTTTGAATCAAAGTCGGTGAAAAGCTGAAAAAGGAAAAATGAAGTGTGAGTGTTCTTGTCGCCACCGGCCGGAACTCGTAAAAGTAATGTACCTGGTTACTCGGCGTATCCAAGGATACGTAATTGGTCCCATAACGACACATCCTGTCATCGAACAAAATCACTTTTCTCCTTTTCAAGAGAAAAAAGTCATCAGATTATCAATCAGTCTTTGTATTAATGCAAGAGTTTCTCCTAATGGTTTTAATGTGTTTCCGCTGTCCACTGTCTAACAACAACATTTTTCAAAAACAACTTTTTGACAATTTTAAAAACTTACAGGTTGTGTACAGGTTGGGTGTGTATGTGTGAATAATAAAACGAACAAATAAATAAGAACTGGACTGATTAGTAATAACGGATTCGGTGTAAGGAAGAGACCACAAACGGTAGTCGCTAAGATTTTTTTGTTTTCCTATGTTTGATTCGATCGCTTGAGTCGCAAACGGCTGGACCGTTGAAGAGGTGGTGGCGACGAAGCACGCCTTTTTTGTCCTTTTCGCGTCTTCCGATCCACCTCAACTTCCTACTGAACGTCCTTTTCGGCGGCATCGTAGTTCCTCTCGCCATCCACCACGTTGACTCTTCCCTCATGTTGACGGCGCTCATTCACCGCACGCCGATGAGTGCTCCGTCTTCCTAACGGTCCTTGCGTCCATCCGGCGCTACTGGAAGCAAGAAAGAAGCCTTGACGGTGATGGTCTAGGTGTTGGCGAACACCTTTTTGATGTCCTAAAATTACCAATTCTTTTTTTAAATTAACTTTGGTGTGTGTAGAGTTTGTGTTTTCAGGGGCCCAGTTACGAAATGAAATTCAGAATGCGGATCAAACAGAACAAAAAGATGGAAGAGTTCGGAAAACCGTACTGGGGTTCTCTTCAAAGCAAGAAGAAATTAATAATATATGGTGGAACTTGTGGCGTCATCACAACGGCATCTTTTGAAGCATTCAGAAGGTTCATAGTTTAAAGTCTGTTTCATCTCTAAAACTTCAACAAACCTTGATAGCGTCGGCGGCACTCCAGTAATAAAGATTTCGTAGACGTCTTTCGATTGTACGAAAGTCCATTGGCTTGGAGATTATGTCGTGATAGTCTGGAATGTCGAGCGATTCGGAATCGACGGGAGAATGGAATGGCCAAGACAGTTTATGCATCAAGGTCTTTCTGACGATTGTGAAAAGAACAAAGTCGAGGCAGTTCGTGTGACGAGTTGGCTTTCCCGTTGGTGGACTAGTACGTGGCTGGACAATGCCATTGACTGGCTTCTGAAAGAGAAACAAAGGTTTTATCATTTTGGTTCAGACAATGATTCTCACCCTCTTCAGAGTTTCCCAAGGATTCGGCTGCTTCGTGGCGTTTGACGGAGCATCAGTCGCGTGGTCATTGTCAGAGTACTCTGATTCACTGGTGCTGCCTCCACTGCTGTCCTCACTGGATGAGCATTCGCTGTCCTTGGAACTTCTCTTTTTATGCACCTTGTCACTCGATTCAGCAGCCTCGTCTTCTTCTTCCTCGGTTTTCATAACTTCTTTCACGAGATCGGCGTCAAAAGAACTCGGCGAAATGTTATCGTCCTTTTGTGAAGTGTCGGAGCTCTCCTCTTCCATCTCAAAGTCTTCCATCTGAATTTTCACCTCTGGCTCCTTGTCCTCGACGTCCTCTTCCTTCACTTCCACATCTCCCTTTTTCTTATTGTCTTCTTCCGTCATCTCGACGTCTTCAGCCTCGCTGCTATCATTGTCATCTGTCTGGTTGCTATCCTCGTCGTCAGCTTTCTCACTGTCCTTGTCATTAGTGTCTTTTTTTTATCGTGGCTGGCACTGGCTCTTCCGGTGTTTTCTCCGATTTGGTGGCGATGCTTCGGCAACGGCGACTTTGTTCGTGTCAATGGATGCGATTTCTGACGACTGCTTGGTGACGGGTGTCTCGTCGTTGTCGGTTCGATCGGAAGCGTCCAAACATTCGTCGTAGTCTCCGATGCGCGCCAAACTTCCAGCCGGTCCTTCACTGCAGTCGGACATCTGAAAATATAAAATTAGAGATCAATTTGCTGTGTTCTGATGTTCGAAGAGCAAGAAAACACGGAAGAGAAAGAAGTGCCATGAAATCATTGAAGACATGAGAAACTGTAAGTGAACATGAAAGAAAAATGCGCATTAAGAACAATTCTTCTAAGAAGTATGGGGGATGTGATGGAAGGAGATACTCTCAACTCTTGTCGCAGCTACCGACGGATTCCAAGCGTGAAGAAAGTTGTTGATAATGGATCCGCAGGAGAAAGTCAAAAACATACTCTGAACACTTCCTGCAACTATGAAAGAGTGGTCAGTGTAAAGAACATTCCCGACAAAGGACCCGCCGTTAAAATACTTAGCTTGACAGCTCTTCTCCATTCTCCGAGAAATGTTAAGAGCTGAACATGCGCCGTATTTTGGAAAAGCATCGAGGCGTGACGGTCAAGTCTAGACAAAACTTAGATAGATGCGATTTGGTTGCAGCTTTCCACTTAATTTATTCCGCCAATAATGATCACAGTTAGAGTGTGCACCTTTGTTTATCACCAATTGATATGTGCCCTCCGTTTTGACTCTTTTCTTTCTCCAACGATAAATCACGTATGGGGTAGAATTCCGACACACCTGGCCCGTCTTCCTGATTCTACAAAACTGTGTGATTCGGTTCTTGTGTGTTAAAACCCCTGCAAATATCACGGTTGCGTCATAGTTTATCTCAAATCTTTGAGAATTTCCTTTTCATGCAATCACGAATTACAATATAGCGAATTAATCTAAATGAAAACTAAAACAACTAATCTTTTCAAACTGCATTTACTAGAAAAACTCATAGAGACACTCTCAGTCAACCGAATATATGAAGGGGGTTTGAACAACAGCGCCGATAAAATCGCTCATTCGCTCAGTGTCCACTCTCCGTTGCGCGTTGTGGTCTCCACCTTACGCGAAGGGAATGGCTGTGGGCGTAATTAATTCCCCTGTGATTCTGCAGACGGATTGTAAAAACGCACAGAAATTGCTTTGCTCGGTGATAAAAAGCTTCGTTTTTCAGGTTGTATCATTTATTATTACTGTTGTAGCCACTATCCAGCAGTTTTGATCAACGTTTACCCTTACAAATTCTTTTAGGCTCAAGGGTCAGTCATGTGCTCTCTATGCGGTTGATGTTGGTTGCTTGTTAAGATATCATTCGTGTGTAAATTTTTAATCAGTTTTTAGTCGCATTTATCATGAGGTTGTTGCCTTTTCTTTCCGATATTAATTCTCGACAAATCTCATGTGAATTAGTCGTTTTTCTCAAATAAATTTTGTTGCATTCATGTTTTCCAATCTTCTTAATGCACACGAAATTGAGAATTTGATGTGTATCTTTCGAAAAATCAGCATTTCGGCTTTTTTGAAAAATGCATAGGATATTTTTGAATTTCTATTAGATAAATCACCGGATTAAACGTCTAACTACATCACCACCGGATGGTGAGTGTATCGAATGATCACCGAATGAAAGATATTGAGAACAGAATTAGACTCATATTACATAGTGCATCCGGAGCCACGCACAATTACAAGGAGACAAATAAAATTGAAACCTGATTACTCAGATGGAGCCGAACATTTTTATTATCAAGAAACCTGGAACCTGTAAATTCAAACAGAGCCAAATAGTACCCTTTATATTGCAGCTAGCCACACCGAACAATTTTCTAATATCTTTGAGGTATTAACATTGATGTGTCCTAATCCGGTGTTTTTCTTGTCGAGGAAAACCGGGGCAGATCGTTTTCAGACAATTTCCAAACCCTTGGAGAATATTACAAGTTTCCGTGCTATCTCACATTTTTCATCAGAGTCTACCGACCGCTCAATTCCTCTTAAATTTTTTTTTTACTCATTTGAATGAGATTCCGCGTAGTGGTGAAGAGAAGAGGAAGACTGAAAGAAAAGGGCAAGGAGAAGAGTGCGGCGCCGGTGCCAGTGAGACTACATTTCTCTCGATCATCATATTAATCTTCGCACTTCTTCTCCTCGCAGCCCCCAATCTCTCGCTCCGCTGCTCGACACAACTGGCGTTCTGCTCTCGACGGGACTAGAGGAGCCATCTGCATTTGTTCCTTTCATCCATGACTACATAACCATAGCTTTAAACGAGTTGAAAAGGTCTGTTCGCAGTTTTGATACAAAGTGTTAGTGTTTGAGAGAAGGCTTTAGTTTTTGACGAACTAATTGTTTATAGTTTCTATGGCGGCCCAACATAGTAGAACCGCGCAGAATAGAACCGCGACATAATATGTAGAACTGCGACATAATAGAACTGTTTTTGTGTATTTATAAGCATTTTGTCCGTTCCTTTCAATTAACTTTCGCGAAATTGTTCTTCTCTCGAACAATTACGCAGAAGACCACAGTTTAAACCTAGAAAATTGGTTTCCTTTCGTTTTTGATAGTACAATAAAATTATTTTCTGTGGGTTTTCGTTACCGTAGAGAAGAGGGATCACGACGGAAGTGAAATTAATGAATGCAATAAATCGATCAGTAGATTCAAAAATTATATTTTTCTACGAAACATTTATTCTACAAAAAGGTTTAAAAGGCGCTCCAAACAGTTATATTGTGGCCGGTTCTATTGTGTCGCGGTTCTATTCTGCGCAGTTCTATTATGTTGGACCGCCGTTTCTATCTCTTATTTCGACTGGCTGATGGGCTCTTCCACATTTGGAAATCAAAAGTAACCCTTTATTTTACCACCTTCCCCACTCAGCTCTTGTTTTCTCACTCGAGCGCAGGGGCTGAGATCATGTCGGCTGGCTGCCATCTCTCTCCCCTTCGCTCTGCCGTCTCATGCGAATGTGTTTGGTTGGCTGCGGTCGCGCGCGCGAATATATTTGGGAAAGCGCTGTGTTGAACATGTGGAGAGATGGCCGAGCGGTCTAAGGCGCTGGTTTTAGGCACCAGTCCCTCCGGGGGCGTGGGTTCGAATCCCACTCTCTTCAGTTCTTTTTTCAAGTTTTCATACTATGCTAAAACGGGAGGACGGTTTTTCAATCACCATGAATCTTTTCGTATTGAGATGTAGTCAAAGTGAATATTAAGAGGCAATGTCTGAGAACCTCGAAATTCGCTAATTACACCAGGTCACTAAAAATTCAGAATGCTTCAATTTGTCTCATATTATACCCAATGGGTACTTACATAACAGTGATACATCAGACAAGTTTTGGTCCGGCTCCGTGGTCCCTAGTCCGATCACAGTCACAAAATAGGTCAAACCTGTAACTAATTTCAAAAAAATGCTAGCGTCTCAGACTCAAGGCCATTCGATTTCTTGCATCTTTTTAAGCATTTTTCATGTTGGCACCAAAAATTTATCACCTTTCCTTCATGGAGAAATTTCGGATTTTTCGTGAAAAAGTTGAGTTGTTGTGCAGTTTTCCTCCGTGGTGAAAATTTTTTGCACTTCATAGCCACGATTTTATTTCAAATTCATAATCTACGGACAATTTTACGTCGATATACCATACTGTCGCACATTTGCCGATTGACATCAAAGGAGTTTTTTTCAAAAGTTTGATCCGGTCTCAAAAAAAGTTTCTGTTCTGCTTTTGGAAAACTTACAGAAACAAGGGAATTCCTGTTTATAGACGTTTTTGATGCTAAAAACTGTAATTCTGTTATGTATTCGTCAGGTAAAGCTTTGTAAACGTAGTGATTAAAACATGTTGAAATTTTTTGTCAGCCGGATAGATTTTTCGAGATGTGTTCGATTTTACCCAATATTTTATGCTTTTTCCCGTTTTTATTTTTCAATGTTCATCTAACTTTTTGTGAAGCATTTATTTGGTCGTTCTCCGATTGATTCAAGAACGGTAAACGAGAAGTACATACATACACATGGGGCAACACTCAACAACAAAAGTACATCAAATAGGTATAAAAGCACAAAGCAAATTTTGTGTAGCTATTCTTCTTACTATTTTCAAACTGCTGATATCATTAGATGGTCAATATTACAGATTATAATGAAACTCATTGTTTTCCTGATTGTACAGTTGCTCTTGCAATGGTCAATTTGTCCCGTCAAGTAATTTGAAGTCATTGACTGGAACATACGAGTTCGAACATGCCGGATACACTTCAACTGTGATTGGGTCTATTGATGAAGAACGAAATGCTGCACTGTCGCAGAAGCAGACCAAGTTTTGGTACTTTTCGGAATGTACTAAGTCAACTGATTCTCAAAACACTGCTTGCATTGAAGAAGAAGATGAAAATGAAGTGGAAAGCGATGAAGTGAGACCGCGGTACGAAGACGCTTTGGGAAAGATATTTACATGCCCAGAGGAAGGATGCTCAGCTGCATCTTTGAGATATTCAAGCGTGGTCAAGCATGTTGAACGTGGACAACATATAATTCGACCTGAACGGCAGACACTTCGTTATTTTTCATTGAAATATTTTATTCGTGGTTTGGAAGAAGTGGATGAGTCAAAAAATTGCCCAATATCTTCGGATGCTGTGAAAAAACTGAAGGAGACGAACGAGAAGACGGAATTGGAGGACGGATGGGCACTCCAAGTAAGACAAAAAAGAAAACCGTTCGAGGACGACGTCAAAAAATTTTTAATCGAGCGTTTTGACGGAGGCTTGAAAGAGAAATGTCAACATGCGGATCCGAGAATTGTTGAAAAGAGAATGGCAGAAGCTAGAAATCCGGACGGTTCTAAGCGGTTTTCAGTGGATCAAAGGAAAGACTTCTGTCAGATTGCCGGTTTCTTCTCTCGTGAAGCAGCGAAAAGGCAATCAAAAGCAGCACGATCGCGACGCGCTCAAGAAATGAAGGATGAATCGTGGAAGGAAGACTATACTATTCCAGAGGAAGAGCATGACGATGCTGGAGTGATCCGATATTTGAAACTTGAAAGCACTTGGACTATCGGTGATTCTTTTTATTACGCACTGATGGAATCCAGTGATCCAATTTTTGCTATGGAAGAAACTGAAATGTGAAGAAAAGACGCTTTATAACTTTCCTGTTTTAGGTTTTTCTCATGTACTTTTGTTGTTGAGTGTTGCCCCTTGTGTATGTACTTCTTACCGTTCTTGAATCTATCGGAGAACGACCAAATAAATGCTTCACAAAAAGTTAGATGAACATTGAAAAATAAAAACGGGAAAAAGCATAAAATATTGGGTAAAAGCGAACACATCTCGAAAAACCTATCCGGCTGACAAAAAATTTCAACATGTTTTAATCGCTACGTTTACAAAGCTGTATCTGACGAATACATAACAGAATTACAGTTTTTAGCATGAAAAAGGTCTATGAACAGAAATTCCCTTGTTTCTGTACGTTTTCCAAAAGCAGAACAGAAACTTTTTTTTGAGACCGGATCAAACTTTTGAAAAAAACTCCTTTGATGTCAATCGGCAAATGTGCGACAGTATGGTATATCGACGTAAAATTGTCCGTAGATTATGAATTTGAAATAAAAATCGTGGCTATGAAGTGCAAAAAAATTTTTCACCACGGAGGAAAACTGCACAACAACTCAACTTTTTCACGAAAAATCCGAAATTTCTCCATGAAGGAAAGGTGATAAATTTTTGGTGCCAACATGAAAAATGCTTAAAAAGATGCAAGAAATCGAATGGCCTTGAGTCTGAGACGCTAGCATTTTCTTGAAATTAGTTACAGGTTTGACCTATTTTGTGACCGTGATCGGACTAGGGACCACGGAGCCGGACCAAAACTTGTCTGATGTATCACTGTTATGTAAGTACCCATTGGGTATAATATGAGACAAATTAAAGCATTCTGAATTTTTAGTGACCTGCAGTTTTTGAACTTCTCAGACATTGCCTCTTAAATTTTCAGATTTTCAGCTCTCGTCGTTGTATTGTTCGAGGATGACTAAGTTCCTGCAAGCAATACGAATCAGAAGCCACAAAACGAAAGTTATAAAACATCAGTCTTCAAACATAGTACGTTTCTTCGGGATCCCGATGTTTCGCAACCCATCATTTCGCAACCGCGGCGTTTCGATGCCCAATTGAACTTTAAAAGTGCATATTATTGCTAAGTAGTTCACGTCCGAAATGACGGGTTACGAAACGTCGGGATCGAACCTTTAGTGATATTCAAATCTTGTGATGGCTATAAGTTTGGAAACCGCCAAAATGCAATACGAGGTAAGCCCAGGAAAATAACGCGTTCTAACTATGATATTCAGTTTGCCGTTGCGGCAATGAACCAAACAAAGGATGAATTTATAGATCTGATGCGACTTATTTCCGAGGTTAGTCAATTTGCACCGGAACTTGTTTAAAAATCAGCAGAATTCAGGTGAACGTAACTCGCGCTGAACGAGATATGGTTGGCGACAGTGCTATGGAACTTGCTCCAATGCTGGACATGCTAAAAGCTCTGGAACCAAATGACGTTGTCACTCACCTGGTACGATTTTCACTGCTTTGTGTTGTCTTTTGTGTGCTAGTGTTGTCTTAAAAACTAGATTTTATTGCCGTTGCTCATTTCAGATCGGCGCTCGACTCAACGTTCTGTTTCGCTTGGAACTCTTGCAAAGAATCGAGCTCTACCGCATATTGGTTGCCAGATACGTGCGGCGTGTTCCAGCCTGGTGACGATTGGTTTGAGAAGTATGAAAATTTTCGAATAGATTGTGAACCATTTATTTTCTTTAATGAACACAAAAATGTTTCTGAACAGTTACAAGTCTCGAGAGCACTCTCAAAAAGGTCAATAAAGCGTGTGTGATAGATAGATAAATGCCTTTTGCGTGAGATTAAAAAAGGGAAAGTAGAGATTCAATTGGGAACGTGGAATCCGCGGACTCCGTGCTCGTAACGAACGTCGTGCGTGAACATGATGATATTCCGAGTCAAGTTCTCGGCATCAAGTAGATGATTCTAGAACTTGTTATTTTCCGTATACACAACGCCGTCTCTCTCTCTCTCTTACCACAAGTCCGAATACATTTCCAGTGTTCATTTGCATGGTGATCACGTTGACGAAGGCAATTAGTTCCTCTCTCATCGTCTCCACAATGGAAGCGGTCGACGGCGAGGGCCGGGCTCTCTGCAAATCACTTAGAGATTCACTCAATTCAATTAAAGGCCTCACCACGACACGAGAAAACTCGTCGAAAGCGTTGTGAAGAGCGTCGAGCACCGGATTTACACGGAGTTCGGCCATGCGGAGAAGTTCATCGTTGTCCATAGCGTTCATTTTCAACACAATATTGTTGGAGGCTGCGCTCAGAAACTTGGAAATTCAAATGTGTCCCACTGGATCTGAAAAAGTTTGAATGCAGAAATGAAGAGAAGAAGAAATTGCCGCGAGTTATACTAGAGGGGTATACGAAAACATATTGAGGCGCGCCATAAAAAGAATCTTGCCTGCTAATGGGTTTTCTCTCGTTATATTATTTGGCTCAAGGCAATAAAAAACGTCTCCATGAGCGACGGTTCACTTCAAAATAACATTAGTTCTAACAGAAGAGTACGGAAGTGTGGGCCCTATAGCAATTCAATTCAAAGAAATGCATCTCAAGGAAGGCAACGGAATCCTTCCTGCAATTTATCCCTGAAATGGGGAGTGGCAAAGAAGAAAAGAATTAGAATTCACTGAAGAAAATACTGATTGATTGGATGGAGAAAGGAACTGAACACAAGAAGTATTTGGTTGGATTGACACTGAGAAGCGGAGCAAGAAGAAATGCGAAAAATACGTCGCGAACATCTCGTGCAGTGACGAAATGAGACTTAGGGAGTAATGAAATTGAAACAGGGATGGTTGCGTAAGTAGGTTGTTTTTTTTCGTGCAGAGTCCTCACAAAGCGTGTCCGGGGAAATGTGTGCCAGTTGGCACATAGAGGTAGAATGAGAAAGGAAGGAGAAGCTACTTGCTACCAAGTTCCCGGAATAGCAAAGCGAAAAGGGAAACTAGACGAGTAATTGGGCACGGCTTCATTACTATAGCTTATTGCTCTTGGCGCCGAAGTGTGAAACTCGGTGGTGGCGGAGCCCGCTCAAGGTTCACGTGAATATTCAATGAACACAGAATGCGCGGCGGCGGCGACACGACAAAAGCAAAAAAGGCGTGCTCCAAGTTCACAGAGGATGGGAATGCGTTTGATTCACCACGATTCATTGTGTGCGGCACGTGAATAAGAATTCATTTTTGATTGAGATTAGTATGTTTGATTGCTCTGAAAGTTCGAATAGAATATGAACAGGAAGTTATTAGGAGACACTGCGGATGCGGTCATCAATTGCCGTGACGAAGTTGATCAGAGCGGTGGTGAGGTGGATTGTATTGACCATGTATTTGCGGATGATCTGAAAAAGGACAAGTTTATTGATCCCGTTGAAAAAACGTTTCCGTTTCCGAGTTCGCAACCCCTTGCACAATGTATCATATTGCTTTTTGAACTGGAAAGCCAAATTCCCTCTCTTGCTTTTTTCTTTGAACGAAAATTTTGAACTTATTTGCGTATGTCACAACCCAAAAGGCCAGCTTGCCTGAAGGTTTAACCTGGAGCCTAGTCAGCTCAATCAAATGACTAGGACCTATTTCTCTACACACTATCTATTTCCAAACTCTAAGAATGGCATGTGAACAGCGCGCAGCGGTCAAAATTGCTGCCGTGGACTAGGGGATTCAGGCGTCAGAGCTCTTCCCTCCTATTTATTTAAACCACTTGCACTATGCTTAACTTGTGTGGATGTTTGACAATGCGTAGTGCCGGAAACAGAAATTTGGAAAAGTTCACATGGTCAAGGATTTTTCTAGAACTCAGCCACAAAATGGACTGCGCACTATTCTCATTAATCCTTTAAAGGACCAGGGAACCCTTCGTGTTTATGTGTATGTCTTACTCGTCTCCTATTACCACGTACGCTTTCCAAAGGTCGCAAAGCGACAACTTGAACTACGATCTGTTCTGTTCATAGCGGTTTTTGAGCTATTTGGATGTTCACTAGTGCGTGAAATAAGATTACCCAAATTAGTATAAAAACTGGTAGATTCTAACGGAAATTGCATTCACTCGCTCCCTCACCACTGCCCTCTTTTTCACTCACAATGTGTTTCGCGTCACCTTCCAGTCCTTGCGATTCCGCAATCATCTTTTCCATTTGAACCCTCCTGACCGCCAGCAAAGTTTCCAGGAAAATGGTCTGGCCTTTCGACCAGCGACTCATCTGGAAAAACAGCGACACTTGAAACATTCTCTATGACTGCATATTTACGTACATGTCCTTTAGTTTTTTCCACAAGTTCGTCGAATTGGGAGAGCAGCTTGTTGCACCTTTCGTGCGCTTCCTAAAAACTTTGTTTTCCCAATTTTGGACGAGATAATGGAGATAAACATACTCGTGATCGAACCAAATGCCAGGTAATTGCCATTTCTCAGACGGCCAATGATTGAAGCTGCAATTTTCACAAGATTTAAAAACAAATAGAAGTCAGTAGTAGCTAGAACATAATTGTCAAAAGTTTTTTGAACTTTTCACGCCTGAATGATAGCTGTGATCAAGAAGAAGAACTAGAGATAACGTTTCCAGTTCCAATTCAAATAGTGCCTTGAGACCACCGAGAAGAGAAAACGAAGAAAAAAAGAAGATGTGGCTGTGACGTGTTCGCGGAAGAGGGCGCCGGACGAAAATCGATTGAGAGGGAGAAAAGAGTTTAAAAACCAGAGAGACGCAGAGCTCAGAGACCCCGAAAAGACCTTGGCAGCTGTCGTTCGTCGGAAAAACCCACGCACGCCACCATTCCGCTCTCTTGTTTTTTCAAATGCGCAGCTGGTGGGCCGAGAATACAAAGTTGTATGGAATCTGAAAGTTTGTAGTAGTACATCTCCAACACATTTCAGTTAACTGCAAATGCTTCAAGTTTCTATCCCATATCAGTCAATCACTTAGACGTTTTCACTACTCGCATTCAACGGCAAGATAAGACACTGCCGCAGAAACAAGTACAGACAGTGCGACGCTTGGCATAGAGAACACTTTGCAAAGAATTCGGGAGGTCACGTTTATTTGGGGTTATGTAACGGGTCGGTGCGTAAGTAAGACGGGAAATAGAGAGAGCAAGAGAAAGAGAGCGAGAAAGAGGGAGATAGAGTAATGTAGGTAGTTGGAATGTGTCCCGAAGTAAGAATATGTGAAGATTTGGATGGCGACATACGCCCGCTTATGGTGGTGGCTGAAGCTCGGTGATTTGAGTGGAGAGGTAGAGAGTGTATCTCTTGATGTCGACAGCGCACTTCTGTAAGATGAAAATGAGCACGGTTTCTCCGGAAGTGTAATTCTACCAGGACAGCGGCCAGGTTTTTGTCGTAATTGGCCCTACAACGGACGGTGCACGCGTTCTCGCGAATGTGGGCCCACTCGGTCAGATCGTCATTGAGCTTCTCAGTGAGTGGCTGACGCGCATCTTCAAGCTGAAAACATCTAATGTCAAAACAAACATCAAATGCATCATGTTATTACCGCATAACTGAAACGGTTCAGTTCCCTGTTCAGTTTGATATCCGATTCGCCGTAGCAAAAGAACACGTGCTGCAGAGTAATGAAAGGAACGTGAGAAATTGTCTGGATAAGCGACTCACCGCCTGCGTTTTGAGGAGAGCCTCAATTTTCGGTGGATTTTGTGGGTCAAACGGCTCCAGGTAGAGAGCCGCTCTCCATTTGTAGCGTGCCATATTTTCGGGCCCCAGGCCAGTTGGATTGATGCGATCAGAGGTGAGAGCCATGAAAGTTCTAGAAATACAATGTGAGATGAGAGGTCACTAATGACCTATCAAAAAGAAAACAATTTGTCGCCGGCCGTCTGTGCCAAGTAGGTAACAAAAGCATTGGAAACAAAAACACGTGTCGTGGTTATCAGTAGATGTGAGGTAACTGGCTTTGAATTACTGATAAGGAAAGCGTATATTCAAGCCATTTAGCGTGGCAACCAGAAAGTGCAATAATAACGGGTTTAGTGAGTAGACATCAAAAATGTAGCTGCTATCAGAAGCGAAGAAAAGAGAGGAAATAGAATATGCGAAGGATAGAGTTGTGAAGACTGATCCGAAGAGAATGAATCAGACTCTGTTTGAAGTTGTTGGTGACTAACGAGATAAATGCACGCGCTTGATTTTGGAAGCGCCAGGGAACTACAATGAGCACCCACTAACGAGATAATTGAAAACCAAGTGAGAAAGCACTCTCTTTTGACTCCGAAATGTCACGGATGCCGGGTACGAAGGAAGAAGACAGACAGTTGATGACCGGGTTGGAAATGAGACAAAGCCCCAGCCGGAACTCCACTTCCTTTCCTTGAGGAATGAGCAGATGATGGAGAATGTGCGGGGGCACGGAGCATCTGTTTCGAAAAGAATTCTGTCGTGTGTTTGTTTTCTTGCGCACAAACACTCGATTCGATCTGATTTGGATTATTCGAGCGGAAAAAGCCTAAAAGATACTGAATGTATTTTTTCTGATTAAGCACACAAAACATTCGGTTTTGTCGCAACAATAGTAGGGCATAAACGGGCGTGTGATCTGGGCAATGAGTCATTACGCACCATAAGTCTCTCCAGACTTTCATTTAAAAATGTATGAATAAAACCCATAATCTCAAACAAAGGCATTAGATACAAAAAAATGGTGGGCAGCCCGAGGAATTTCGATTTAGTTGTTGCTGACGGGCGGAAGGCAGCAAGTGAGGCTGTCGATTTTGTGGGCAATCAGGCTGAGCTCGTAGGCATTCTTCTGAAAATCAGACACATTTTACACTGTTTGATTATTTTTAGACACTTTTAGACACACCTCCGCGTTGCTTTCTTTCGGCAAATGAGCGCACATTTTGATGATGTTTTGGCCCTTGTACGCTTGGGAAAGCACCTCGCGAAGCAGTTTCCCGTCGTTCCTGTGGGAAGAATTTGCTATCTGAAACATGAAATTGCAATGTATTTTTGACTTCTTTTCAACAAACCGTCTGAGAAGCGTTGTCTACGGAGCTGAGAAAGATTGCCTCGGCCACTTTCATTTCTCCGAGTCCGGTCTGGAAAAAGAAAAAAAGGCTTTATTAAATAAAGTAATAGCTCACCATTATTTCGAAAGTTTCATCGATGAACTTCTGGAGGACGTTCATCTTGCAACTGAAAATTATAGGGCAGTTAGAAAATGACACAACAAGACGGACAAACATAGATAAGGGGTGCGCGCAACCAACGGTCTAGACAATGGTACAGACACGCAAGGTCAATGGGCCCTAACCGAGTGAGAATCGTCACGTTTATCCGAAAAAAGAACAAGACTTAGAAATACCCCGAGAGGAAACACAAATGAATGAGACTTCATTAGGTTCAACACGGAAATTACTCAGATCCGTCCCTTTGAGCAAAAATTCTGCTGAAAATATGAAGATTAAAACTGGAATAAAAACGATTCGCAGCAAGTGAGACGTGAAAAGAATACGCGTTTGCCTTGCCCGTTTTCTTTTCATTCAGGACAATGAAACGTCACGAGCACTTTAAAAAGAACGACATAAAATACCAACCTTGATAGCCTCGTTTATCAGTGGAAACAATGATGGACAATAAAAACACGATAAACTGTTGCAAGCCGAACCATCGTGAGGAATTGTTCTGTTCATGAAAATTGTGTTGCCGGAATTTCCCCTTGAAAAGAATGGCCAGCTGGTGAGTGATTCATTTTCCATTCCAGATTCCACCAAATATAAGTTCTCAACACACTCGTGTCCAGTGCAGGTGTATACAGAAAACAGAGACAAACAGGGTTGAATCCGCTTTTTTGTTGACTTTTCTCCTATTATTCGGAATTTTACACTTGACGTGAAACAGTTTTTATGGCATTTTTGACTGATGTCAGCCCGACTCACCTCTAACCTCACATTCACTTCTTCTTCGTCATGCTGATTCCACTCACCCTTGTCACTGCTCTTGTTTTTCTCAGCGCTATTTTTAGTGCGATATCTCTATTCACATACGGTTCGTTGAGTTCTTTAGTGATTTCTAGGTTTAAGATGAGAGGAGTGTTACTTCAGGGTTCGAAACGAACCCACTGTTCCCGTTATGATTGAGGGAGAAGACTCTTCAATCACTAACTTCTAAAGTTTACTGGACAACACAGAGATGCTACTTTCAGGTTGGGCAACTGTTTATCCCTACAATCCGCTGTACCCTTTGGTCGGTGATGAAGAAATCTACGTTGGTCTCGTCCCATTTGATTCGGTGAGTTCACATAATCTGATAATATTGAGTGAATCGGGTTTAGACAGCGTTCGGATGGCTTGTGGCCACCAGCATCTTTATGTACCTGAACTTTACCTGCACACTTCTCTGCTTCTTTCTCTGCGTAATTGGTGTTATGTAAGTAAGAAAGTCTGAACTCACTTCTTATAATGATCTCCCAGATTGTTCCTTGTTCGTGGTGACTCCAAGTTTCAGAAGATTGTTTTCGTATGTCTCTGTGGTTGCACCTTCCTCACTGCTTTGTTTGGAGCCATTGCCTTTGTCATATTTGTTGCGAACTATAGTGAAGAACTTTCGGATGCGTTTCAAGCTGATGTGTCGGTAGGATCAGATCGTTTGCGGATGAGTAGTTTGTTTTGTAGATCGGATACTCGCCATTTCTGGATCTAATTGGTTTTGTGGTCGCAATAATTGCAACCGGTGTTTCGGCGTTTTTCACGATCGCACTTATCAATTCGGACGACGAGAATTAACATCTTCCACCTTTTCTCCAGTTTCTCTCTCTTCTCTTTATACTTCGGCATCATTTTTTGTGAACGCAAACGCACGCAAAAATAAAAAGATTTGTTGATAAGAAAAATATTCTATTCGCTTCGACCCGTGCTTTATCGATACAGATCCTGATCCGAGAAGTTCTTGTTGTTAAGTCCCGCCCGCGCACTCTCCTGTTCTGATGGTAAACGAAAAGAAAGAAAAGGATAAAGATTGGAAGGAGAGTGACATCGAATTGAAGCCGCCCGCCGATTCACCTCTCCCTTCCGCTCCACCAACTCCGGCCACATTCACTATACATGAACGCCGCCATTTGCTGATTTCGATTCATTCAACGTACACATGAACTTTTCCGTACTTTTTCTATGCTCTTTTCTAGTATTCTATTCTGACACTAAGAAAATCAAGTTCAAAAGCTCTGGAAGTTCATCTGGCAAGCGACATGTCTCACCATGTTTCTGGAATCAAACAAGAGGTACGTAACCACATTTTGTTTGCTAACTTGTTTGTCTATCTGTTTGTATGAAATTGATTTGATATTGTACATGATCGCTTCTTTTTCACTGCGAAAGTGATAGCGGATAGCGTAATTGAATGAAATATATGGTTACTCAAGGAGAACGTGTCAGGACCAGATCTCGGGTGGACTTGCTTTCCTTGTTAACATTGAGAGAAAAGTGAATACAGTTTTCGGGCGGATCAAAAGTTCGCTGTCCGCTTTTCCCGAAAACTGACAAGAGATATGCGGTCAAATGTTCCGATCGCAACATCAGTGTCATCATTTCAGCGTGGACACTTCCTTATCAGAGTATTACCGTGGAATGCTGTGATGAAGAACTTGGAAAGATCATTCACGAAACTATTGAAGAGGGCGGACTAGATTCAAAACTGGGAGATCTTGCCAAAGTTTGTAGTTGCAAAGACAATGTAATAATGAATGATTTTTCCAGTTCATTCAAAGAAGATCTCAACTTTTTTACCATATGAGTTTCGAAACGATTATTTCAAAAAAGAACTTTGCCATTTCGAGTCATTACCACGGTTCTCATTCCTGTCGGATTTACGATGATCAGCATTACTTCTTGGTCTACGAGACTCCAGTTCAGGTGCTTTTTCTCAACTTTTAATCCAAATTAGTCTAAAACTTTTCAGTACGATCCATTCGATCTGAGAACAGAAGACTACTTGTCGTCAATTGACTCTTCGGATCCGTTGGGCAGTTCAAAGCCAGCAAACTCGCGTGGAGACTTCCTCGACATCCGAGAAGATTCGACCGCTGGAGAAGACCTTTCGATCCAACCCCCAATTGATAGCATTCTTCAATATCCAAACAAATTTGCGTGGCCAGATCCAGGTAGACTCTAATTTCCGATTAATCTATCTTGATTGTCAGATGAGGAAATCTCAAAACGAATCCTTCTGGCGGAACAAAAAGCCATTCAGTCAATGAATGAACTTTTGGAATCGGTGACAGAGATTGCTGTGATGAACACGAACTCTGCTCTCAATTCGTCGGGTCTCTTCAACATCACCGAGATCGAACTTCCGAATCCCACTCCTATCCCTCGTAATTTTGCTAATTTGCGCGAGAAAGATCGTCTTCCCGAAAACACTCATTGCGATGAAAAGCGGACAGATGGTCAGTTTTTTTCCTATTGTGTTGGACACGGGGGGCTAATAAAAAGAGATTTATAGTCAAACGGAGATATTTAGAATTGATCATTACAAGCAATTCTTCCGCTTTTCTCGCGAAAAATTAGAAGGGAAAGGAGAAGTTGATAATTTGATTAGGGACGAGATTAAGCTACGCTCCAAACACCTTGTTACAGGAAACAAATGTTGCGATGGAAGACTGGCTTCAACGATGCGCGATGCAATGAGACAGATGGCCACGTCGCCAGAATTCGGTCACGGAAAAGAAAGTGTAATCGCTTCTGTAAGTGCAAATGTCCTCATCTCTCGCAAAACTACAGTTTATTTAAGGAAATTCAACACAAAGTGCAACGGAGGTTCAGAAAGTCGTTTGAGGTTATAGTTTCCCGCGATGATTTCGTGATTTCCACCTACACAGCTGGGGAAAACTTCTGTAAATATGAAAGCAAAGGGTTCTTTATCTTGGCATATGCAACGCCTAAACAGTACGATATTGACGAGAAAGATAAAGAGAAGAAGCTAGCTTCCACGTCGGATCGCGAGCCTTTGGGTTCCGAAGAGACACAGTTTAAAAATGAAGCTCCGTGGCACATTCCTCTCAAATTAGAACCCTACGGAGAGCGTGCTGGATACCCAGTTGGTTCCCATTGTTCAGCGGTTAGAACAGGTACGCACAAAAGTTTACCTACATAAATTGTTAATAATTTATTTACAGGTTCAAGATGTTGCAGTCTTATTCTGTTCAATGCAATGAAATCTGGTTATGATGCTCATGTGGCCACTTCCAACTTTGACCCATATGACATTCGAAACATTTCGAAAGCTGTGCAATGGAATGTGGAAGAAGTTTTGCAGCATTCAGCTGAAGTTATCGTGTCACTGGATGATTTCGCTTACGCAAGCTACAATAATAACAGTTACACGTGTAAATATAGAGTAGATAAGTACCACATTTTGGCGTACACCACTCCAAATCACGATCTCGATGACTATGACGAGATGGCGCTTGCTAAGATTCCCAGCGAGCCGGAAGCTCAGCTCGTATTCCCAGTTGTGGATCGAACTGCAAGTCAATTCCAAGTCCCATATCAAAACACGCCCGTCCCGTATTATACCACTCCAGTTCCGGTTCCAACACAAATTTACCAGCCAATGCCGTACACGCAACAACCCATGTACATGTATCCTCAATCAATTTACCCTGCTCCGATCCCTTATCAGTATTCGGGATATCAAGCGCAGTTCAATCCGTTTCTCGGAAGCAATCTTCATAGGTGGAAGCGACAAATTGGGACGTCTCCGGTGAGAAAAACAATGCAGATTGTATGTGATCGTGTTATCCGTTACAGTACCCGATCCATCAAAACGTGTACAATGACATCGGAAGTGCGAAACCGTTCAATTGTCCAGCAGGTCTCAGCGGCTTAGCGGGAATGGCTTGTTGCGACGGAGGATTACAGTACGAGGCTAACAAGGTCATTGATCAGGCGAAACAACAAGTGGACTTTGATAAGCATGACACGAGGAATCTGGCCAAGGTTGTCACGTCAAAACCAACATCAATATGATTCATGGAATATTTTCAGTTGATGACGAGAGCTGTGCAAAAACGATTCGGAACTACATTTGAGTCAATTGTGGCACAAGCAGATTTCACTTGGGGAACGAACAAATTCAACGCAAGAACGTGCAAGATCGATTCGGAAGGATACACTGCGCTCACTTATCAGTCTAGTTCAAAACCACCACCTCCAACTGATTTCATCGACATTGTAAGTGACTAGAAATTCTTATATCTCATGTTCATTTAGCCAAACGATCCAACTCTCGGCGGTCCCTCAGGAAGCAGCGGCAGTGGAGGCGGTGGTGGTGGTGGAAACGGCGGAGGAGGAGGTCAGTTCATTTAACTCTTTTCCGCTCTGTATTTTATTTTTCAGGTGGGGGAGCTGGTGGCAGTAGCGACTCTGTAGGTGGCGGAGGAGATGGTGCTGGCGGAGGAAACGGAGGCGGTGGTAACGGTGGTGGGGGAGACGGAAATGGAGCCGGTGCTGCTGGTGATGGAAATGGAGCGGGCGCCGGCGATGCAGGTGCAGGAGGAGACGGTCAGGCCGGCGCTGCTGCATTCGGAAATGGAGGTGCTGGAGACGGGGTGAGTTGGACGAAATCTTGATCTGAATTCGATTCTATTTCGAAACTTTCAGGAAGCCGCTGCTTTTGCTGCTGCTAATGCGGATGCTGCCCGAAATGCTGCTGCTGCTTTTGCTGCTGCCAACGAAGATGCTCAGAATGCTGCTGCTGCTTTTGCTGCCGCCAATGCAGATGCTCAGAATATTGCTGCCGCGGCTGCTGGCGCCTCACAATCTGACGACGATCTATTTGCCGCGTTTGCCGCTAGTGCCTGCTTCTCCGTGGACACTTGGGTGACAACACCGACTGGCAAAAAGCGAATGGATGATCTCGAAATCGGCGATTATGTGTTGACAGCAAACATTCAAAAGGTAATTGCATGCTCTTTTCCTTGCACGCACACTTGCGCTTTCCTTTATTTATAGACGTTCTTCACACCAATCACCTTATGGATTCATCGTGAACCTGAGAAAGTCGAGGAGTTTGTCACCATTCGGACAGAGTATGGAAAGATGCTTCGGCTGACCGCACGTCATTTCATGTACCGGAATAAATGTGGAAGTCAGTTCTTTTTTTAGAACCCAAAGCCCTTATTTTGGAATGGGTGCACTCGAAATGTCGTCTGAATAATTGATTGAAGAGCACAGTTGAACTTTGGGGTTTCAGAGCCTTACGAGCAATACATCACCGTCCTGCCACAAGATTCCGAAGCTGTTTATGCGTCAGAATTGAGAATCGGAGATTGTGTCATCATACTTTACAAAGAGAGATTCCGCCAACAAAAAATCGAAGAAATCACGAAGACTACGCGGACCGGAATCTACTCGCCTCTGACAGAGAACGGCAGAATCATCGTGAATGACATGTTGGCGTCTTGCTATAGTGAAGTGCAACAAAATACGCTACAAACTACCTTCTTCTGGGTACGAGAGCACTTCCGTGAGAGCAAAATGATTTCATGAATTCTTCCAGGCATATGATCGACTCCGCAGTAAGCTAATGCAATTCTTTGGGGACCTCTACCACAATAAGGTAGTTTTTGTGTCATCTACTTCTGTTTATCATGCTATTTTTATATTCAGATTGAGCTGCCGACGGGAACATCCTTATCCAGAGAGATTATGCAACTTGTTATCCCACTGCGAAAGTGATGTTGCCGATGAGAATAATAACCTAATAATAATAATTATGAGATGTTTGATATATATATATATATATGTATTCCTTAAAGATTAATAAGTTCAGGGTATATTGTTAAAGTATCAAATGGTGTCCAACACTTATTGTCTCGTGACGTTGTACTTTTGATGAAATCAAATGAATGGTATCATTAAGATGTATGAAAGCAGAGCAACACAAATAGTTTACTAGTTTTCACTCAAAGCACACAACCGAAAAAGCAGATGGTGGTAAACGTCACAAAAGGAGAGAGAGAATCCATCGGAGTTTACTTCCTGGAGGAGGGCAGCATGCACTGGACTGGAGACAGGAAACAGTTGGAGAAGTCTTCGTCGATGCTGCGACGTTCCAGATCCGACTTTTTGACGAGTCCCCGCTTCAGTCCCAGTTGAGCCTGGGCTCCGCGGTTTCTGCAACTTTGCATTTTCAAACATCATTCTGTTGTGATTTTGATTTTCAAAATGATTCCAGACTATAAGCGCATTTCAAACATCCTTTGATGGAATGAATCTCGAGATGACTACTGTCCCCCGTTTCTCATAGATCACACCCCGTTTGAACAACAAGATACTGAGAAAACATAACTATTTCGCAAAGATCGGACACGCCGGACACACCTCATAAGAAGACGAATCAGCGCATCATTCGATAGTCTTTTCTGGATAAGCTGATCAGCTTCGTCGCTTCGCGAAACCATTGGGATTGCCTCGGCCAAAAGGAGAATTGCCAAAAGAGCAACGACCACTTGCCAAAGTTTGCCGGAACTCATTCTGTAGACGAAAGGAGACGAGTCCTGTGAGCCGACAAAAGTATGAAATGAAAATGCGCTCGAGTATAAGAGGACCTCGATGCCGTGAAGTGGGCGGTGCTTTGCGGGACCAGGTAAAACGAGGAAAGCGGGAAATCAAGAGAAGGAGAGGACAAAAAAAAGAAAGAGAGAGAGAGAGAGGGAGAGTAATGGCTTTTTTCACAGTACACTGAACTCGGACAAAGCCGAAAACGTTTAATGACATTCCGAGTGATGAGGGGAGTTGCCCACGCAAAACTTAACGTCCTTTGCAAAAAGTTAATCCGACCGGAGCAAATGTGTTCATCTACCTTTTTCACTAAGCGGCTCTATTGTTTTGGAAGTAGTCATCTGATTCTGATGCACGTCATAGCTTTGGCTGGAGAAAATTTGGGAAATGTCGGAAAGAACAGCCTGACAGACGTTCAAACTTCATCAGCGCCGCTTCCGGATGAATCTGATTTGAATTGTTCATTTTTTGCATCGAAGACGTCAAGAAAAACAGAAAAAGGGTTTGAAGTATGAATGGTATCTGCAGTTTTGCTGTTGAAACTCGGTTTTCGTGCATTCATTCAAATTCAGAAACGTCACTTTTGTTTCAAATAGGAAAGTGGAAAGACAAATTCAAAAAGACCAGTGACACCGTTTATTGTGGAAATCCCAAATTATTTAACATAAAAAGTGAACAAAACCCATAATTTAAAGAAAACATGAAGAGAAATTGGCAAAATGAACCTAACAACTGGAACAGGCAAGAGGGAAACATTGTTCAATGGAAGCAGGTTGGCGACGATGCTGGATCAGAATTCGGGAACTTTGGTGAGGGTGTCGACGTCTGAAACGTAGAAATAGATTGTGTTTTCAGCTCGGAATACTGGAAACACAAATAATTGCCAATTTGAAAACAATCGATTGTTTCGGTGGCCGGACATGCTTTTTGGTGCCGAACTGCTAATGTATTTGCTTTGATGTGTCTCACGTTTGCGTGTTTTCGAACAATAACTTTTTCAACATTTCCTACATGACTCTGCTTTTCTTTTCACTTGTTCGTAGATCACAGTTTTGCATAAATTCCCCAATTTCCTGTCTATTTGTGTTCTTTGTAAGATTGACTCACAATCCGCAGAAATGACGTTTTCCAAAATCAGTCCGACAAAGCTCTTTTTCTCGGTCGTCGTGTCACTCGGCGTTTCCGGCTCGAAATACCTGCAAACAAGTACGTTTTTGAATAAAATAGTGTTGTGTTGGGGTGATGACGAAACAATAGGAAGACGTAGAACGAGCGAGAGCAAAACCAAAACACTTACCATCCCATGTGTTGGCTACACGCCTGACAGCGGCAAATTGTCCATTTGTAGCCGGGGTACCAAGTGGCTTCCGATTGTGGCTTAAAAAATGATCATGGGAACAGGAGGCAAACAAGAAGTCAAAAATAGATCGCAACCGTGGCACCTACTTTTCGCAACTTTGCCGCACGAGTTTTTCATCACTTTTCACTATTTGGCGGGTCTTGTTGGGTATCTCATTTTATTTTGTTACTCTACCGGCCGCGGTCAACAGAAACAGATAATATCAAGGCGCAATCGGAGTGTTCAGAAATGAATTATCGTTTTCTACATACTCTCTTGTTTTTTTAAAGAAAATGAAACACTCACTGATCCGTCGAAATGAAGGTGTGCCGTCTTGGACCCAAACACGTGGAATTTCTGGCCTAAAAATCGATTGCACGTCTCTTTTGTACATAACCGACGGAGATTACCTGCTGGATTTGTCAGCACATGGACTTTCGTTGTTTTGCCGGCAAGTGGGAAATCGTACTGGTAATCCAAGAGGTTCTCATCGACTCCGGTAATGTTTATGAGTTCTGACTGCCTTGTGATGGAAGAACCGCACTGTCTGCACAGCAATTCTCCGACGTGACGACCGTGGACTGAAAATCATTTCCTGCTGAAAATGTTTTGAATATAAATACTTACTACTCGCAAAACAGGCAAAAATCAGCAGCAGCCACATCGTTTCCGATCGATACGCGTTAATGGTCCTTGCCGGTAAATTGAAGAATACCACCATGCTCAAACGACGCTCCGCAATGACACACTTTCTCGGAGTTTAGTCAGAAAGTTTTAGGATTATTTGATACCTAAAGTTAGGAAAAACGTCCAACAATCTTCAATTTCGAAGGGTTCTATATTGCGTTGTTGAGAAACAGCTATGTGGTGTAAGTCTTTAACCATCTTTTGTCTGAAATGTATTCTTAACAGACTATAAACATGTAAAACAACTTTAAAATCTAAGTTTATTGTTTAATAAAAATTTCAAATCGTTTTCAATACGGAATTCAAGAAAAATGTGCAAATCAGAGGAATACAGAAATGAAGAACGTTTTAGTGGGGGGAACAGGAACGAAGGGCCGGAGAAAACTGTCTGTTTAGTGTATAACACAAGCGTAATGAAAAAGAAGAGGGTGCTGAAGAAGAAGAGGTATCCCAAGGTGAGAGTTTCAGTGGAAACTTGTTTGTAGGAAATGGAAACAGTTGGGAGATCAGAATTCGGTTTGAGTCAAGGAATTCTAACTGTCAAGGATGCAAAAGAGAGGTGGGGGAAGGGAGAGAAAAAGGCGAAGTGCTCACCGGCTATCTTCGATGAAACGACACACTAATAGAAGCTTGTAGGGGGTGAGTGTAAAGCAGAAGTCAAAAATGGAAGCATGTATATTGAATTAAAATGACCTAATCTTTGAATTTGGCTGCGGAGAGGACTGGGAAGTTAGTAAGGGAAGTCAATGAGAAGCAAGATACGGAATCACACATATAAAAAGTTATTGCAAGTATCAACCAGGCGATCTACCAAAATGCACACAAAAGTTCTGAAATATTAGAAAAAATCTAACGAAAGGCTTGGATTATTCATGTGCTCTCTTCTTTCTTGGCCTCAGCAATCAAACTGGTCATGTCTGCAAAGTTAGTCGGGCTCGCAGAAGGGGCAGCCGGTCCCGAGCTCTCCGTGGGTGTCGGCGAAGGACTTGCTGCTCTGCTGTTTGGCTCTTCCGCCTTCACCGGAGCAACTTCGGCAACTTCAGCAGTGGCTCCAGATGGTGTGGTAGCGAAGATCTGGTTGCGGAATGCATCCATGGCTCTGGTCAACTGCTGCATGTAGAGCATCTGTTGAGTGACTGGAGTGACTCCACCGAAGAAAAGGTTGAGAGCTTCCGCATTGGCTGGAAACGTGGGCGTGACTGCACTCGGAGCGATCGGAGATGCAGTCGTGACGGGCACGGAAGGAGATTGCGAACGACGGTCCGCGTTTGTGGCAATACGCACTTGTTCGCCTGAAAATAGCTCAATCGGATCAGATTGTTGTGTTCAGGTCAACATACTCAAGAGATGAGCAGCTGCTTGCTGGTTGAAAGCTGCGAATAATGCTTCTTGACTCAACATCATCTGGTACGGATTCTCGCCGTTCGCACTCGGAAGACTCAATGGAGCTTGATAAGGGTGATGAGTGCTGCTTCGTTCTTGCTTCCTGTACTTTGCTCGTCGGTTTTGAAACCATACCTGAAGAAAAATTGTGTTCATGGGTCGAGATTTGAAAATAGCATCTATTATCGCGATTACGAGAGGCAGATTGTTCACGCCTATTATTCTGATTAATATCTGATGCAACTATTATGAAACTGTAATGCGATACTGGTAAATGAGCAATTAGCGCATTAGTGCGTGCATGCGTTCGGTCCCTGCAACGCAAATTTCGGGCCTAGGTGAGTTTGATCTATTAAAAAACGAGATTAGCGAGCAATCGGTCGCGTGAAGCAATTTAGATAACATCGCGTGCTTAATTTTTTCATTCGCAGGTTTAAGTACTCTTCGTGATATCAAATCTGCACAATCTTCGTCATTCCAGTACCACTCGGCTCTCTCATCTTGGCTGCTCGCGTCCACTTTTGGCGCATTTATAATTTGTCATGCATTATCAAATGAATTTTGCGATCGCGCATGCTGGCTTTCTGATGGAATTTGGCGGGCGGAGCGCGACGTCTTACTGTAACTCACTTGAACTCGTGCTTCCGTGAGCTGGACTCGTGTCGCCAATTCTTCCCTGCAAAATATTTTCAATGTAATTAAGCACTTGAAAGGGTTTCGGGTGAACCTCCTAGCAAAAGAGGAAGAGGGAGAGGGGGTTCTTGAATGGTTGCTCGGCAGAGCAATTGTCATTGCTCAATTAGCTCTGAATTGCGACCGGACCTTTGTCGCTCCTTTCGGCATTACGACAATTGATCTCGCATTGTTTTTGGTGTCCGGTCGGACGAGAAAGATGAAATGGAGCAGAAGGCAGACGGAAAAAGTCAACCGCACCGGTAATTGTTCCATAGTGGAAAACGGAAATCGGAAATCGCTAATTGATGACCTAACAGGTGGTCCGTAGAGAAAAGGTAACACGATACGGGTCTGTCACCTACCGAATCCGGATTATATCAGGATTAGGATCTATTAAAGTTGAGGCAGACTGTCTGCTGCAAAGCCAGAGCTTTTCGACCCCTCTCTTTCAAAAATTCTCAGCAAAGTGGTCGCTTAATATTCGAGCAAATGAGTTTGTGCTTCTTCAATTAAAGCTTCTATGCGCAAACACACGCAACGAGACACTTGATATTGTGCATTTTGCATGATTGCTTCATTATGAGTTTCGCCTTCATTCTCCCCTTTCTGCCACCACCACTTCATTTTTCATTTCAATTTGCAGTTTTTCGGAAAAGGGAAGTGAAAGAAGGTGCATTGAAAAGGGAAAGGAAAAGGAGGCAAATTGGAGAAACGGCCTTGTCCATTATCATGTTCGAAATCTTTCTAATTGAGATACCATATGGCCCATGAACGCAACCCAACTGTTTCCAAATTCAAAGTGAAATGTTCATATTTAATTGAGGTGCTTACCGAGTGAATACATCCGGATAGTGAGTCCGGGCAAACACCTTTTCGAGTTCGTCCAACTGGAATGCACTGAAAGTGGTTCGGTACCGGCGTTGCTTTCTTTTTCCATTGTCGTCCGGACTGTTGGTCCCGTCCGACGGAGACCCATTCTCACGACTGTCCAGAGCAGAAGCAGTTTCCAGGATGTTATCTGAAAAATCAAGTTGAAAATCGAAAAAGTTTTATGGGGGGTACCTCCGATCGGTGTCTTTTTTCCTTCTTCTTCCTTTATTTCGTGTTGACTGTTCGTCAGTGCAGCAATTGAGAACGCCTGAGGGAACGATGGGAATTGCATACCGGGGTTTGCAAAGAGTTGTGCCTAAAAAACGAAAATGTAAATAAAAACGAGCAGCCAAAATACCTGAAGCTGTTCCATGAGACTTTTCGAATACTGATTGAGATCTGTTCCGTTCGGTCTGAGCAGCGGCGGGCAGTTCATAACTTGTTCTTTAAGGTCTTTCGAGTCTTTCGAGGTTTTTGATTGTTTCAACTCGGGCATGCACAACCGAATGATCCAAGTTTAATGTGAGCCAGCTGGAAACGACTGTCCAATCGCAGAAGTCTGGAAATCGTAACGATGAAGCATGCGAGATGAGGAAGAACGGAAAAAAGGGAAAAAACGAAAAGGTGGCTAATTGAATCAAGGACGTATTTGCATTAAATTCGGAACAGGGGTTGGAATGAGAGGTAGGAAAGGGGCAGGGTCGAGGAATTATTATGAGGGAGGGGGAGAGAAGGAGAAGGATATTCTATTTCGTTGCCTAATGTGTTAGTCCAGTCATATTCCGGAATATCAGACTGAAAGCGAGAGGTTCATTTCGACGAGCTGAAAGTCCACGCCCAGACATCGTGGTGCTTGACACTCTTTATTTTTCCTCCTTATCAAAATACATCATGGGAAGGCCCAAAAAGAAGAAAGTGACGCGAAAATTCAAAGATTTATCTGGTTTATTTCGGATGATCTACCTGACAAATATAGAATTTTAAGAAGATAATTTGATTGTGGGCGAGAGGATTTGGCAACATGGCTTATCGAATTAACCAAATGTGAATGTTATTTTGAATGGGCATGAGCCAATATAATTCCTCATTTACGCAAGACGCGCAAAGTCTTAAATTTTGATTCTTTGTATTATCCTCTTGCCAGTCTGTTTCATCCTTTTCAATAAGAAAAAATTCCTGGTCTTGAGCTAAAGTTTAATAAATGTTCTGGAGATCTGCAAATTACGATGAGGGAGTACGTGCTCATTAACAGAAAGAAAGGTGCCGAGTGCTGGATCTTTGCCAGGGGTCAGAAACTGTAGGTTTCTGGTGATTTAGCTAATTTGATTATGTTTAATCTGCTGGTCAGAAATCACCTTAAACAAAAGTAGCTAGGCTGGACACTAAACACAATGAACTTTTTGTAGAAAGCAAAACACCATGAAGGATTGGCAGGCATGGCGACGAATCAGACTAATTCAATTTGCCGTTGACGGGAATCCTCTTTCTGAGAACGATGTGTGGAGAGATCGCTTATTTCAATTAGTTAATGTGTTAAAAGATGGCGGCTTTTTGGCAACACGGCGGAGGGAAAAGATGGGAGGAGGGCACACACATTATTTTCCTGTTTTCGTGCCCTTTCACCTTTGTCTCCACGTTAGCTTCTCCGTCTCCTTTCGTGTTAGGATCGAATTACCATTTGCCACATTTCATTAACTAATGAAATTATGAGAAGGTGCTTCTGCCGTCGGAAGGTGAGAGGAGATGGCTCCGTATACGAAAAAAGGGGTCAGCTTACAAATAGATGGATATGTCACCGAACTGAACACATTTGAGATAATTTCAGACAGACTTACTCAAAGAAAATACTATCAAAGACAGGAAAATAAATGTGACAGAGGGAATCGACAGGAGGCTAGGAGAAAGCCTAACGAGATTGCTAAATAGGCTCATTAATGAATGAGGTATCTTGAGGAGGGAGGTGCATATATTAAGCAACGAGTAATGATATAATTATTGTCTTAGATCCTTAGAATTTGATGTTTTCGGGTGAGCCGTCCTGTCCATCCGGATTACACATATATGCATCCCCTCGGCCAAACCCGTACAAATGACGAAAGTCAAGAAGCACCGATTCTAATTGAGTTAGAATAAGGCTCATGCATGCATATTCATGTAATTCGGATTAGGCAAACGACTTTTTCGGAAATTAGATGATTATCCGGAAATGAAACAACTCACGGAGTTCGGCGACTCACACGTCTTCGTAGGTCAGTGATAGAGATGATAACTATACAAAAACATAATTTGGAGGAGAAGGAGCAATGAATCAAGCATTGAAGCAAAATAGTCTTCGTCACTAACTCAATTAGCTACGATAAGACGTGAGAAGGGTCAGAGACAATTGGGGTGGCAAGTGTCAAAACGGCGGAGCAACACGAGGCCCCTCTTCCGGCACGCCCCGCCCCCATCGAGTCTCCCCCACCGTAGTTTGAGCAGAGACCCTTCTTGATGTCTGCTCTGGGTCATTGGATGCCAATAGACACTTGAAAACTACAGAAAATAGCTACTTACATGGTCATTACAATGTTTATATACCGTGGGAGTTACACCGTAACTCTTCCGGTTGTGTAATGTTGAATGAGAATGTAAGTGGGTGGGGGCACTAAAATGAAAATGCAAATTCGGCGTGCGTGTGTGGTCCATTCTGGCGATTTTCGAAAACAGTTCATCAAATATTGAAAAGGTTAGAGGTGTCAAAAGAGGGGACCCGTCAATCCGTTATAATTGTACCTTTTGTGTCATGTTGGGCAGGGGGTCTTCAATTAGTTACCGATCCGGGTGGTTTTCTCAAAGGGCAATCGGTCGATTTGAAAAGGTTTACGGTAGTATCGCAATTTTCTAATTCTAATAAGAGAGTTCTTGTTCCTAAAAGACGGCAATAAAAGAGAAAAACAAACACAGATCGATACAAACCGGAAGGAGTAAGACAAACGGTAGGTAGGTAGATAGATTGGGGGAGGAAAGGCGGTTAGCCACGGACCACGCAACACGGGGGTTGCATCATAACCGGAAGTAACTGTTTAGAGCCGGTGTCGATTGCCTTGTGTCCTGCTGCGCGATACGGTTTGACCCGAAGAGCACACAAGCGGCGGGTGAGAATGTGGGGGGCAACTGGTGGAAGTCAGCGGGGTCCCTAGAACTCTAGACTTCTTGGTGTCGCATTGCTACCGATAAATATTCGATTACGTAATCAAATCAGTCCGAAGATACCTCTGCTCACCGAGTCTCGGGTTCGGAAGGATGATTCTAATTCTCGAGTCCTCTCAGACAGTGAGCAGATGGGAAGACCGGATATCCGGAATGAATGAACATTAGTTTGCCGAGTACTTTTTATGACACCTTAAAAGGGGTATTACGGTGATATTGCACTGCAGACTGTCAGCCACGTGGAGGGGAGAGGGGACACACACGCAATCCATTATTGCTACTGACACAAAACGGAAGGAAGGGAATGGGGATCTCGAGTAGTTTACTGCTTAGTCGTTTCAGATGATTTACAATAATAATGGGGGCAAGCACACAATTCGATTTGTATCACGTATAGATGTAATGAAGCTAATTTATCGTGTGCTCGCTGCAGAAAACGAGCGAAAACATGGAAAGATACAAAAAATCAGCCAGTTAGTATCTATTTTCACACGTCCCCACTTGGAGACTATGTAAGTTCATTTGGCACTCATAAGAAATAGTCAGAAGCGACAATAGAAGTTGTGACGGAGCTCTCGCACCAGAGGGCACTCGCATCACGTATGCATTACAAATCATCATCAGTAAATTGCGCATCTTCAAAATTCCATGAGCTTGTCTATCAAATTCGCCCAAAACGTATACATATTTGTGGCAATCGGCCGGCTTGAAAGACAATTTGAAGGGTCCCGCTTCCTACTTTCAACAAATTGGAGAAGGAGCGGTACCGGAAATCATAGCTACAATGAGGGGAGAGGGGAGAAATCAAATAGCTCATAATTAGAGTGACTTTCACGGGGAAGGAAGAAACGGAGGTCCCCACGATTTTTCTGGTGCGAAGACGATTAACACCTTCAGATAGACATGCGTCCGGTCGACTGTTGACTCAAGCGGACGGGGAAGAGAAAGAACATGCACGTTTGGCAGTTTGATCATGCTTCTGGGATTCTCGAAGACAATAGGCGCGAAAAGGATATTTGGCTGTTCGGAAGTAAATTGGATTATGCGAACTCACCAAGGACCATGATCATGAAAAAGGTAGAGGACGAAGAAAGAAAAGAGAAAGAGCGAACAAGGCCAGTTACGATTACCTTTAAAACGTTCACAAGATAAGCATCGACGGTGGCGCCATCATTTCGCATTCTGCCATCAATCATCCAATTAAGTTGGGGATATGAACAGTCGGAAATGAGTATGAAAATGAGTACCGAAAAGAATTTCGAATATATGTACACACGGTAGATCTATTCTATTCATTTTGATTGGAAAGAAAAAACGACAAAGAATCTGCACACGATGCCGCTATAAAATTAAGGGATTAGGGGTAAAAGAAAGTTAAACTGCGGCCTGGGAGGGCCCCCCTTCTCTTATGTCCTCGATTCTGTTACGGCCAATTCGTTGTCTATTGTGCATACCAATCCGATTGGCAATAATTAGCACGGATTCCGGGCGCTTACTCTTTAATTGGTTTGTGCGATGAGGATGCCCGATACCTGGGCATCTGGGTACTTATCTCGTGGAACACATCTTGTCAGCCAGGTGTGAGAACTTGACACTTTCTCCCAATGAGGCAACGCTAAACAGACGTTGACGCTTTTGATCTCAGGAATTGGTTCGTCTCGTGTTACATGGCAATTTTGGGCGACAAATAGCAACACTTTGGAGAGTGGGACGGATCTCTCTCTCTCTCTCTCTCTTTCTACTATAGAAATGCATAATAATGGTTTATTTGATAGTGGTTGTAAGCGGAGCCGGCGATGGGCTAGAGCTACTGCTTTCAGTGGATTGACGCGCACATTTGTATTGCATTTGATGACTTGTTTAGGCATTTATGAACATTTCCCTTCTAACACCGCCTTTGTTTAGAAAATAAAGAACAATTCTGGAGGACAATCTGTTTTTAGCGTTTTAGGGATTTCCGGCTTTAGAAAAAAAACGTCTCTATACTTCGTTTCTGCCAGTTTCAGTTACCAGTCAGAAGTTGCATTCTAGATACAAACATCCTGTGACAATGGTGTTAAAAGTCTACAATTTTGCGAATTCTGACCTTTTTGTGACGCCTTGTCATAGAATTCGAGGCAGACAAGAGATTAAAGTTTGAAAGCCTTTATGAGACTCAAAAGCTCATTAGATGTCAATTCGGAGTGGTTTTTCAAATGAGTCGGCCGATGGAAATCGAAGTCACCTAGAGGTTCCTCATCAATAAAACATTGCCGACTGGCGGTGTCAAATCGAAATTCATGCGCGGCTATAATTTAAATAATATTC